AAAAAATTAATATTTCGCGCCACCAATATAGAAGAGACGTTATGCTGATCTTCAAAATATCCAAATTACGATATAACGATAATGTACGACATATAATAACCTGACTTCTGATTTCAGCGCCAGTGAGACATATTGAAACAAAACAATTTTTACGTTCTGTTTATTGCATGTGTTGAAGAATTTGCTTTATACTACAAAATGCATGTGAAACTTCTTAAATTACTAAGACATATTATAATGAAGTTTCACGTTTGTTACGTAATACAATACACAGTTTGAAACGAAGTAAAGCACTTTTACGGCTACGAAATGTTGTAATTTAGTAGGCTGGTTTTGAAATATTTTTAGAGTTATACAAAAATGCTCGGGGCTCTTGGTTGAATTAACACTTTAGCAAAATAAGCAGCGCGCATAAAGCATCACGGAATGGGCACCATATAAATTTTTATCGGTATCACAGTGTTTAATAATGTAAATCGAGTTGGTCAGACGATTTGGACCTCAACTCAATGGCTCGGTTGATATTGCTTATTTCTCTTAGTTCGCGTACCATCTTGCACCTCTGTATAAATGTTTGCAGGCATGAGAAGTATTTCCAAAAAATGTCACATAAATTGAACATAACTTAGCTTTTAATTAGCAGTTATTACCGAAACCTATGCAGGTGACATGGAACACTCGTTTCGTTATATTTTCAAGCTTATATGAATACGTAATCTAACATTTTTTGTCAAAATATTTGTCCTGATCAATTTTATCAGCCGAGTATATTTAATTTCGACAACGTACTATGACAAATGAAACTGCATAGGCGATCAAACCGCCGGGATGCTCTCCACTCTGTATCCTAAGTTGCCGTCAAATATATTTGAATTTACTGCTTATCGTGATGTATTTCTTCCACAGCCTGTCTACAAACTTAATCATTGTTCTCTGTGTGGAATTTAGGACTGGCCCATGTTTTACGCCACCACCCTTCAATAAGCACAAAACTGTCATATCACCCTTCAATGAGCACAAAAACGAGATTATACGCACCGCTGCGCAATATTAGAAGAAGGTTTGCTACTAGCTTCACAGTGGTCATTTGCAGCGCATATCCCACAGAGCACGGCGAGTTGGCAGAATCTCATGGTCTAGTGAGAATGACGTCATCGGAAACACCGCGATCATTAAAATTTTAATGAACGATTATCAAATATCTTGACCATGTTTATCATGATAAAAATATCAAAAATAATGTAAAAAATATTCTATCCTCAAAACTACACACGTATACGATGAAACATATCTAGAAAATCCAAAAAATGCAAATTTCTGCTCTGGTGATCACATTTCCCATAAGAGCTAATGTTAAAAAAAAATTTTTACATCACTTTTATTTTTGCGCGTAGGATGGGTTTTAATGACTAAGGTCTATTCAAGAGTCTTGTTGCACACGAACACAAATGTATTTCTGTAACGTTTCGATAGGTAAATTGGAGACCTTTGGGAGATGTCCCTGTTGCTAGGAGTTGTCCCGAAGTGCTTTAGGCTCCGCTTGTGGTGTTGTAGTCTGGTTTCTTTCAGTGTAATTTTCTTCAAATTGTTGAAGTCCTTTTTGTGATGTTTGTAGATTCGACGAAATGTTACAGAAATATATTTGAGTTCGTGTGCAGCAAGACTCTTGAATTGAATAGAATAATCAAAAGTTAGTTTAGAAATAGCTGTGATATAGATCGGTTCTTTTTAATAACATGGGTTGCCTTTTTGGAAGTGAAATGATTGTTTGAGACATATATATTAAACAGTTCAAGGCGTAAACTAGCAAAACCACCCTTAAAATGAGCACCAAAAATGTTGCAATTAAAAAATCTAGGTAGAGACGGTCGGGGAAACATCCATTGTTGACTCATTATTACCACAGTCAGTCGCACAATACTAAACACATATTATCAGTTTTCGATTAATAAAACCACAAAAAAAATATGCATATGTGTAATAACGCAGACTCAACATCTTGGTTCTGCTGCCCCCTACAACGTGCTGCCCGGGGCGGCCGCCCCTCTCGCCCCCTCTAGGCACGCCACTGCTTTAGTCTATACTCTATTATATCTTTGATGAATCAAAATTCAACTAGAATTTGTTGACTTGTGAAATAAACTTTCCCTTAAATTCATTGAGACTCCCAATTGATTCTTATGATGTTGTATAAATTGATAAATATTGACATATCTGGATTCAGTTTCAGAAACTCATATGGACTCTCCAATATTTCCGTGTATAGAAAAACACTGAAAACAATTAAATATACATTCGCACCCTTGGTCTTCGGCCCTGTCATTATAAGAGCTGCAAAACAACTAAAAATAAATCAATTACAATAAAGTGATTAAATGTGAACCATTTCTTCAATGGAATCGCACCTCTAATTCAAGAAATTTCCACCATTATCCTATTCTAAGCCAATTGTAAAATGCGAAACAGCTTGCGGAAAAAGCGTACATTTTCACTTCGCTTTAATGCAGGGGTCTCCAACACAAAATATGTCGCGGGCCACTTTTTAAAATTTATTGACGACGCGGACCGCAAACTAACAAATTATATACAGAAATTGTTATACAAAAATTAACAAAGTAAATCTTAATATATCTGTTGAAATTACCCAACCCTGAATCTTACACCAAGCGAGACATGAAGCATATTCGTTTAATTGTGTTGGATATTTGGCGATACCTTTTCGTGACGAATTGTTTCAGTATAAACTAGGTATTTTTCCCTGTGTAATGATCTACAAGTTTATAACGAGAATATCTGCGGAACTGCGGTTTCGATTCATGACTCTAGAGTGACACCGCGTGTCCCATCACTAATTACTTAATACCTCGCTAATTATTCGACATAATTCATCCAAAATCAATAGGCTTCTGGTCCGAGATATGATGAATGCACATGCAAAATTTGGAGCAGATTCTCGCCTTCTTGAGATATCGCGTTCATCTAACGGACAAACAAACAGACATACAGACAAATACCATGTTTCGTTGACATACGCTCTAATCATCTCATTGGCATACTCGAGCCGTATAAAGCATGTGAGTATTCGTAATCGCAAGTAAACTTGTTTGCGGTGACGATCCGGGTGTGAGTAAAGCACGATTACTTTTGATATTATGTAGTTACGGGGTGGTTACAGTGGGGGAAAATGAGGGGATGAAGCGGTGGGTCGAGCGAGGGCCTTGGTTTGAGCGACTGGTTGGAAAATTGATGGGTCGAGGTTAGACAGGTTGAGGGTGATACGGCAGTGTGGTCGAGGATAGGAAGGCTGAGTATGATAGGACAGTGGGTTGAGAATAATAGCGGAGTGGGTCGGGAGGATAGAGTGTGCCGAGGATAGGAAACTTGGGAGACAGGGCTGTGGGCAAAGAATGGGTAGGTTGGGAAGATAGGGCAGTGGATCATGGATAGGAAGGTTTGGGGATAGAGCAGTGGGTCGGGTCGAAGATAAAAAGGTTGAGGGGCATATGGTAGTGGGTCGAGGACAGGAAGGTTTAGGGAGATGAGGCAGTGTGTTGTGTATTTGCATCATACCTTATTGTTTCCGCACTTGTTAGATTTGTGACTATGATGCCATAATTCCTTTGGAGCGTCTAGCTGTGTTTTACTGACTTTCTTTGTTGTACAATAAACTGTAATATTTCTGTTTACTGATGATTTATTTAGTAATACCCAAGAAATCACATGTTTGGTCAATAACGGTAAAAAAAAAAACAATGATGAGCTGCAGCTTACGGGGAATGAGAATGGTGGGCAATAATACATGATAAGAATTTCATGATAATGCTCCATGCCAGGGTTACTCAACTATTTTCACCAAAGGTCCGTCATTCCAAAAAAATTATCTTAACTATGCAAACAAAATTTTAAATGCATCGCTTGAGTGAGAGTAGCTATACCATTCCGTAAATCGAGTTAATGATCTTCTAATTTCAAATTTTGAAAATACAACTAAAACCTGGCAAATACCATGCAAAGCCACAAAAACACACTAATGTTCAAGAGAGTCGATGATCTGAGAAACTTATACTTCCATGAAAATTTTTACTCCAAAGGTTTAGCGAAAAATGCATTGCGATTATTAAATAAAAAGAAACGATGCATTCGAAGTCAAGAAGCAGCCGCGGAGTTTAAATAATACCCGTAAGGTCCGGACTCGGACCGCGGTCCGCCAGTTGAGTATCCCTGCTCTATGCAAACCATTTTCAGGCAGTAATTTCCATGAATTCGTGAAATGCAAGCCTTCCTATTTGAGATCGGGCTTTTTATTCAATGCATATATATCTAGGATATATAGCGATGGCTTCGAACCATATCCGCGCAGTTATTTTATTCTCTTTGTCGCAATAATTGAATACTATTGTCCATATACTTCATAAAACGAGTAAAATATCAATTCTGATTAAAACAAATTTGTCATTTCAACAAAATTTCATTTAATTTGGCGATACAAGTGCTTTTTTGAAATTGTGTTATATATACGGTGTCCATGGAGTCCAAAAAAAAATTAAAATTGCAAAGTGAATTTATCGATATCATATATTGTTTTGGTTCTGTCAGATGTATTAAATGAAGTAAAAATACTTATACAATTACTGATTAAAAATCAACAAACCTGGTTAAGATATGCTGAGAACTGACTTCATAACAAAATTGAAAAGGAATTTATGGACACCCTGTACAATCGTTTTTAAAAGAATAATTTGAATAGTTTTATTTCATTTGCTGATGTCGCCATGCTTACATGTTTTCGTGTTTATATTTTTAAATACTTCTAATATTTATTAAAATCGATGACGAATTTGAGCACTAATGGGGGGAGCTGACTCTGATGAGTTTGACCGCATGATTGTATCGCTCTCCCCAGTCTATACCGAATAACTTAAATAACTGCGTATATTGCTGTATATTTTTTCTGGTTGACGAATAATAAATCTCTTTCTATCGAGGTCTACCGCATTCTAATGCCTTTGCTAAATGCCAGTCACGAGCAAGCGCAGACAACAAAATCATAACACTGCAGCCATTATGTCGAAATATATTTGCCCATTTTGATTACAAACATTAGTACTTTGAAATGTTTTCACATTCATTTTCCCTCAAATAGGATTATGAAATTTCAGTAATAAATTTAAATAGGTTAGTTAGTTAGGCGAATACATTAAAGTTTGAAAAGTTGAACTGATTTATACACCAAATGTAATTTATTACACAAAGATGAAATTGAGGGGTTTTGACAAGATTTCGCGTGTTTAGTACTTCTTACATCTTCATCTTGAGAGAAACTTCATTGAAACAAAATGATGTCTTCGTCAACTTTCAAAAAATAATAAAAGTTACGAAGTTAGAAAAACAACAAACACAACTTCTTTGTGTCAAATTTTCTTCAAGTGTCACCTAATTGCTCAAAACTTAGTAGATGATACTACAAAAACTATTGAAAGATGCATCATCGATTAAATATATTTCGGGAGTTACTCGTTCGTCTTTTTCGACGAAACAATGTGTTTTTTCGTAAGTGATACCCGAACTTTATTTTTCATAATAGGTTAGTAAAGGTTGACTATAAGACTGGATTCGATAGCATTGAAAAAAATATGAAAAATATAAATTTGTCTGAGGTTACCTTGTTCGAATGTTTCTTCATTTTCCAGGCTTCTCTTGCTTATCTTTAATCTCCACAAAGCGACCCCTTCGTTCTGCCTGTATAATAAAAGATTGCAAACAGTTTGCAAATATTGAAGTTTCACTCACTAGGAGACTTTAAATTGAACTCAAAAGAACGTCAATGAAAATAACAAGACTTCGATTCGATTCATAGACATGAAGAGCAAAAGAAGTAGTACAGATATGAAATATCTCACAGGAGTCTACCGGCACCGCAGCCTTCTCCACTTCGCCTGACCACCAGATAGAAGCGAACGCCGAACTGCCACAATGTGCGCGATTTTTGATGACGTCATCGCACACAAAAAAACTAATCCCATGGAGCGCACAGAAATTTAAAAAAAAATCTTTTAGCGAAAAATACAATCTTAACCACTGGAGGTTTCAATACAATTGGTGTGATAGATAGTGAGAGAGCGATTTTTTTCATAACAAGAAGAAAAAAAAGAAAAGTAACAACAGAATGCTCAACAACAACATAATATATAACAAAACCCTTGGACTGTACTGGCGGAACCCGGGTTGCAAATCAATAGTCTAGATCAGACATGGGTAAACTACAGCCCGTGGGCCAAATTTGGCCCGTTGGGTAATTCATTCTGGCCTGCCCGATTCCGTCACAACCAAACTTAAACCAAATTTTGCTGTTTTAGCAAAAATTAGCTCAAGGAATTTGTTGGGATTGCGATTGCGATCAAATTGAGTTTTCGCAAGAGGCTTATCGTTTTCCGCTTTTGCTTTTGTAACACTGTAAATATTGTCCATAAAATGTAACTTTCCCTTCATACTTACATGGCCCGTCAGTGTAGATGGGCAAAAGTTTTGGCCCCCGGTCTAAAAACCTTGCCCACCCCTTGTCTAGATTCTAGAATTTATTTAGCTTCAAAATTTGGTGTTTATAGCTTTGTTTCACCAAGAATTATAATAACATAACTCACCTAGTTTTACTAACTATGGGTGGGAGGTTGTCCGGTAACTTTTTGTCTGGTGGATTATTCGAAAAACATTTTCCATTGAAAGATATCACTATAAGCGTGATATAAATAATACAAATAGAATGAACCTCCCTACTAGCCATCATAAACTGTGCAGATACTTTGTATAAAAAATGAATATTCAAAAAGGAAACTGAGTTTATTTTGGAAATAACTTTGTGTACAATCTTTGTGGAACAATCAAAGTGTGATGGATTCATATAAAAATGCTAAAATATGCGGACACGGACGGCGTATAACTACGTCAATATTTCAAAAGCTGTCAAAGCAGCGACTATTTGTAATGGACTATGAGTTTCATTCTATTGCACACACATCAAAAATGAATTCTTGTATTGCATTTTATTCTATAAACGCTTATAGATATGTATAAAATTAGCAAAAAAAGAGCAGTATACAAAACATGTTGGTTTTAAGAAAACAAGTTTCGTTTCTAGATATAGAAAGTAACAAAAAGCACAGCCCTGATTGATAATAGCCACACGTAGAATCTCTCTCTCTCTTTCTGCCGCATTCGCTAGCAATTTCGTTACGCTACTATCTACGGTTATCGAAAACTGTGTAATTTAAACTCAAATATTTTTATACTTATTATTATATACTCAATTTTAAACCCCGAAACACTAAATTCAAGTATAGCTTCATCGTGCTCACACTTTCGATATCATTCGAAGTTTTCGAAATTAATGCTACGCACATGTAATAGAAAATTATGAATGGGACGGAAGTAAACAGGAAATAAACTAAATGGATGTATAAAATGCATTGATACAAACAGTAGAAACTTTCTTCGGTGACATACTTGGAATGGTTTCATTCATATTAAATAAGTGTTATATCATTAAAGTGATGAACGTCATTATCGATATTTTGAATACCACGTCTTCTCAAATTAATGTCCAACCCAAATGAGATCACCACTCTCTATCCAGTCATACCAAGTTGAAGAATAAATATATCATTGGAAATATTGTTTTCCATAGCTCGAAAGCCCTCATACATTATGAAATGGAATAGAATATTGCTTTTAAATTCCATCTTGCATGGACAGCGGCATAGACAGGGGGATGTATGATTACCTAACGCCTTGTCGGATATTATCACGCACGAGATAGTTATTGAATCTTATTCAAATAAAGGCCAATGAAAAAATTCAACTTTCATTTTTAATTTGCTTCCGGCGCTACAGTGGGACGCACGGGCGCGGCGGTGTGACTCATCGTGTGTTAAGCGTTGGGAATACGCTCGCCATTTATGATTACTCTGCATGGGTTCGCAGGTTCGAGTCTCATGCGAGAATGATTATGTGCGAGAAGATTGCTGATTGCTCCTCGCCGACATGGAATGGTAACCGGGCAAGAGGCCGTGGTTCGCCACATGATTAAGCTGTCTTATCGACTTTCCTTTCCCATGGGATGAAAATGTAAATCATATACTATCCCTATCCTAAATTGAACCAGCAGTCACGTATATTTTTGTGTTTATTTCTGTCTCAAGCCTCATTCAAAAAGGTTTGTGTTTTTTGTGAGTGTGTGCTGGTAATCAGTAGTTTATTTCTCACCATACTCAAAATAGGCACAAACATACAAATTGCAATAAATTAAATTATAAATAGGCCATATTTCAGGGTGAAGGAGACGCGAGAAACCAGTACAGCGGCACCTATAAAATAAGTCTAACACTATATTATACAGAAGAAAAAGTCGAACTAAGTTTAAATAAATTGAGAAAAAAATACATCGAGTCAATCGACTGATTATTACAGGTTGGCTCTGAGTTTTCAAAGTTTTATTTGTCAATGGCGCCTTCCGCCCACTTGCATCCAAAACGCGATATGGTACGTCTCATCGTTTAAGAACCCTGAAACAAATAAACATTTTTTTCTTCTATAATTGTGGTTTTTCCGTGTTGGCTGTGTTTATAATGACCAAGAGTATATTTATTTATTTATTTAGCAAAATCGTGCTGCTAAAAAACAAGAAGTCATAAAACGGGTTTCATTATAAAATTTAGGCTCAAAAAAGAATTTAATCGTACTTAGCAAATTACGTCTAACATTTTTGTGTATAAATACAGTACATGTCAAAAACATGTATGCGTAAATACCAAATGATAACAAAATACTTTTCATACAACGCAATAAAATAAATTTTCTAAAAATCCGAAAAATCATCAAATTGACCCAAAATTTGAACAAGACCAACCTTTGAGGCTTGAAAAATATTTGGGATATGGATTGATATCTTTAACATGTTTTCAAACAAACAAAGAAATTGAAACTCGATCAGTTTTCTAACAAAATACTTTTAATACAACGAAATAACGTAAATTTCTTAAAAATCCGAAGATCGTGAAATTGACCCAAAATTTAAAAAAGGTCTGATTTTGTTTTATTTCTTCATTTGTTCAAAAACATGTTGAAGGTATCATCAATTCATACACAAAATATTTTTTGAGCCCCAAAAGCGGATCTTGTCCAAATTTTGGATCAATTTAACAAAGTCGGATCTTGATCAAATTTGGTGTCAATTTAATAAATTTTAAATTTTTTTGTAAATATTACGTTATTTTGTTGTAATAAATATATTTTGTTGAACCTCTCATTCGATCATAAATGCTTTGTGTTATCAGATGATACATAATAAGGTTCAATTTACAATTTCCGTGACTATTAATTAGAAATATGTCGCAAAGTGGAAACACGTTTTTTTGACAGCGTATTATTTGCTGAAGGATTTTGCTGATATGACAGTGGCATTTTGCATGGGCTTGTTAAATATTAGAATTGCAGTGATCGGCGTGCCTTCGCAGTACAGGCAGTCCCATTGAAATTGTCAATTTTCCAAAATGGACTGCTGAAGCCAAAGGTTTATCTTGCTTTACACTTGAGCAATTATTTGACCAAACTTGGTGAGTCAGAGTTCTTTCTTCGTCAGTGAGCAAAACAGCGTTTAGGATAGGATTTACATATTTATCCCGGGGGAGAGGAAAGCCGATAAGACGGCTTATCCATATGGCGAACCACGGCCTCTCGTCCGGTTTCCAAGTCGGGTATGGGATTAGTTTTTACTGTATTGTTTGTTTTTCGGAAGCATGGACTTGGTGGTGGAGGAAGCCCTAACCGACCAGCGGTTACGTGAACCACCCAACAACTGCGAGGAGTCCAGCAATCCTCTCGCACATAAGCATCCCTGCATGGGATTCGAACCTGCGAACCCACGCAGAGTAATTAGAGGTGCGGTGGCGAGCGTATTTCTAACGCTTAGCCCGTTGAGCCACACCGCCGCGCCGTTTACCAAAGAGTTTATACCATTAATATATCAGTATATTGATGGCAATGTCGCTTTTGCGAACGACTGATTGCCGTGATTTTCACATTTTACTGTTTTAATATGAATTAATATCGGGGCTCCCGAAGTATGCGAACCAAGATGGCGGACATCGGAATGTAATATGTATACTAGGTTAAGGTTAAGCCATAATTTTAGGTATAAATACTACGGGAGGCTCTTGGCTAGTCTTCGAACTGATAATAGGACTAAAATAAGGAAAATTGGAAAAAAATTATCGCCTAACCCTAACCTGTTACCCATGTTACGTTCCGATGTCCGCCATCTTGGTTCGCATACTTCGGGAGCACCTTAATATCAATTTATTTTTTTGAATTTTATGGGTGTTTGTGTGAGACTGTGAGGGATTGTGTGAGTCGAGGGCTTAGTACAGTAAACGCCATAACTGTGCAAATAACGCTAAATAAAAATGTGAATTGAAATTTTAATGTAATTAAAAAATATCGTAGTCTATAATGCTGTATGTCGAAGAAAAAAATTCTTGAAGCACACGTTTAATTCAAATTAAACCTGCTCAATTTTCAACTAAGCTCAGAAGCTGGTACTGTATGTATGTCCTACAGTCCTATGCCGTTTAGGGTATTGCAGTATTGTGTTCGAGCATGAAGGACTTTTATTTTAAAAATAGAATGAAAATTTGGGTAGTTCTGTAGTTTCACATCACAATTTTGTTTGGTGGTATTTTAGTATATAAGCAAGGATGTATAGGCTAGATTATTCTGTGTTCCGACTTCCAGATATTGCGTTTTTTATAGTTTTTGTATTAATCTGAGTTTAGCATCTTGAATTTCCAACTGTCACACTGTAGTGGCACTTGTTTCTTAACTGGTATTTATGCTTTATTTTTGTTCTTTATTATTAGCTGTATTACTGCTGTACTGCTGTACTGTTTTATAATACGGCACAGTTTTCCAATTGCAAGAATAGCCCTACATTGAAAAACATCAATCATAATAGTGGGTGTGAACCAATCCTTTACGAGACAGTCTGGGCGTCGATATCTGTTCCAGAAGGAAGTGCAATCTAAAGACTTCACCATTGGATTCTTTAATCAGAACATATATTGATTTACTAAAAAAATTAGATTTCGATAGTTTTTAGCCAAAAATCGCAATTTTGGTCATGTGATGGCTAGGGCTGTCCAAAATCGAATAATTTTTTATTCAAATCGAATATTTTTGCCGAATCGAACTGAATAATCGAATATTATTGCGCGATCCTAAATCTGTCTATATTATACAATAAACGCCTGGCCTTCGATGTTGTGGTAACGTATGTGCAGTTACATCTTACTTACTGCTGGTATTTTGCAATAAAATGTTTTCAGATTCATGAAAGGAGATCACACGCTTGTATGAACTAGTCAAAAAAATTGGAGGACTTCAAAATTTGGGTGTCAAACTGTTGAGTGTTAAGAGTAAAAATTGCACAATTCAAAAAATGCAATTTGATGACTATAATATTGTTAGTGTACAACAGCCATCAAAATTCAAGAGTGCAATTATTTGTCTTGGTATATAGATGGATAATACAGTATTGCCATCATAAGAAATTACAAATTCTATTGAAAGAAGGTATTGCCATCATAGGGATCCCAAAACACCTGTTTCAGCTTTGAGTTGCCTGTACCATGTTCTTATGATAACTAACTCAATAGGTGGTTTCTGCTTTCTGTACCTAATTTTAGCGATTCGAAAAACGATTCGAATAATTTGCAATTCGATTCAATTTCGAATATTTCATACGAGACATTTCAGCGAGACATATCACGCTTGATTTAAACCATCATTGAGACTAGTACAGTAGTATGATGCTCTCTGATGCATATGCCATTTCAGGCGATCGTAGCTATACTTTTGCAAGCTCTATGACGTGATTGCGACGTCGTAGTGACCTAATTTTTTGCATGGCGTAGTCAGGTGGGGGTTAGGATTGGCATGTGCAAAAATTGTTATGCTATGCCCACTGGAAGTACTTGAGGTACGAAACTACTCGAGACCTGAATATTCTATAAAGTAAATTTAATATTTTTTTTATACACAGCTGAGACAAGTATTGTGTTACTATTGTGCTAAAAATGGGTAAAATTCGAAGAAATAGAACGAAATTCCACTTGTCTACAAAAAATTCACAAATTGAAGAAAGCACAAATCAAGAAATCGGAGTACCCAAAGACTTGCTTACTATCCAGCTTCCTCCTTTGTCACTGAATCCTTTTAGTGGTGGTCAGATTTCAACTAGTTCCTTTGATCAAAAGGAACATGAGGAAAAGAAAATTGATTTCACTTCAGATGTAGCTTCTGTAAATGTTCAGGAAAAATCTGCTGAATCTAACATTCATCTGAATAAGAAAGAAAGAAGAAAATTAAAACGTCAAAAGTTTTTGGAAAAATTAGAAGTGACGAGAGTCACAAAAGAAAGCAAAAAAGCAGCAAAGAAAAGATCAGAAGTTCCTGTTGTTGGTGACTTGAAGCCAATGTGTCTTGCTTTGAGTGATATAACTAAAATTATCAGCTCTGTTGAGGATAGTCAAACTGATGCAAAAATTGTTTCAACTAAGAAAAAAAGAAAACGAAAACCAAAATGGCTGAAAGAGAAATTGAAAAACACAGATCCATTAGAAGGATTTAAGACAATTAATGAAAAGGGAATTAAGAAAATACAAAGTAAAAGAACTCAAAAACACATGGTTTGTGAAATTCAAAGACTGCAAAAACTTGTATCGGATAAAAAATTTAATGGTGTCAATTTGATTTTGACAGATACGAACACAAAAAAGGCGGTGTAACCTTTCAGAATTTGTTTGACCCTTTTGCAACTATCCATCATTTCATCATGTAGTGTCACTGGAGAATCCAGCGCTTTGGGTTGAACTGCCCTTATTAAATTTAAGGAAAACAGAAAAAGTGGCTAACGGGCATGCTGTGTGATGTAAATTGTAAAGATTTGCTTCAGTAATAGAATCAATTAGAATGTTCCGAAATATAATTGGCCTTGACTGCTTAGGCAAGAAATAATTTACTAGTTAGTATTGAATTCAAATATTTAGATTGTTAAGTTCTTGTTGGTAAATCTGAATTTATAATCCAATATTTTTTTTGAGAATTCTAGTTACATATATATGGGTATGAAAATAGAGCATTTCAGCAGAACTGGAAAGATACTGGATTATCTATTACGAACATAGAACTTGTAAAATATGCAACAATGTAACCTGAAATGCTAATAACTATAAAGGATACTCAACATGATTTCGGCAATCACTGGCCAGTTCCAGCTTATTCCATTATTGCTGATTGTCTGGCAGAAATATCATTATCTAAAAATAATTCAATACTTGGGTTTAACTTAACTAAATGAGAGTTTATGCTGTTCTAGTGATTGAGACTTCATGCCAGCTTTTTTTCGTATAAAATGATTTTTAAAATTTCATTCTTCCCCAATTTGGATTAATTGTATCGTGTCCATATTAATCAAATGGTAACTCTGCTTTCAGGTTTTATGCAATTATATTACACAGTACTTTATAATGAATATGCTTATGAGCCTGAGAAATGCTGGAGGAAAGCTTGTGGGTGGACTTCAATCAAGATTATTAGTAAGTTCTAGTACATGTGTGCGGAGCAAGCACACCTTACCTGATCTGCCTTATGATTACAAATCTTTGGAACCAACAATATCTGAAGAAATAATGCGATTACATCATTGCAAACACCATGCTACCTATGTAACCAATCTAAACGCAGCAGAGGAGAAACTTGCTGAAGCCCAAGTAAAGAGCGATGCAACGGCAATAATCAATCTCGCTCCTGCTCTCAAATTCAATGGTGGCGGCCATATCAATCACTCCATCTTTTGGACAAATTTATCTCCGGATGGTGGCGGAGTTCCTCAGGGAGAGTTAGCTGAAGCTATTAATCGTGATTTTGGCTCCTTTGATAAAATGAAAGAAAAGCTTACTGCATCTACTGTCGCTGTTCAGGGTTCTGGCTGGGGTTGGCTTGGATACAATAGAGAGTGTGGAAGATTAGAAATAACGACTTGTGCTAACCAAGATCCATTGCTTGCAACTACTGGATTGATACCACTTCTCGGAATCGATGTCTGGGAACATGCTTATTATCTTCAATACAAAAATGTTCGTCCTGACTATGTTAAAGCTATATTTGATATTATTAACTGGTCAAATGTTTCAGACAGATTTGAAACAGCGTCAAAATAAATCCTATTTACAACAATAGTTTTGGTTGCCACTTTGGTGTGCGAACTCTGCATTTGTGTGATCTTAGTGATTTCAGAGGGTTAATTCATGTCTTTGTGAGATCGCATACCAAAATGGCACCCAATTTGTTTTCTATTCACAACTAAACTAATGTGATATTATGTTGCAAAATATTCATTTTTTTTTTAATATATCGAAAGCTTCAGGTGTTTAAATTTGTTTGAATTACTATTCAATAATGTAATTGGTAATTGTTCATAAACAGTTATTCAATCGTTGAGGTAAAATCTGTTTAATATTGTATAATTTATCACAGAGATTCACAACTAGTTAAATTGCAAAGTTATAGGTATTTCTTGCGATTATGCCTACCGATTCAAGAAGAATACCTGCTCCGGAAAATAGCTTCAGTCCAGATATATATATTTCTGATAGTAAGAAAACAACGCAGTTATTGGGTAATTATGTTTCTGTTGTTTCAAGGGCTGTGAAATTTGGTATGTGTTTGCCGAATTCATATTCTTAAACTTTTCAGAACCAATGTAGAAATTGCGTTAATTTTAATTGGCTCATAATTTGGATGAGATGTAAATTTCTCCTGATTCTTCAGCTAATTGTAATCATGTATGATTTAAAATTATGGGAAGCAATTTTACTCTCATGTATTCATCACAGCTATTGAGAAATTTACCAATGATCTATTTTTTTGTATTTTTTACTGCCCATCTTTTTAATATATCGCTCCATGAGTTAGTTGGTTAACAGAATCCTCAAATACAAAATTAAAGCAACTTTTTTTTTCATAGATAATGGCCGTCGTTTTGATGGAAGAAGTTCAGATGAAGTGAGACCATTATTTTTGAAAACTGGTGTCATATCACAAGCTCGAGGTTCATCATATATAGAAATGAAAAATACCAAAGTTATTTGTGCTGTATATGGACCTAGAGATATTGGAAGAAGAGATGATTTTCAAATGGAAGGTAAACTTGATTTTTCATGTTTACAAGTTTGTTGTAGACAGAATAAACTTTATCGTAATGTTGTTGAGTGTGATATATTCAAGACGATTCGAGTCAGCGTGACTTTATTAGTATGTCAGGCAATGGCAATGTCTTTTTTAGACTGGGCATTTCGAAAAGTATAATATTCGAATCAGTATAGAGCAAAATTTCGAATCGCCATCTTTTTTTTTCTTTCCGCCAATGGTCAAGGTGAATTCCCCAAGTTTCTTTTATCAAATCCATATTTTTTCAACGCAAATCCTTCATATGACAATTTTCCGTAGTGAGTTATTGATAAAGCGTGTTTCTTACTTTGTGTGAATGCTCAGCAATCTGTCTGAGTGATGTATTCTATGTATTCAAGATTCAATTCCCAAAAAAATATTCATTTAAATTCTGAAAATACCAGATATTCGAAAATGCCCAGCCTTAGTCTTTTTTGAACGTCAGTTTTTTATCTTCTAACAGGTGTGTTGAAATGTGAATTCAAATTTGCTCCATTTTCATGTAAACAAAGAAGAGGTCATATACGTGACAATCAAGAAATGGAATATTCGCAAGTATAATAAGTTTTTTGTTGCTAGATCTTCAAAGCATATGTTGTGTTACTTGTACACAGTTTATTTTACTAGCGATCTTGAAGAAATTAGTTTAAATGGAATTTGCAATTAATTATATTTGTAAAGTATGTAGTAATATTCTATATTACTGGTTTGATCTACATTTACTTGCTTTGATGAGCATTCTCTAATTTGGTGAAAAAACAATATGTGGCTTAATAAGAATCTTGGCTCAACTATTTGTTTTTATGTGAGTGTACAATTGCACCAATCAAACATTCATATTTAAATAGGTTATTATCAGTAGTATGGTTTTGTTGTTATCTGTTTCGTTTTCACACTCTGTCAGAGAAAAAAAATCTAAAAATATAGCATCGAACTTTTTTCAGATTTTAGCACAAGCTCTTGAGCCTGCAGTATTGATGCACAAATTTCCAAAAGCACAAGTTGATGTTTATGTCACTGTATTAGAAAATGATGGAGGTTCTCTAGCTGCTGGTATCATGGCGGCATCACTTGCATTAACAGACGCATCTATTGAAATGTATGATATGGTTACATCCTACAATGTACGACTATCAGGAAAGGTATTTTATATTTATTACTGGACAAGTGTCTATTTATGTTATGATAACAAATACTTTAATTAAGCTGCTTGACTTAACAGCCTAGGAAATGTTGTGCCCATCGCCTGTCCTCTATTTAGCACATTTACCCTTGTTTTTCTGAATTGGGGTTGATATATACTGTGACCTATGAAGTAGGGTCTATGCTATGTTCTGGGAGCTATAAATACTTTTAAATAAAGTTATAGTATTGAAATGAAAGTATAAGTGGGAAACCACATTTTTGAGACACCATTAAACAGCCTCACATTGCTAAGCACGAGGGTCGGCTTAAGCTTTGAGCTCTGGTTTATATAGTCTTGTGTGATACCGAGGGGAGCCCTCTTCCATAGTCTGGTAATGGCAATGGTGAAGCATGGAAATGTAATGAAAGATAGGATAAATATGAAGTCTCAACTCTCAATCTATGTTTATGATGAACACGGTACTCCCGTCACTGTTGGTTTGGACTTTAGTTTGCGAATCCAGGAGATGTATATTGTTCAACTAGGGAGAATTGTGTCTGGATTGTTTCATTGGAGTTCCATTCCACCAAAAAGGTTCAAAATACTACTTCATTCCTATCTTTGTGTCTTTCAGAATATGTTAATTCATGATCCAACAGCGTTAGAAGAATTTGATTCCAATACAAGTGATGGTACGTTATGCATAAATCAAGGAAATGTTACAGTTGCCCTTCTTCCACTTTTAAACCAGGTGAACTAAAGATAATATTGAATAATAATGAAAGGAATTTATGAAGAAATTGAATTGTTTTTAAAAATTCTTCGGCACTAATATGGGAAGCTGGCAGTGGATAATTAAGCTATTTAGTTTAGCATTGTTCCTCTAGTTTACTTATCCCTTTTACAGAAGATGGCGGATAGTGTGATGGCTGCCGACTCAACTGTTGACTTTTCAAGCAATAGTAGCTTTTTACCTATTAGATATCAGTGGCTACTTGTACAGGGCCTTGTTCTGAGCGAAAGGCATGACAGTAAAAGGCCACCACCTTAGAAGACATTAGAACAGGGGTTGCCAAACTACGGCCGGATCTGGCCTGCGGCGTCCTTTCATCTGGCCCGCAATAACACGAAAAAATGGCGAATTTTTTTCTAAGAGACGTTTTCCCGGGAACGACTCCCTTGTTTATTTCGTAACATTGGCCAATCAGCAAGATGCGAAAAAGTGATGTAACAATATGCCTTTTCGCACTCACTCAGACATATTTTCACTCGTTGTTGTAAACAATACCTCGTTTTTGCGATTTTGAATGCTATTCGTTAGTTTTTGGTTGTGTTTCAGAAATTTATGTATGAATCAAATAAGTCCATAATCTTCTCTTTGCCTTCTTAGAAGTTGTAGTTTAATAGTAGTAATCAAAAATTAGTCTAGAAATAGCTGTGATAAAAGAGGCTAAAATTCTCTACCGGTACGCAATGTTTTACGCTCATGGTGCGTGCTTCCGGTGAAACTGTTGCTGTGTTCGTATCTTGTGCTAAAATGAACATTGAACGTACATTTTGTGCTAATAGTACTGTAATCTCTCGGGTACTGCTCCATTTTCACAAGTCAAATTAACTTTTGTGCTGCTTAAATGCAGATATTCTTGACAGCAATGTTTTGCTAACATCAGGATCGTTGTATAGATTTAGAAATCTTGTATTTTGCTATGATGTTCTCGATCTATATTCTGCGATATAGAAAGAATTCAATATTCAAGTCTTCAGAAATGTAGACTTTACGGTATATTGTTGAATAAATTGAATGGATTTCCCAACTTTTGTGAATTTACTGTATTGCATTGACAAAAATATTGGTCCTTCCTGTTTCAACACAGTTTGAGTCATACCTGGCCTGTGGTCAAATATGTTTGGTGACCCCTGCTCTAGAAAATACCGAGTTGAAAAGCTGGATAGAATGGGCAAGAAAACCCTCTTTCGTGGACATGATAAAAACTTATCTTAAATCACTATTTTTGTTATCTGATATGTTTTTTGTTACAAAATTGTCATCTTTGCTACAGGTTTCTGGCATGGTATCAACTGGCATCATTGACTGTGACATGCTCTCAGATGCCATACAAAAGTGTACTGATGGAGCACAAAGTATTTATTCTGTTATGCAAAAAGCTGTCATAGAATCCTACAATGAAAATGATGTTACAGATGGTGAAGAGACCTGATATTTACAGCAATGTGATAGGAATGCACCACAAGATGTGTATCGATTATGGATTATGCTTGATGGTTGGGTCAGGCTTGGCGAAACTGTTATGTGTGGGGTGGTTCCTAGAAAAGCAGGAAGTTTGTCAAATGACTTCCAGTATTTATTTTTACATATGATGATTTTAAAACGAGATTGGAACAATAGACACTGGTTGGAAGTGCGCAGACGACATTTTGAACATCTATGAGTGTAATATATGCCTTTAGAAAACTGTAAAAGTTATTCCTCGTAAAAATAAATAGCTGTTTGACGAATTTTCTAGCGACCACCCTGTACAAGCCAATATAGCAGATATCTGTTGCATGCGTGTTTTAACAATCATGTTAATAAACTATTCTGAAGTGAGAGGAATATAATAATGTATTTTGGAGTTTTAATGTGTAATAGAAGAGTAATACTCAGATATATGAACACTTAAGGCCAAAGCGCAGTTTTAGGGGTGTCTAATCGCTCACAGTGCCGCAGCTTTTACGACTTCGCCTGACCACCGAATGCAGAACCGTCACATGGAGCGCAATTTTTAATTTTGATGATATCATCGCACACAAAACACGAATTTCATGTCCGACAGACATTTTTGAAATAAGAGTAGTAGCCACATAACGAAAAATACAATGTTGGTGGTCTAGTAGTAAATATGAGAGAATCGATTCTTCACCAGATGAAGAAAAGAATGACTAATAATGAGATAACGATCCATATGCCCATTCCGTGTCTAACAATAGGTAAGTCTTAAGATATTGAAAAAATATATATATTTACACACAGCCCATCCTTTACCTCCGTGAAAATCTTATCACTTTTACGTCATGATATGCAAATATATTTTTTCGGATGGGAACATGCTCATTTTGCGCGTGGGATATATAAAAACATTCAGCTGACCAAGCGTCGTTTTCGAAGGAACCATAAGCCAGTTAGCTCTCTTTCAAGTCGCGTTGATAATGGGATTTCTTTTATCTAAGCTTGTGAAGCTTTTCAGCAATGAAGGTAACCGTTTTAAAATATAAATATTATGATCTGGTTATGTGTTCATGTTCACTTGAATGCAAAATTATAGTGTTTTTAAAATTAAAAATGTCTTACTTTGTAATATCAAAATTCTGGAATTTGTGAGCTAGATTAGCTAGAACGTTTTAGATATCGACTGATACCGATACGCTGTACAAAATCAAATAATATTGTCTATAGCATTTTCAGATACGCTGAACGTTTTGAATTTGATGTTATAGTCACAATTTAAGTCTTGTTGTTAAGTCTTGTTTAACTTGTATAAAAAAAAAAGGTTTATGTTGGGTTGTTACACTTCCAGACTTCAATGTTTGGACATGGTCTTTTCGTTTTGCTCAAGACCCATTTAATATAATTCTAAAATGAATTAAATCTAAGTTGAGGAGAATTCTATAATTACTCTTCTGAATTGGAAGTTACGATAGTACAGTAGTAGTCAGCTGTTTTGCTTTTGCCAGTCTTGGAATCAGTCTGTGGGTCAAATCAGTCAATTCTCCTTGCAAATCTGAATTTGGTATTCTTTTGAGCTATGATTCACTTTAGGGGTCTAGTCTAGTTTCGTACCTAAAGTACGGTACTTCTAGTGGGCGTACAGGCGTACGGTAGCACATGTCAATCAAACTTATATATCCGTAACTTCAAGCTTTTTTTTCTTATCAGAACACAAAGTAATCATTGTGGGACTGGATAACGCTGGAAAGACAACAATACTTTACCAATTGTAAGCATTATTCTGTTATAATCTGTATATTTTACTACATTATTGGTGAATTTTCAAATTATATCTTTGTTGGAATATGTTAGTATACAGAAAGAGAGGATTGAAATTGCATTAAGACTTATTACATGTAATATTGATTTCTGTATATACTACTGTACATACCTATACTTCATTCAGTAATTCTAGACACTTTGTTAAACTTAAAAGAAATTGATATTTTTGGTCTCATTTATTCGAATACAATTTGACTTCACTTGACCCAAGAATTTATTAAGAAGGAAAAAAGCATTAGAAGATAGTGTCTTTAAATTTTCATCCTCTTTATGTTTAGTTTAATGAATGAAGTTGTTCAGACATCACCTACTATTGGAAGTAATGTAGAAGAAATTGTTTGTAAGAAAACAAAATTTGTAATGTGGGATATTGGAGGTCAAGAATCATTGAGATCATCATGGAGTACTTATTATGCCAACTCTGATGTAAGTTTGAGAAAATGGCTTTTTTACTAATTTCATATGTCAGAGTTGTCAGAAATTTAGAGAATCAAAACCTGCTTTTGTTCTGTTCTGTTTTCATTTGGGTGTTGTACCTCAATCCTATTAGTTTTTCAATTTAGGCCACAGCCTCAAGTAATATTTTTCTTTATTTTTAGTTTATTGCCTTTTATCACTCATCTGTGTTAAGTCATAAAATAATGACCTATTTCCTACTTTGGTGTTATATAGTTTTGGATTGATAAACACTCTTGGATTAACAGAATATGTCTAGGTTTTTACTTTAATCCACTCATATTGTGGCTGTGGGTGCGGTACTCTCGAAGTATGTGTACCAGTTTAAGGTTAGGCCATAACTTTATTCCGATTTCCCCTTTTTTAGTTCTATTACAAGTTCGGGGACTGTCTGTGACTCTGTGTTAGCCAAGTGAATATCCCCCTGCCCATAGGCTTCAGTCCCTTTACACAATTTGATGTAAAATAGGCCAACAAAATTAGTTACCTCTTTATTGGTACAAATACTGGAGCGTCGTGCAATGGCTAAGTGAATGGTGCAAAGCACAAATAATATTTATACTGCAAATCGTTGGTCTTTTATGCATATGCATTTTTTTATGCATTGTTGAATTGAAAGTATTTCAGTTCTTCCAAACAAGTGGTATTCTGAAATGACTTTATGTGAGGAAGTGAAATATGAAACGTCTTTCTGAATAATTTTAAATTTGAGTAATTTACTTTTTATTTGTTTTAAATTCAAATATCCTTAACCCTTTCCGTGCGGTGGGCACGTATACGTACCCACGACAAAACTCGCTAGATTGCGGCGGGTACGTTGATGTACTCCACTGTTTTATTTAGCAATCGGTCGCAAACTGTTGGTCTAGTTTTTCCGGGTTTCAGTTTATTGATAAGAAGTCTTCTTCGAGATTAACATAAGCGACGATAAATCTGGCTTTCGTTTACCGTGGGAATTTTATTTGCGGTGGAATGAGGGAGTGTTTTTTAAATTTATGCAAATTTCGGTGTTTTTTGGGTGGTAATAGAAGACATATTATCCCTTCCATCTACCAAAGTATTTTGAGTTAGATAGCGAAATTACTACAGCAATATTATGCTATTGTTTGCCAACCAAGAAGCGGTAACAGTAAAGGATTTAGCGAATATTTCTATTTTTTATTACGGTTTGAAGTTTCAACACCCAAGAAAAATAATGCCTTTTTTCTATCCGGTTTGTGACTCAGACCACCCCTTTTAAAAATTTTTTTTTTTTTAATGGCCAATTGCAAGCTCTTTAAATAAGCTTTTCAACGAGCCGTCAGTGGGCAGCAGAGGATCATTAGTTTTTCGTTAGTCGATCGATTAGTTGTGGGGGTACAAATGCATGAAGTCGGCGTAGCAAATACGATTATTTAATAAAAAATAAAAATCGCATGGAAAGGGTTAATTGGCCATTATGTCCTCAAATTTGATATTGAATATGATATATTACACAAAATAGAATTTTAATTTCATTAAGCTCCTTGAAGACACCATTACAGTAATATTCTATTCAATTTTCAATGGGATCAAGTTCTTTAATTAAACACGCCAAGTCCCAATACTAATATGGCTCGATATTTTCAGTCTCTGTGGCATTGAAAAATCCATTTTATGGCAGTGACAATATTTTATGAGAAATATATTGATGCCAGTTAGAATATTCTGATTTCGATTACTGACAGTCTGTCAGTTTCTAGTCTCTATTCTATTAAGAAAATGACTTCGCAATTCTTACCCCTTTTATTTATTCAATCATTATTTACATAATGATGCAATGTTATTCATATGTGCATTGAATACAAAGATAGGGAGAATGTCCCGAACCATCTATGGAATAAAATACTACAATATCAACTATTATTAAATGTAGCAGAGTGTTAATTAATTAGGTGATATTAGAATCTATAATTTGTTGAGTCGTTAATTTGTCTAATAAAAATTCGCGGACTGAACAAATATCTCATTTGAATGTATGATAAATATAAATAACTTAATCTCTTTCCATGGAATAACAAGTGAGATTTCGTTAGATCAAGCATCCTTTTGTAGCAAAGGACTCATATGGGTTTAAAGTATGAAGTAGACAAAATGAAAGGAACTGCAGATTAATACATAATATCCCAGTGTCCTCTTGAATTTATAATATTATATTCATCATTTTCATTCTTTATATTTAACAACAGGGTCATTTGTATAACTTGAAATTACTACCCACTTTTAATACTCCTACTCAAGAAAGCATCAAAGTTTTTTCAAACCTTGAAATCTGTTTCGTGAATATATGCATTATAGAATGATCATTTATTGCATGTTCAATGATGCTACATTAAATGGGAGGCCAATGTTTGTTAGCCGATTATAGCATCTATTATTGAAACCTTTGCTACTTTTAAATACAGTATAATAGATTTTACTTATTTGTAAGTTCTTGGAAGTTTAATCATACGCTCCACTGTTTTACAAGGTAACTGAAGTTTGTAATCAATACCATTGTGATTAATCTCTTGATATCAATACTTGTTAACTTATTGATCTTATTCTGCATAATTTATGTATTTTTGTTGTAGTTCGTCATCCTAGTTGTGGATAGTACAGATAGAGAAAGACTTCATATATCTAAGAAGGAATTACATGAAATGCTACAAAATGAGGTGGGTTCGATGGCTACTCAATTATAAGTGTTCCCTTTAAAATTGCATTTGCTGATATATAAGTGGCTAGCTAAGGCTGATTAGTCATTACCCAGGCATTGGCTTGGAAATGGACTTCTCACACATTTTATATTAGAAGAAGCGAAAGCTTGAAATTTTTATGTGTTACGACTTAACCTTCGTTAGAGTTGTAAATGGAATTGGGAACTTTAGTTACAGACCAAACCTCAAGTCTTTGAATGGAATACATTTATATCAGAAACACGTTCCAATGTCATTTAGCATGCATGGCGTGACAATGGACTTTTCACACATACTGTGTTGTTAAACCTATTAATTAAAGATTATCTTATTAGAACACTGATATTCTGTATTCTTTCAATGGAGTTTATTTTTACATATTGTGTAAAATGTATTGTATAGAAGGAGCATGATATATTCCTATATCCTACAAATTAGCTCAGTGAACAGATCGGAAAGCCAAAAAAAAAGATAGTGAATTTTATTTTTTTCTCTCCCTCTCTCAAATGCCTTCTTTCAACCTTTATGCTATTTCTATTTCGGGTCATGATGCATTTGTTAATTGATTTGCTTTGGAATTTTATAATCAATTCCATTAAACAGACTTTTGGATTCTTAAATGTCTGGGCTATGATAACTTGCTTCTATTATTACCAACCTCTTTTTATTTTTTATCCGTATTTGCTATTCACCTTTATACAAAAAAAAATAAATAAATGAGGGGTCATTTCATTCATATGATTATGTAACTTTATGTTCGCCGAATTGTTTACCAAACCAATATATGAATGAAGTGTGACATTCTATTATGTTGTTGAATGTTTAAAAATATGTCCTATTATATCAGTTAACTAAGGTTTTTTTTTTCGTTAATGTAAATGAACCGCGAAGATTTCTTAAAAAAAGTACCTTTATGTTAATTAAATTTCCAAATAAATGCCTTTTAGTAAGTCTTGAAAATAACTGCCTGGGTAATACTCTCATAGCTTTTATGAAATGTGGTTTTCCAAGAATGCTGTTGTGAATTCTATTCCAAGCAAATATAATATTTAGTTCAAAAAAGACACATCGAAGTTTTTTCATTGTAACCTTTGAATAACGAAATTGTAATTGAAATCACAATAGCCTTGGTTCAACAGAGCACAGAAGCCATAAGCCCATATTTGAATCAATTCAAAAATTGTTTATATTTTCTAAAATGAATTCTTCATCTAATGAATATCATTAATTATTTTCATGCAAAAATTCGACGAATTAGACCCTGTTTGTGACACTTCATTCGACTTGTGACACTGTAAAAATGTAAATCAATATCATTTTTTTTTATTCCAAGTTCCAACCATTGTATGCATGTACAAAAATGAAGAAACATGACATATAAATTTTTAAATCACTGAAATCAATATTTGTGAATTAGTTAACACTGCCAATTTTTTTGGTAAACATGATTCAATATTTTATTTTGGATTCATTCGATTCTGTATATGTCAGGCGAGGGCAAACAATTTAGGAATTTACTTTAACTTTATAAGGAAATCTTGGTACCTGACCGACATTTACCGGGAATTTTAAATTTCTTTAATATCCGAGTATAGGAGTGTAGTTTTTTTTAATTAAGTAGAGTAAAATTCGGTAATTACCACATACAACAAGCATTACAATTTGTAATATTTTCATAACCCATTACAGGACCTCAAAAAAGCTAAATTACTTGTATACGCCAACAAACAAGATATCAAAGGTTGTATGACAGCCGCAGAAATATCTCAACAATTGAAATTAACATCTGTAAAAGATCACACATGGCAAATACAAGCTTGTTGTGCACTCACTGGATCAGGGTGAGTGAAAATATATGAACTGGCTGACATTTGCTATAGGTCAGATTTAAGTATCTCTGCCTTCTAGGGGCACAAACTGATTCTAATGAATATAATACAGTATTAAAGGGGTGTGTGCTAGTATCATGTTTCTTCTATCGTGTACAATTCGAACGCAGACCTTATACAAACATTTGTTTTCGTCTAATCATTGTTTTCAATCTATATCAGTCGCTAAATGGCCTCAGGTACTTATTTGGATTTCGGAATGGTTTGTGATTTTTTAATTTTCCATTTAGTTCCATCGTGTTTTTGTTAGCCGTCCTTTTTTCGGTACTCCTGTAGTGTGTGTACCAGGTTAGGGTTAGGCCATAATTTTATTCCGATTTTCCTTATTTTGATTCTATTACGACTTACGAGTTTGGGGACTGTCTGACGTCGGTGTTAGCCAAGTGAATACACCCCCTGAGTACTGACCATAGTAATCAGTCCCTGTACACAACTTGATGTTAAGTAGGCGAACAAAATTAGTTGCCTCCATATTGGTACACATACTTTTGGAGTGCTCTTATTTCTTTGATATATGTGTTTATATGCTGAAGTAACGACATTCAAATTAAATATCTTATTCTCAACAAAAGTCAATAGTATTCATTATTGACTATTCATTAAATATTTCAAGCATTAAAAGATATATTTGTGTTATGCATGCTATTCATAATAATATTAAAACGCCATTTTGTAATTTAATAAGTAATTTCCTTTTAATTGTATTTCTGCTAATAAGTAGGTTCTATTTCTTTGTGGAGAATTTATGTCTCTTAATTGGACCATTCAATCCTAAGAATAATCCACACTGAAGCGATGGATAAGTTTGTATGAAAATATTAGGAGGAAAATTGCCATGAAACTTGATTTGAATAAATATGCGTTGGTTAATAATGAGGAAATTAAAATCAACGCATTGTCGAATATTTGTATTATCTTATTTATTAGATTCATATTATAGCTTTAAAGAAAATATTTATTTCCTTCAATAATTAGTGACATACTGGAAAACATTGCTACATTATCAATATTTATCATTCTATTTGTTGACATAGTAATATGAATCAATTGAGGTTGAGGTATAAATTGATTTTCCAGTTTCTGACGTGAATTCATAACCTCCCTGCTGTATGTTATATGAAAAAATATTATTAAAATAAAAGCATGCTGACATATTTGATAAGAAATTATTCACCGGCCATGTAATCTTTGCAATAATTATCTTTTGAGGTTATGAAGTTATAATTTTGTGAGTTTCGGGGCTATTGCTGTCTATAAGCCAGGAAAGAAGCTTAATAAATTTCGAATTGTAAATCTCAGTTCAGTCAACATAGAATATTCTCAGTTCTTCCTTATACCGTATTTGCTCGTTTTGTAGCCCGGGCCCATATTTTTTTTAACCAACTCACTAACTGGGCCCTTATTCAAACCGGCCCCTATTCAAGCACGGGCGCTTGTTATTTTCGATCGTTTCAATAATTAATATATTGTTATTTCCAGTTCTCAAGTATGATTTAATCGAGAATAGCGAAAACTTCGACTTTTTCTACGCACCGCAGGTACAGATCCGCAAAAGAAGAAAAGTATTGCGACGCCCTATCAAAATTGAAACGACGCTCTTGGGCGTTGCGACGCCCAGTTTGAGAACCATGGTGTTACGTAATCAATGCTATCTGTTATGTACTTGGACGCCTAAGGCGTGAGTGTTATCTACCGGCGCTCAAAATTCAACAGCATTGTGACAAAAGCGCTTCTTATTTCCTATTGTTCTCTACCACTGAAAAATCAGCTTTTACATCGGGCAGGTATTCAAGCACCGGCTCTTATTTATTTTTATGTTCTGTTCACACGGGCAGCTATTCAAACTGGCCCTTAATCAAGATCGGGCGGTAAAACGAGCATATACGGTATTTTGAAATAGCAATGCACAGTCAATTACTTAAAGCGTTAATTGCAAATTATCAACTTCGAAAAATAAGGAATATTATGTACAATATTGTGTACGTTATAACAGCTCACGATAGGATTTACACATTTATCCCTGGAAAGAAAACCTGAATCATACGTTTAGCTTCACTTTATGGTGACTTGTGTCCTATATGAAAATAGTTCGGCTATTCGTTTCTCATGTGTGGGCCGTCATACACCCCTTCCTTTATTGTTTTTTCACTTTATTTAGGTTATCAAATGGTTTGGAATGGATGCTTGAGAGCAAAAGATGATAGCAACATGTGTGAATAGTCTGACAGCTGCTGTGTGGCCGTACTACCGATGTGTAGTGATGTCACTGTCCCTGTGTTAGCTAGTTGAAGCTGGGATAAATAGAAGATGATGGTTGGTGCATGCTTCAGTTCTCCAGATTTTGCATCCCCATTCGTTCTGAAGAGGCTGTTGTATAAAATCATTATTTTAGTGATGGGTAGTTTTGACTATTAGTAAGCAGCAAGCGTATGATATTAATATTCTCCCTTCAAACATTTTCCTATTTCTTGACTTAATTTTTCCTATACTTTTGAACTATCAACTATTGTGCGGTGTGTACTGTTTTTAAATATGCCAAACTTGCCAATTACTGCAGATATTTTTCATTTGAAAAATCTTATTCAAACTACTGGCTGCATGATAGAATTATGACTGGTCATATTCAATGAAGTTTAAAACAAGTCAAATGTGTCAAATTTATCAAATATTATTACTTATAATTGCATTTTTGCAGAGTTATTTCTTGGAATATATCGTTTCTGTCTGAATTGACTGCCTGTTTAAAATTGTGCTATGTTCATATCATTATGAATTAATAACATCCTTTACATTTGGTCTGCATAGAAAACATAATATAAAACAAAATGCAACTCTAGTAAATTTCAGTGTTTATGTGATCGAGGTTGTCACCCATACATTGCAATTATTTATTATAAAAAACGTTCATATTTGTTGTCAACATATAATTTTATTATTATTGTTTGAGGTATTTTCATTAATTATACAAAATCAAAAATGTTTATTAGAAATATTAGACTTAAAACATTATATTTTAGATTGTTATCTAGGTTTTATGAATCTGTAACACCATATTGATATTTCTTCAAACTTTTTGGAAATATAAAACATCTCATTGTTCTTAACTCACAGTCTATGTTCAACAGTTGAAATATGGAATTGCAATGACTTATTTTGTGAGTGCCATATCATGAAGCATTTAGGCAGTGTTCTCCTTTGCATGCATCAATGTGTTCCACAAATTATGATGTTGTCTGTGCTTCCCACATGTATTTAGGTTTATCTTACAAACACTTGTATTCTTTCAGAAATGTGTGTACTTATTGATGTGTTTCTGTCCAGCATGAATATTCGTAATCCAGAGGGATGATAATGAATATGGTTTCATATAATTCCTAAATTCAAGCGTTTCATCTATATTTTTTCTCAAGTCATCACAGTTTTGGCTTCCATTCATTTAATTTCATATGACTTCCATGAAAAACTTCCAAATCACTTGCTGACTGTAGGTTATCATATATTTTGCATACAACAATGCTGCCGAGGGATAGTTAATCAATGGCCAGTAGTCTTTCGTGTTTCAATTAATATTCTACCATTCCCGATAAAAATGGAAAAAAAACATCTTTTGTTTTACATGAAATCAAATACTCAGAATATCCGTTTCGCAAGTTTTTATATACATGAAATGTTCAATTTAGTCAATCGGCCCTTTTTTTGTGATGTGCTGAGTTACCATTCCCATATTATACCTTGTCTGGGCAGCTTTCTCAGATAACGTCATAGAAAAGTACATATTTTCAGCAATTTTGTTGTGGATATATGATATCGATATTGTGGTTTTCTTTTATTTAACACCAACATATGAGATTGTCTGTATAGTGCAGACGATTTCATTGATTTTATTTAGTGTGGTTTCGTTCTCTATTAATAAATACACTTGTTTGCTTAAGCACTTCAAGCCTAACGCATAAATGGTTCATTACCTGTATAATGGATTGATCGTTTATCTGCCTAATAATCTGTTTTATGTTTACACAATATTTTGGTGTATTTTTATGTGAAACTCTGTTAAATATAGTATATTTATTGTGACGCCATTTATCATGGATCATTGCCCTGATATATATATATATATGGCAGTGGCGGCGCGTGGTCATTTTGACAACCGGGGCAAGCTACTGCGGGACCAAGGCACCCCCATCTACGGGGACATGATGAGCGCTGTAAGTTCTCCCATCATTTTATGAGGATAAAAACCATTCCATCGGTAACAACCAATCGGCAAAAGCGACAATTTTTAACGATAAGAAAGTGTCTTTAAAACCGGTCCAAGTCAAGGGATTAATAAATATAGACATAATTTATTTTGAAACCTCTTTCAAAAGGAAAGGCAATATTTACCCAGATAAATACAATGACATATTAACAGAAACTTCGGGAAAGCAGACAAAACCTAAAATAAGGTTTAAAACGTTACTATGAAGAAAGGAAAGCTAATGCAAAGATAAGGACATGCGTCGCTCACTCATAGATATATATGCTGCTAGACTTCTACTGCTTGAACATATATGCAACACGCCGCGGTTTCTTGGAAGCAAAATGCTCAATAACGCGCTGATTAAAGTCATGCATCCCAGAAATAACGTCTCTGTGAATGGCTAAAACAGCCAAGGAATTTAATCTATCTTGCTTCATTGTGTTTCTGAGATACGTTTTAATACGCTTCAGCGTGCTGAATGTTCGCTCTGCGTCGGCGGAAGAAATAGGCGTCGTCAAAATGATGTCCAGAAATTTTGCAGACGCCGCAAAGGTAGTTACTAGAGTGTTATCTATGAGGAACCCATAGAGCGCGCAAGTTGATGTGATGTTCAAAAAAGTTTGATTGGTGTATATACATCGCAATTCATTTTTCAATTTACCCACGTTTATCATGGGGTAAAATTTGGAGACAGTAGCCAACAAATGGATGGGAAATTGACGTGCAAATTTTGGAAAAAAATTTGGGGTTCATCAAAGAGAACGCGGCAAGGTGTTCAGTGCGCAGACGATCGCCTATTTGATTCACCAGAATGTGACAGCATTCCTTTGCAGACAAAATCAAACGCTGCGTTGTTTGCCCGCGGCGTAAAGAAGCACTCCATGTGTCGTCGTATTTTATTGTTTCCCGGATACGAGATACAGCATCGCAGAAGTCTGAAATACACGACTGCACAGACGCTCCATCCATTAGCCTTGACTGCAATGCGCCGTATAATACATCCACGTAATAGAATATTGTGGAGAAAAAAGCGAGAAAAAAATGAAAACTCACCATCTTCTAGCAGACGCTTTAGACCTGCCGCCTCCCTCACAGAGCGTTCGTCCCAAACCGGAGAGCTCTGAATGCCATTGAAACACTCAATGAGCTCAAACCTAATTTCGGACACGCCCTGCACCACGCGGGGTATCAGGACACATATTTTTAATAACGAGGTTAAAATGGTGTGCATAACAATGTAAAAAATGCGCATGAGGAAAATCTTCTTTTATATAAACTTGGAACACCATGTTTCGACCCACTCATGACTGCCGCGCCGTCATAAGTTTGAGCTATCAATTTTGACTTCGCGTTGTAAGGCTGTAACACTTCTTTCAGTACAGCCGATATCCCGCAAGCCGTGCGATCAACGATTGGTACAAAGCTGTGAAATCTCTCGGTAGGTTTACCATCTTTCACAAACCGAAAAATCACAGCCAGTTGGGAAACGCACGTGATGTCAGTTGTCTCGTCAGACTGAATCGAAAGGAACTGGCAATTCTCAATTTCCAGAGCCAAATGTTGTAAATAAATTTTATACATTGAGTCGAGCAAATCATTTTGGATATCCTTAGATGTCCCTTTCGAAACAGTTGCGGCATCAAGATGATCTCTCAATACTGTATCTAGGGATGCGTGTATTCGACCATATCCAAAAATACCCCTCTATTAGAAGAGCCAGCCCGTTCATCGTGCCCACGGAGGGACAGCTCGTGACAACCAATGAACTTCAAAACATCTATCAATCGACCGAGAACATGGCGGTTTTTCTCGACGTTTTGGTTGTGCCGACGAATAGAAACCGCGCGTCCTTCATCCAACTGTGCTGCAATATTAACATTTCCGAATGTTCGGTATTTTACTGCATTGTCCATATGCTCCATAGAAGATTGATGATCCCTGGCACGCTCGGAAAGATGTTTAAGATCTCTGAAACCAAATTTACACCAACGTGAGTCACGGGCGGTAGCAAAAAGTAGGCAATAAAAACAAAAAAGTGAATTTTTGTCCTCGCTGTAACACAATCATTCGTGTTTTTTATACCAAGTTTTTGCGCAGAATGTACGCCGACGCTTTCCTCCGTCATGGGATTGTTCCAGTGAACAATTTTTTGGTTGATAAGGCCCAAGACGTTGTACCTCTAATTTTTGTTCCAGCGGCAGCTGCGAAAACGGAGTGCGAAGTAGTGCATCAACCTTATTCATTATGAAATCTAAGGCTAAGAAATGCAAAGCCGGAAAGAAGTGAGGAGCTCAAAAGGAATGTGGAAAATCGAAAGCAAATGGACTAAAGGTCTCTAACTGATTCAAATAGCGAAACAAGCGACAAAAACGAAGGCGAGGAAACTATCAACTCTTCAAGCAACCAACGAACGAGAAGGAATGCGTGAATATGTCAACACGTTGTTGTAAGAAACGTCGGCGTTGTGTCGTCGTAATTTCGGGGCTAGCCCCGATGATTTAGTAAAAGAAACAGAAAACAAACGAGACAAACGCGGCGAGTGGAAGATAAAAGAGAGAATACGATATACAATGAGCAACCGGGGCAAAATCGGATTCGCCCTGTCGACGTTCGGCGAAGGCTTTGCGAGCGAAAAATGAACCATGTCGGGAGAATATGGCTAGTGTAGACAGTCTGTGCAACCGATATTGAGGTATTTTTCGAATATTTTTTATTATACCGAAAAAACAACCGGGGCATTGGCCCTATTGACGCGCCGCCACTGATATATGGTAAAATCGGCGATAATTTCAAGAATTTGTTCAAGTTCACGAATGTGTTAATATTATTTCAACAAATTTGTGTGGCAGTGCCGTCGATTCTAAAAATATGCCATGGAATCGATTCATTGAGTCTATAGTTGAATGACTGAATGAAAGTCGTGCCTGTATTGCCATCCTGCCTCTCTTCCCAAATCTTTTGGAGTCGTACCGACCAGCCGTTGAGAACCGGTGTGGTGCCGGTCCGCAAGGAATTTCGTTGTTTTCTGCCATCGCAACGGCGTGGCGAACTTGATTCATTAGAATTTTTACCGCAGCTATATTGGATGTCTGATAAGTGCCTCGGCCGTCGAGTAATCACGCTTTCCGGTCCGCCGCGAAAGCGTTTTGTAAAACGGAATGAATGTAAGCTGTATGTTGGTATCCTGTACAGAGGGAGGAAATCCTGCAAATCGTTCGCCACATCAAATTTCGAAGCAGAAAAGACTTCGAGAGGACGAGGACAAAAGGCACACAGGTGCGAGTGTTGTAGCGTACTGTAAATGATTTCAGTCAGAATATACAGAAACAAATCGCGATCGTAATGGAAAAAGCTTTTTTGAGGTCGAAATTGCAGGACATAACAGCTCTGAAGCCCAGGTAACACACAGTTTAATTGGAGAAATGATAGCGCGAGACTGTCCTAAAGGGATTTTGTGAGCCATATAACCCAGGTACAGCGTCCCTAGCCGGAACGATTTTTATATTTTTTTTTACAAACCTGTGCGTGACAAAGTACAAATGACTATCCAGCATGCAGAAAATGCCGGTTCTACGATATATGGAGCGTTGCCAATACCAAAAAAAAAATCGATATTGTACTATGCACAATACATTTTTCAGCTTCCCACACTCCTGCTCTACATGAATTCCACATTCCCAGCTATAAAATTCACGTCTTGGCGAGCGACCACGAACCACGAATGTTTTCTCTTGTCTTCTGCATACACTCCAGCTAGTCCTTCGACTTCGAAGAATATAAGTGTGACGTAAATAGTTACATTTTATGAACAGAATGGCAGAAATGCGTAAGCTATAAACAAAACAAAAAACCTTGGGGAGCGTAATGGGGACGTTACCAAAACTTTGTCGGCACTAAATACTAAAAAGAAACTCGAAGCTGCCCGTGACCCAACGAGGCGAAAAAAGAGGTGTGAGAAGCACGCCGTCAAATCGAATTAGTAAGAAACGTAAAGTTTCGTTAATGGCCCCATATCATGAAAGTCTATGGCAACCTAAAATACAACTTACACAGACTACGATCATAATCTAACAAGCATATTGCTTCATAAAGATTTCATTAACAGTAGAATTGGTTAAAAGCAGAAACTTATGACCTCAGGCGGGCCAGTCTGAATCACTAACGGGCCGGATTTGCCCATGTCGATCCTAGGCCCTTTCATTGTCTAAACCCGTTCCTGCATATAGAGGACTTGCACGGGTCACGTGACTTTGTTTACTGGACGGCAAAAAAAACAAAAACGTCCATTTGGCTCCTGTCAGTTGCAAGTCGGATTATACGTTTCCGTTTTGTTTGGCTGTTGAAAATAATTATTTTTTATTGTTCCGTTGTACGTATAGTATAGACAACGAAATGGATCTTCAGTTATATTCCACTGTTTTCAAAAGATCCGGAACGTCGCGCAATGTGGATATCATCTATTGGCATTTGGCAGGACTGCTTGGTGTCAAGTCCAGAAGTCATTTCGTTTGTGTGTCACTGTTTGCGGACAGCATTTCGTTGATGGTGAGTGATAATGTGCCGTTATCAATTTCTTTAAATATTCATAAGCTCTCTCATTTCAATGGAAAGCAGATGACAAACTACTGTTATTGGTAGGCCTAGGCTACTTGCAGACTTGACTTGCACACTTGTGTAAAGAAATAATCATCAATTGCCATAAGGTATTGTTTCCCTAGTTAGCAGGTAAACTATTACTAAATGTGAAAGGTTGAATAGATAACTAAAGTTTAACACCAGTGGTCATGCGAAAAATAACCAGAATGCAATTGAATTCGCCATTTAGGTATACGCTCGCCACCGGGGATTAGTTAGCCAGTTATTTGTTTTCAGAAGCATGGACTTTATGGTGGGGGATGTCGTAATCGACCAGCGGTCGTGTGAACCACCCTCAGTGGGAGGAGAGCAGCAATCCTCTCGCACATAACTATTCCCGCATGGGATTGGAACCTGTGAAACTACCAGGGTGATCAGAGATGCGGTGGCGAGCGTATTCCTAGATGGCGAATTCAATTGAATTCTGGTTATTTTTTGCATGAGCACTGGCGTTTAACTTTAGTTATCTATTCAACTTTTCACACTTACTAATAGATTACCTGCTAACTAGGGAAACAATACCTTATGGCAATTGAAGATTAATTTCTTACACAAGTCAAGTCTGCAAGTAGGCCTACCAATAACAGTAGTTTGTCATCTGCTTTCCATTGAAATGAAGAAGCTTATGAATATTTAAAGAAATTGATAACGGCACATTATCACTCACCATCAACGAAGTGCTGTCCGCAAACAACACAATCGAGATGACTTCTGGACTTGACACCAAGCAGTCCTGCCAATAGATGATATCCACATTGCGCGACGTTCCGGGTCTTTTGAAAACAGTGGAATATAACTGAAGATCCATTTCGTTGTCTATACTATACGTACAGCCAACGGAACAATACGAAATAACCATTTTCAACAGCCAAACAAAACGGAAACGTATAATCCGACTTGCAACTGACAGGAGCCAAATGGACGTTTTTGTTTTTTTTGCCGTCCAGTAAACAAAGTCAAGTGGCTCGAAGTTTGAAATGTGGCTCTCATCCAAAGTTCTGATGGACTTTTGTTCTCAAAACATATTGAGTGAGATTCTAACTAGCTTCCAACAATTTTTCAACTTCGAAAGCCTGTACTATTTTTATTAATATGTCAAACAAAACCCGAATGGCAGATTGCCAACAGGCAAAACAATACAAATGCTATCAAACCCCATCGCCTCGGAACGGTGTGTGATAGGTTTTGACGGGAGATTCGGGGTTGCGGAAAATGTATCTAGATAGATAGGATAGAGGTAGCTGCAGACAGAGAAAGCAAATAGACCGGCAAGAAGGGACTTGCAGGGAGATCCAGGGAGAAGAAGTATCTCCGAATATAAAAACAGCGGAGGCGAGCGCGAGATGGAAGCCACAGAGAGAGCAAGAGACCGACGAGAGGGGATTTGACTGAGGTGGTCCGAAGAGGGAAAAGACACGGCGAGCGAAAAACAATCCGGCGAAAACAGAAAGAGAAAAACATCAGAGGCAAGCTGCAGAGTGAAAAAAAAAGTCGATCGAAAGGAGACTGAAGAATAGCACAAGAAAAGTCGCGGAGAGCGCGACGTGCAAGATGAAGGCGGTAGCCCTCTACCTACCGCAGAAATGAGATTAGGAAGAGCGCTGAGGAGGATAATGGCGGAAATACAGCGTGATAGTGACTGACATGGACGGAAATTTTACCGCAATTTTTTTTTCGTATATTGAACGCCACATCTTTTTCTCCGAACAAAGCCAGATCAAAGTAGCCACTGATATCTAACAATACCTTGAAAACAATCGCTCTTAAATTGGGAAATACAGCTCCCTAGAGGGCGAAAGAGATACATGCAATACGAGAAAAAGGGGGCGAGGAGCGATATTTTAAAGGTAAGAAATCTTGCGGCACTTTTTTTTATAATCCAAGTATAAAAACCTGATTTACTTGCGATGTAATAATAACAAATGTATTACATGGGGCGAAGATAAATGAAAGTTTGAGTAATGGCCTGGGTTCTGTATTTTTGAATCACTGTCGTTGTTTAGCAAGCTTGTACTGGTAACCATCGACTAACAGTATGCTGCCCAGATTTAGAACGAACAGCACGGCGCGAGTTGTGAGCGGAGTCGCAATTTCATACTTTCAAAGATGATATTAAAATGAAAATTATTTTGTTTCAAAAAGCATCACGTCACAAAACGTGACGCATGCATACGCCCAGTGGAAGGATTCAATTTTTTTCGTCAGCCGGTTCTATCACAAAAGTCATATTTTTTACCAGGTTTTGTTACAATAAGTCATTGAGATTAACCAGTAATCCTAACCGGTTCGCTGATCTCATAAAATTCCATGCGACGGCTCTATAGAACCGGTGCGAACCGGCTGAATCCCACCACTGCACACGCCAATGTTTTGTTATTAAAATTTGATTTTTCCTGAGCTTTGACCAAGTCAAAACAATATTGTTCGATTGCAAATCCCACCAACCACCCCCATTTTTTTTTTTCATAAGTTTTGTCAAACAAGAATTTATTACAAACCATCAGTTCTCACTCAGTCACTAGTGTATTGTTGGTGCAAAATCGAATTCATGGAGTTCCCGTGATCCGAATTTTAATACTGGTATTTGAAACTATTCCCGGATACCGAAACCTAAGTATTATGATCGCTATAAATTTCGCAATTGCACGTATAACTTTACTGACAGCTTGTGTTTGAGGTTTGTTTGAGATTTATACACAAAGTTTCTAAAATTGATGGTTTGGTTTCCACGCATGTGGTGCCTGGAGTCGTTCTCTGCCATGGGAACGAGCGATACTGAGAATATCAGGTCGCCTAAACGTATTTGAAACACCTGCTCCCACTAATACGTGCTATTTTACCTTAATATGATTTAATATAGGTAACGCTGCTCGATAACCATAATTGATATATCGCGTCTCCCTGCACACTAAAATGCATTTTTTTTTTCGGCGTTCCAGAAGTATTTGTACCAATATGGAGGTAACTAATTTTGTTCGCCTATTTTGCATCAAGTTGTGTAAAGTGACTGAAACCTATGGACAGGGGGTATATTCACTTGGCTAACACAGACAGTCCCCGAACTTGTAATAGAACTAAAATAAGGAAAATCGGAATAAAATTACGCCCTAACCGTAACCTGGTACACATACTACGGGAGTATCTTTTTTTCTTTATTCGGCATATACAATATGTATTTTCGGTATAGGAAAAAATCACTGACTAACGGGTACAGAACTATTTACAGAGATATACAGAAGGGACACCACATGTTGCCACGGTTCACTTATGTTTTCGAAACCCTGAGACTTTTTTCCAAATCAAACATAACATATAACTTTCAAGATTTTTTTATATTGTGTGTCAATGGATCATGGATAATATATCATTGTTAACTGAATATTTACATTTAACATCAATGCAATGCACATATCATATCTTGCGTTCGCACAAAGCATTAAAGTGAGCGCAGCATTCTCCGTCATCAATCTGGTAGTTTATATCTCTGGATATCCAACCGCAGTTTTGATTTCCTCCGTAATTGTCAGGTTGGCCAGATCCCCAGTTCCCTGTGTGCACGAACGGTTTTCCGTCCAACCAACGCCAATTACCCTCGCTCTTGATATCTGTCAATCCGATCCAGTAACCTTTCATGTTATTATTTCGTAGTCTGGCAGTTAAATACCTAATAATGAAAACAAGCGATTAGCAGCTACACTTTAAAGTCTAAATTAAAATTGGAATGTGCGAAATTGAAGGATAATTAATGTACATAAACAAATTTTTATTGGCGTGTGTTATTGAGAGTGAAGAGTTAATATCAAATCGGTAATCCCGAAGTATGTGAACCAAGATGGCGGACACCGGAACGTAGTATGTGTACCAGGTCCTGGTTAGGCCATAATTTTAGGTGCTAATACTACGGGAGTCACTTGGCTAGTCCCTGAACTCGTAATAGAACTAACATTGGAATAAAATTATTGCCTAACCTTAACCTGGTACACATACCACGTTCCAGTGTCCGCCATCTTGGTTCACATACTTCGAGAGTACCATCAAATTAACATAATATCATAACATTAATATTAGACCTATTGACTGTTTTGGATATACATTTGCGAGTGGGAGTCTTCGTATCCTAGTCTCAACAATTTAGAAATGCGATGGATGAGCTATGCTGCGTTACAGCGTAAAGAAAACTTTGCGAAACTAAAAGAATACTTACTTTAAATTTTCTTCATTTTGAACGGCAGCGTAAGGAATATCGGCCCCATTTTCCATGCAAATTTTGCGTGCAGTATTGAAGTCCACCGCTGCCCCGAATATTTTGTATTGATATCCGCCCCTGCCTGTTAGCCATCCAGGTTCGCTGCAATCTGAAATATGGGTAAATAAAAATGGATATAGAAAAAATGGGGATCTTTTGTACAAAGCCCCACCAAAAAAAACGCAAACTCTCAAAATGAGAAAATTAGTAAATATCCAATTAGAGTTATAATGCAGATTGCGCTGCAAATTCAAATTTTCAAATCATTCCTAACTCTAACTGGGTGATTACTGATTTTTTATTTCAAAACATTGCGTGGTTGTTTTTCTCAAAGTTCACATTTTTGCGTCATAGTAGTGAGGGCTTTGTACAAAGGATCTAAAAATGGCTGTCATGAATATAGAGTTGAGAGATACAAACGGAGTTTTACAGAATATTGACCAGATCAATAACCCCATAATATAAGCTCAGATTGTAACCTAAAATTGTTTTAAAAACTCAAATTACTCATTTTTATTAACTAAACCTAAATTTATAAACCTATTAATACATCGAAAAAAAAAAAAACGATTGTAGAGGCTTTCGCTTAATTTAACGGGTGTGCACAATACCATATTTCTTGGCTTTCTTGAATTTGCTGAATTGCATTATTTGAGCTTACATTATCAAAAATGACATTGGCATATGCTTACTTTACGGTAAATTTGAGCAATTAAATAAGTTAAATCTTGGTTTAGATCATTTTTTCTAATCTGAAAATACTTGGAAATGTGAACTTACGCCCTGACGATGATCCTCGTCCACCTGTAGAAAATGGTAGAATAAATATAGTTTTAACTTACTGTAATTTTTTATATAGATATTAAAGTCAGATTTTATACATGCAAATTTAGTTTAGACCACACATTACTTAATAAGATACCATTGTGAACAACGCAGCAATCGTTATAGCAATGTTAACAAAATGGCCCTCAGGAGAAGATCAATATACGACTTTCAACGTAGGTTGTTTTCACATATGTCGATTTTCAGAATAAAGCATTGGTTCGAAATATGAATTAGATAACCAGTAAAATATCTATTCTTTGTGCTGATTAAAAATGGTTGCATAATAGGTCTTCTTACAATCAAGCCTGACGCGGAGAACAAGATAACTGAAGATAATTTTAAAACAAAAAACAGAGTGATTAATTCTATTTTTATTACCCGAAGATCCTTTACGGGCAGCTCGTTTTCCTGCTGCTTTCCACGCCTGTAAATAAAACAAAAAAAAAAACAAGTTCGATCGTCTATTGCTCAAATAAACTTATTTATTTTCATTATGGTCTGAAAAGTGAAATGCTAATATCTTGACCATACAATACTAAACACCACACGGTTACTACCTCATTTATTCGACCAAATTGTCCATGTTGGGCTATTGGTCTTTTGCGACTTTCCTTTTGGTGGTTTCCCGCATTTGGGTGATTTCACGCCTGAGTGGGTTATTGTGACGTTGTTTTGAGGAACATTTTTATTAAAAAATCAAACAATTTTTATGGCGTACTGCATTTTATTAAATTATTCTTAAAGAACAATTCTTGATAAAAATGCATATACTAGAGAAAAACACTATTTTATTGTTTTTATCATTATATTAAATAAAAAAATGTAATTTTCATGGCATATTAAAATTTACTTAAAAGTAATTTTTAAGCGAAGATTTTCAGAAATAACAATAAATATAATTCAGTACCAATTAGTATCAAAATCTATATTTGGGTAAACATTATTCTTTCGATATTCCTTTCTTTCAAATATTTAACGAATCCTAGTTTTATACTAATTTTTACTGAAATTTTAAATAAACACGGGCAATAAACAAGTACAATATTTGTAATGACGGAAAAACATCTACAGAAAATTTCAACACAATAATTAGGTATTAAAGTAAAGATTCTTACATTTATATCTTTTGTTGTTGGCAGATCACGGAACTCCGAAATTATTTTCCCATCATCACTCTCACATACAACTGGGACTTTGCAATCTTGACTGTTGACGATATCAGACCAAGCCAAAAGCAAAACAAGCGAAATAAATGCGCAGTTTTTCATTGTATTGGAATTCTAGAACCAGCGTTTAAAAAACAAAATCAGAATAAAAATAAATCAAATTTAAATATTGTTTCGAATTTACATTCTTCTGGCCATGCCCGTGAATAAACTCAAAACCAACTGCTATACTGATTCATAACATACTTCGTTTCATATAAACTAGTGATATGCTACTTTTTGCTTTAATTAGTGATAAATACGGTTGCCGACGTTTGATTTACAATGTTCCCCGCAGATTTTGTATTTCAAAATAAATTATAAAATTTTATTACTCGTCGAATAATATGAAAAATAATTACAGTCCAATTTTACAACAATAAAATTAATTGTTTTGTTTTTTCTTAAAGCTTCATTCCTGCAAATTAAACGAAATTCATTAACTTAGATTTGTTGAATATTGTATTCTTCAAATTCAATCTACCTATATGTTCTAGCTAAGCTAAAGCACGCGATCTGCGCTGCAAATTCAATTTTCATCTTTGCTGCTTTTATTTTTTCGCAATAATTCGACGTTCGCTATCGCCTTTCTCTTCTATACCAAAATTGACATCGGACATCAACGGGTTAAAATAACCACTAACAACTTCTAAAACGAGCAAAGTAAGTTCATCTCTTTCAAAATTTATTAAAATCTCTGATTCTTCAGATCGAACTGGTTTTTAATAAAATTACTTAGCAGGTATGACTAAAACTACACGACAACCAATCAAAATCGTAATCCTGTTTAACTGAAATATTGACGTAAACCGAAATCACATGGTTTACCACATGATATATCTAGACGTCACGAATAACATATAAAAATGTCAATTTAATTACGATTTGTTTCTCTTTACTGTTTATAGATGCCACAGTTTAATCGGTTTAACCTAAGCTCTTAAAAACAGCAACACTCCAAGGCATACCATTTTGAATTAGTGGCCACAAACTAGCAAATTTAGCAAATAATAAACACGAAGCTCGTTTTATACTTATTTATTAAAAGCAGATTAAATTTCAAAACACTATAGCCTCGTTGATAAACAAGTTGACGATAACTGGTAATGCGACATTAGGGTGGTTTTTGTGAAACGATCTTACCAAATATGGATTTAATAAAACCTTCGCCCAATATCTTATAATTTTCCAAATTTAAAGTTATAATATTCATTGATTAGTTGATAAAGCTTATAGATAGATATGCAATCATTGCTCGCGCTACTGCGTTTTATATTATTGACTTTTCCAAAATATCTGAAGTTCTAACTCATGAATTCTCCAGACTTTAAATGGTTGTTCACATAGATGAACTAACATGCTATGCCTAGCTACTTAGGAGTTCAAAACGTACGCTTTTGTTGTTGCTTTTTAACACTCTACACCTCGCTACTGGGTTTCAAACCTTTGTCGCGAGTTTGGGCGCCTCCATTTCGAATATCATACACATTACTTTTCTCTGATCATATAAACTCTATTTGATTAACATTTTAATTCTAAAAACCTTCTGAAATAAATCACTAATTGTATAGTACGATAATATTCGATAGCTTTCAACCTTTTATCTAATGATATATCTTTAAAAAATTGTTAGCATCCAAAAACAAATGATACTCCGACCCAATAAGCAATATTTGTGAACTCTGAAATAGTGTTCACGTTTTCTTCTCATTCATATTTTATCAGGTATTAGTCCTTGCAAGTCGCTTAGAAAAATTGGGCTATGTATGTTATTGTGCCTGACCAGAAGACTTGATTTTAAGCTCTATGCCCTTTTCTCTATCATGGGTATAAAATATATTTATATAAACTATAAGAAACGGGAAGATTCAGTCCCTTGCATGAACAGCGTAGCTCTCGGCGTGTTAGGGGTTGTTTTGTCAGAACTTTGTGTGGAACGAGGACATAAAACTCCTCAAAATATCATTGGAAAACCTTGCAGTACCAGATAATTTTTCTTGATTGATTTTTGATATTTAATGATGTAAAATTAAAGTTGGTTTTTTAGTTCTAGTACGCTTATCGCTGTAAGTCACCACGTCCATTTGGCTATATGTGCATCACACTAATATTATTGCCAATAATGGCAAATGTAAAAGTCATTTCAGTTCGGAAAGTTTTTAATATATGAGGAATATCTCGAAATGGCATTTTAATCTTCTTCTCAAACTTAATGTTTGGTTAAAAAGATACCACCAGCAATAAAAAGTATTTGGATTCATTTTATTTACCAGTGATCGATTGACACTAAACGATTGCTGAATGATTACAAAAAAATTAAATTAAAAAATGACAAACAAAAAATGGAAGTTCTTGCCATACCTATCTTTTAAAGGTTGCTCACTTTGTACCTCACCAGGATATGCGTATATGAGTCTGTATGACATTTAAAAACTCTGATTTGAAGCAAGTGTTATCCGAAATCCTTGTCTATATTCAAGGGAAAATTCAACTAAGGTTATGAATGAAGATCATCCATTTGCTTTTCAATTTGTTCGACGAACAGGTACTTCAGTCTACTGTCAAACATCAGATTTCCCTTTTTATTTCTATGTCTGCTATTGATTTCATCTTATTTTGGGAATGTAGACACATTGCGATCATATATATATATTTTTGTGTATTTAATTTAGTAGCCTTCTTTTTCACCCAGGTAATTTGGGTGCCATCTGGTATGCGATCTCAATTGCATAACGTGATCTGAATCCCATAAACAAATTCTCACAGAATTCAGTTCCTCACCCTAACCAAATTCACCGAGATCACACAATCAAAGATCTTTTACCAAAGTAGCACAGTAATATGTATCCATCGGTCCATAGGATACACTTCAGTTGAAAGTATTTAATCGTTCTATCTTCTCAAATTTCATATTTACTCCATTAAAACTTGAATCAAAACCGGCGATTTATTATCACAATACTATTTTTCTCGCAACTGCTTTCAAAATGATATCGGGACCATTTGGTTGTCCTAACTATTTAGAGCTAGTAAAGATGTATGCACAAATTGTCTTGAATTTGAACGAGACTTGGAAGGCGAATTGGGTAGGAAAATATTACACGTTGAAGGCGTATATTTCTGTCCTTACTTATTTCAACCCTTTTGATCTGACATGAGCAAACTACGACCCACTGGGTATTTTAACCTGGCCCGACTGATGCTGTTACAACCAAACTAAAACCTAATTTGATGTTTTAGCTAAAAAAATAACTCAAGGAATTTGTTGATATTGTGATTAAGTTTAGTTTTGTTGTTTTCCACTTTTACTTTTGTAACACTGTAAATAGTTATCATAAAATGTAACTTCTTACGTCACACTTATATGACCCGCCAGTCCAGGTGGGCTAAATTTTTGGCCCGCGGTGCAAAAACCTTGCTCATCCCTGCTTTTGACAGTTACATGGATCCGAATATGCTTTGTATCACCCTCAAAACGACATGTTTACAATTGAAAATATTATCCGAAACCCTGTACATGCGTGAATTGATGGAACATATAAGAAACCTTATTTAAAAAAAAAATTTTCATTTTCCTTTTCCCATACGTCATAAACGAAACTGTAATCTTAAAACAACCTAAACCTTTAAATCTACGCACTGAAAAAACTCCTGATATATTTTTTTATGTTTATTTGTATATATTTCTGTACAACAAACATTATCTTGTTTACTTCATTTTATCCGATATGATCAAGAACATACAGAACACCAGATAATTACTAAAACTTCATTGAATATCACAAACGTGAATTAATTGTTGATTTTAAATATAAAAATACAACACTATTTGAGTCCGTATGGAAAAAATCTGGTATCTTCAAAAATATTTGTCAAATTAGCCTCATTTTTGGCATACCACCCCAAACTGGCTGGTAGCGCATACTCCGTCGTCCCAGTTATAGCCCCAGTCTCGGTTGATATAAGCACAGTCACCAGATCCGTCCGGTTGCCCCCCGTTCCATCTTGTTGTGGTAACTCGCATTCCGTTGAGCCATCTCCATTGTCCCTCTTGCGCTGTGTCAGTCATAGGAAGCCAAAAGCCGTAAATGTGCCCATTTTGTCTTAAAAAGGACTCGAATCCCCTGTTAAATAGGCATAAATATAAACAAACGTTTCGTCTGCGATAAATATTTGGGCAAAGAATATTGAATATGATTTTTCAAAAATGCCGGAGGAAACATCAATGTGAATTTTGTATACTTTTTATGACAATTTCGTATATTTTAGCTCTTCGAGAGATGCACGTCGACTACAGCTTGGCAAAGATAAAAAAAATATAAACTCAAGCAACGTATATATAAATAAACAGGCGATGACGCGTTCAGTGAGAATAAAATATTTTGACAATTAAATCTGACAGTGCATGCATTTCAAAACAAAAATAAATTTCAGTAATTCAAACCAACCCATAAGCGCTACTTGAAAACGATTCTTTTGTTGGTAAGGTACCCCCTTCGTATTCGCACAACTTTTGAGCCATTTCCCAGTTAGCTAATTCACTAACTATTTTATATTGATATCCATTGTTGCCAGAAGTCCATCCGCTTCCTTTATTGCAATCTGTAACAATTTACAAACGTTTATTGTGATTATTATGATAGGATTTCTTAATTTATTTTCAAAGCAATATACTTGTTACAACAATGGCAATTAACAACCCCAATAGTTAAATTGGAGATTTCAAAATTCATGAGAGATCAGGGCACAAAACGATTGTACTTACATCTGGAACCTCCGGTTGGCTTTCCCCCACCAGATGATGTCTAAACAAAGAAAAAGCTTTAATTAATTATTATAATATTAGTCATATATACTTTTTAGTTTTATTCATTATAAATTCCAGAGTCATTTACCCAGACACATAGTTCTCTTCAAATGTGCATGGGCAATATGTACAAATGTTAGTCCCCTACCAATATTTCTTTTATCTTGTCTGTTTTGGGTTAATTTGTTCATCATAGTTTAGCTAAGGATGAGTTAGAAAGTATAGAGAATTACCAACATAACGTAAAAAACATAAACAAAGAAGACAGACCAGAAAATTAGTAGTGATCCAAATAACAGAATAGCGCAGTAAATAACCATTCATAAGAATTATTTTGCACAGCTTCTATATAACTATCATTTAATTAAAAGTACTCACCGACGGATCCCAGTCCTTAAAGTTAGGTAATAGTTTGCAAGTTGACGTGTCTTTGCCCCTAACCATACACATTGCAGTCACTTTACATTTTTCTTTGCTGTATGCCAAATCAGCTATTGCACAAATTAGCAAAAACACTAAAACATATTTCATTTTTAATATCTGTTGTTTAGCAGCAGCGATATCAACCAAGTGGGACTTCAAAAATGATACAGGTGGAACGCGATCGTTAGCGACGATGTAAGTCTCTCTCGTTATGGAACGGTTTTTCTCTTTTTTCGTGGACGAGAGTTTCTACCTGAACCTTGCATTTCGTTATTAAATATCAGAGGCAAGTTTAAACAGAAATACGAATCTACAAATTTAATGTTTTAATAGATTTGATTTCAATAATCATAACGAAATTACATTCGGGGGCGCTCCAGAAGTGTGTTTACCAATATGAAGGAAACTAATTTTCTTCGCCTATTTCATACATCAAGTTGTGTGAAGGGACTGAAACCTCTGGGCAGGGGGGATATTCACTTGGCTAACACAGACAGTCCCCGATCTCGTAATAGAACTAAAATAAGGAAAATTGGAATAAAATTATGGCCTATCCCTAACCTGGTACACACACTACGGGAGTACCCATTCGGAAGGTTCGTTTCGCTTTGTATTTACAAACAGCTTTAAACTCTAGCGTTTATAGTCAGTGCACCTAGGCCTGACTGTGTTGTTGTCGTAGAAAGAAGCCTAGGCCACGGTAACACATTAGACAGAAAATGCCAAACCGAAGTATACCGATACCTCCATATAGTATTTACATGTTGCTTGTGTTAATTCTTGTTCAGAGTGAATTTGTGAAACATTTTAAATTGATTGTATAACTGAAATTTTTATTTTGACCTGCCGTCTGATGTTATTTTAAAACCAGCTACCAAATTAAAATTTTTTTGCAAATCTTCCAATAAATCTTATTGTTTTGTTCTTTGCAAAAACATGTTTAGCTTTAATCTTGAATGAAGGTTCGTCACATGACAGAGGTGTACAAAGACGCAATAATTATAAGCAGCATATGACCGATTATGATCGTCGTCATGTCACATGAAATCTGTTAAAGGCATACGTACAAATTCCGGAACTACGTTAACCCTTTGACAATGAGAATTCTTCAGGACTTTCTTTTCACGCGCATATCGGATTTCGCTGAATAGGCTCAAATGTCGTCTTTCCAGTTTGTGGAAAAAAAAACAAGAATAGTCTGAGCCATAAATATTTACTTGTTTTTAATTTAATGGGTTTTGCGTTTTTGCTTCTCCCCGGGGCGCTTGCTATTTCTGTGAAGTGTTGTTGCGGTCCTGTGACCATAAAATGTCACCAAATTTAATTTTCACAAAATCATTTATTTTTATACCATGACATTTCATATGTAATAGAGTTAAATGAGTACATTATCAAGTTTAACATTGCATTTAAATGTTACTTACAAAGTTTAGCAGAATTGAAAAAAAAACACCAGCCCATTTCAGTAAACTTTGAAAAATGCAAAATAAAAGTTTTCAACTAATGTTATTATAATATATCGAACGAAATGTACATTAAATCACACAAAGCAAACACTGATGAACGTTTATTAAATTTTTCTTTCACAAACGACAGACATCTTTCCATGGCATTCTCCATCGTCCCATTTTTCAGTGTCCCTGTTCATGTATGCACAATCTTGTTCTCCCCAATTGTCTGGTTGTCCTTCTTGCCAATATTTTTGATCACTGTGACTCAGCTTTCCACCATCTTCCCACATCCACGTGCCTTCAACGCCTCTGTCGGAGAGAGGAAGCCAAAAAGCCCATTCTTTCTGATTCTTCAGATAGGAACGGAAAAAGCTGTAAATGCATAAAATATTTCATGTTATACTGGCTGAATATGTAACACTACTATTAAAATGTTGCCTTATAATTCATTCAAGATAAAAGGCAATATGTCAATGAGTTATTTTAGCGGGAAAATACTATGGACATGACAGAAGACTTACTTGAACATTTCTTCGTTTTTGAAAGCTTGTCTGGGAAGAGTGGCGCTTTCACCTCTGCAAAGTTTTGCTGCAGTTTCCCAATCGGTCAGAGCCTCGATTACTAAATACTGGTAGCCACCCGGTGCCGTTACCCATCCTGGTTCTTTACACCCTAAATATAAAAAATTCTGATTTAAAACTTGCTTTACCCATTTAGTAAACATGAAGAAATTTTCAATATTTTAGACTTTTTGGTACCAATTAATTTAATATAAGCTGATCATGTTTGACGTATTTCATAGTAAACCATGCTTTCCAAAAACAAAGAATTAGGTTAATTTAAAATTTGTCCGGTAAAATTGTGACAAATTACTAAGCTATTCAAGAAACTATTATTAATAAACTTTGTCTTACTTGCCGAAGCTGTTCTGTCGCCTGAAAAATAAATATTTAAAAAACTATTATTTAAGAATGTTTAATGATAGCCATGAAAGAATCTCACATTTAATTGAGTTAATTAACAAAATTATAAAAAACGAATAGAATGCTACAAACATCCAAAATTAAAATACGTTTACGAAAATTGTGGTTATATGCAGTAGAGGCATTCAGCCGGCTCGCATCGGTTCTATAGAACCGTCTCACGGAATTTTATGAGATCAGCGAACCGGTTAGCATTACATGAATTTTGTAACAGAACCGCCTGAAAATTCGACATTTGTATGATGGAACCGGCTGACAAAAAATTTGAATCCGACCACCAAATATAGGGCTGTATTCTAAATACAGTCGAATGCAAAAAGTTTCTCAAAATTTCGGAAATTTGAAGTCTATTTTAATTTTATTTAATGACACAAATACATAGGGGTTTACCTGTAGACTTAAATGGCCCATCTATCGTTGGAATGACCTAAATATGCAAAAATAAAAGATCAGGAAAAATAATACGAATCTAATGTCAACGAGAACAGTTATTCTATCTGTCAAAGATCCCAAATATATATATATATATATGGGAAACTATTAAATTTTAGAAATCACTGATGTATATGGATATTAATTTATCTTGCCGAGAAATATTTTAAAATTGCTTTTTAAAGAAGTCATATAGTCATCTTACCTCGACGATATAATCGCTTGCTTGTGGAATCTGTTTAAAAACTACTCTTGTTTTCCCACCATCTGTGCATGCTGCGCCAACTCTGCAAACTTCTGATCTCACGAAAGCAATTGTCGCAAAAACACAAATGGACACAAGTAAAAACTTCATTCTGATTAACAATTACGCAAAGCGAATGTATCAATATGAACAATACGAACGAATTCTGTAGACTGCGGGCATTTTTTCTAACTCAAGTCTGGCGTGTTGCTTTTAGCAAAAGAAAAAAGGCATCATATTAGTTTTTATGATATGATTACAATACTTCGTGGATCGCGTATACACCAAGCGGACGAGGACGCGCGAACGAAATTAACAAGTTTACATTAATACCCAGCACGATTGGCACTGAATGGTTTATTCAATAGTTTTCATTTTACTCACTTTATTGCGGAAGCCCATTTATCTTTTAAAATTTACTATAGCGGGGTTCGATTGTTACCAAGTAGTGTGTGGAGACTGTGCGGGGGATAGTGGGTGAAATTTAGACATTGGATTCCCCAACAACGAGTATTTGAAGTTGCTCAGATATAATCATTTGTTTTCTGAGTGAATAAGTAAACTCGCGCGATCTTGCCTCAAACCAGGGGCGCACAGCCTGTCGAAGATGAAATGAGCAGACGTGCTGGAGTGTGTCGGATATCACCAAAAGTATATATATATATATATTGAGTTATAAGGGATGTTATGTTCGAAGCGTCGAAAGTTGTGTCGGCGCTTGGTTGTTACGGGTAACCGAAGCCGTAGTTATATTTTTTAATTACGAATGACAAATTGATTACTGGTATCATAAACCATAATGTTGTGTAAACATTTCTCCATTTTTCTAAAAAGGAAAAGAATATCGCCAGAAGAGAAAAGGTTCTTTATGACGGGAAATGGACTTGTTTATACTAGACTTACGTACGCTTTTCGCTCCGAGAACACCACTGATATTTAACATATGTAAAGAAGCTACTATTATTTGGAAGACCCGGAATCTTGCAAGTTCGGCATTGCATATCAAATTTATTGCATTCTCATTTTTCGAAGGAAATATCGTTTTGAATATACCGAAATCCCAGTAGGCTATTGTCGATTTGATTAGTAATTTACCGGAGAAATGTAACATTGAAGTATCAAAGACAGGCTGACTTGCCATACCGATACCGATGTATGCAATGACGACTTTGCGGAATATTTATGCGAAAACAACGTAGAGTCGCATATGCAATAGAACAAGGGTCAACCCGCGGCTCTTGCTCCGGTTTTATGACGCTATTTTTGCGTTGTGAGACGCGATTATTGCATGTGAAAGAACTGCTTCGATTAGCTACAACGACATACAAGCCAAATTTAAAGGAGGTTGTTTAATCCAAGGAATGCCAAAATCTCACTAAGTAGCAAGCATGAAAATAAATGGCTTGCTAATTTCTCTCGTAATCATTTTGGTTAGTGACATTGACAATAAACTAGCACTAACACAGAGCTGAAAAAGGGTATATCTGATGTTCATGTGTGTTCTTGTTTATGATGTGGCTCTTCGTGGGAATAAAGTACGAAATGTGGCTCTTGGTCTTTAACTCAGGGTTTCCCAAACTGGGGGCCGCAGACCTGAGGGGGTACGTGACAACTGCAGAGGAGTCCGCAACGACATGGAAAAGTCTGATCGATATTTAATGACTGATTTCAATTAAAGAGAATTTGCTTATTTTGGGTTGGGCGTTGCGGACGAATATTCATTGCTCTCAGAAAAGGCAATGCAAATCTTTCTGCAACGACCTACAATCGTGAGGCAACATTTTCACTCGTATAAATATGATGATAAAATACAGGTCGACCCTTGCCGTCCGATCTACAGGTTTGCTTGTCACAAATTGCTCCGAGAATCGAATAATTGTGCAGTGAAAAGCAAGCTAATTCATCACATCAATGCCGTTTGTGTTGTAAATGAAACATTATCTGTGTTCGTTGGTTAGGCACTGAAATTGATACGGCAAAGCGTGGGGGTCCGTTAAAATTAGGATTCTCAAATAGGGGTCCGCGGCCAAAAAGTTTGGGAAACTCTGCTCTAACGGTATGTTAGTCGTTGGCTCTAACTAACCGATAGACAGAGCTCAATTTTACTCACCAGTCAGCTAGTTTCCGCAGTTTGTTTAACATTTGTGTGCAACATTGTACCAAACATGGAACATGCACATTATAGTCTGGTTTCATAACGTATATGCAGCAAGGTGACCGTACATTTGAACCCCCGTACATTTGAACCCATGCGTATATCAACGGGTTTAAGCTATATGCGGGTGCTAAAACCCATGGGTTAGGGTTAGTACGGTTCGCCATATGGATGAGCCGTCTCATCGGCTTTCCTCTCCCCCGGGATAAATATGTAAATCCTATCCAATCCTATCCTAACTATCCGTGAAACAAAAAAATTCCATAGGTGCAATAGCATACAGGTGCAATTGTCATGGGTTCAAATGTACGTGGGTTCAAATGTAATGGAACCATGCAGCAACTGTCAAAAGAACTCTGCAATAGTAATGACTTGAACTATATGTGGTAATTTGTATTATAAGTATAAGTATAGGTTTATTTCGACTCCATAATCAGCAATAGACGATAAAAAAATAGATAAAAACAAAAGTAACTGATTATAGAATCGGGAAAGCGAACAAAACCTAGAGTAAGGTTTGAAACGTACAGATTTTAGATGGAAAGGTTGTGATAAAAGAAGTACCGTAGTACGTGTTCGCTCACCCAAATTCCACATTTTGGTATTCTCAACTTACCGGTATCTGTTTACTGGCAACTGTACCGATACCGTAATTGATATGCTGAGTCATTCCGACTTGCTATTATTTGCGTAATGTTTTGTTGGTGCTTTATGATTTCATTGTGTAGGCCTACTGGTACCGGTAGGTACCTTACCTGAACAATCAGATACTGAGATATGAGGGTGTACTGAAACTGAGATACATATTGATTTAAAAAAAAATATTTAACCAATTATTGTGTTTGCTAGAAAATATTTCACAAAAGATGAGATAAGGTTTGGCCTACATAAATTGAATTACAGTCTTATTTTTAACCAAGCTAGGATGCATGCATTTTTATGCACTACAACTTTAATATATTTTTATCATGCTCAATTATCCACTCTCTATTTTTTTAGTATCTCAATAAATAAGCTCGCATAAATATAATTAGTCATTTTATAAGAGTGCGTCGTAGCATTCATACCTGCATAATGACAGCTCCAAGTGTCGAAATAAGTGTTGTTTCGGACATTATGTGACCCTGGTGCTGGGTCGGTAAGAAGAAACTAGAACGTGCCATGGATATGACCAAAGATAATTACAACTTCAAGGTTACTTGGCAACCCTTTTTTCTTCGACCCAATATGCCCGTGGAGGGTGTTCCCAAGCCATCAGATTATGGCCCAAACACACCCGGATCCCAAAGGTTGATAAATATTGGAAAACAGGTTGGCATTGATTTCAGTTACAAATCTGATCGGTTTCCCAACACTTTGCTGAGTCATTGTGCTTTAGAATATGCTCTCGAACAGGATCCTTCAGGAAAAATTCAAAATGAATTGCAAGAAAAGTTATTCAAAGCCTACTTTACCGATGGAAATTATCTCAATTCTGATCTGGTATCTTCACTTGCTGGGGAATGTGGATTGTCTGTGAGCGATGTTAAATCGTTTATTGCAGACACTAAAAACCAAGAAAAGACACGACAGAAGGCATTGAAAAACTCAGCAGAAGGTGTTACAGGAGTCCCATTCTTTGTTATAAATGGTCAAGGAATGATTTCTGGAGCACAAGAACCTGAAACACTTGCCAGAGCTTTTGAAATAGCGAATAACAAATTTCCTATTCAACCAACTTCAGCATCTTCTTCCTGAAACCCAAACTCTGTTTGCTGCCAACTGCCAAAATGATTTTATTCCAGTTATAGAAACTAGTTACATGTTAAAAGTAAATAAAAAGGTATATTTTGTTCTCAGGAATTTGTATTTTACAGTAATACATTCAGTCAAATATTTGCTATGAATATAACCATTATAAATACATACAGTTTGTAACTATTACGGTAATTTCAGAAATATATTTTGCATCACACAACATTGTTTTTACACCGTGACTAGAGTTTCTGCATGTTTATATTTATCGTAGTTGTTTAAAGCCTTATGACATCTGATGACGATTTTCTCTAAAGTCATCAAATTGACTACATTTGTTTTATATCAACAGTAAATGATACATGTAGAAAGATTTTTATATATTTTTTTGGTTAGTTCATTTATGCAAAGCAATAATTTTTTAAGATATCAAACAAATATCATTTGTATGTTTATGGAGGGTTGTTGAAAACTTTATGATGTTTTGATGAGAAAAATTTTCAAACTCATCAAGATTGATTTAGCCGTTTTCTTACAATTCAAAATACTTCATGAAAATGATATTTGAAATCATATATATTCAAAAGTTGTTTCTAATTTAGATATTATAGTAATATGTAGTATGGCTTTACATATCAAGAACTTTTCTACAAATGGTGTAACATAGTCGATTGTATTGCGCAATCTTTTCCACAACTGTTTCACAATGTCTATGCAAAAATTGAGCGCAACTAAAAGAAAACAAAAACTTGCCGAAATATATCAAGCATTGAATAGTGATCCTGTTGACATACCAGCTCTCCGAAAACATGCTATTTCACCAGGTGGATTAATTCAAGATGAGGTAGGTATAAATAATTTTTTCAATTGTTTTATATGTTGTTGTTGCTCATTTCGAACAGTTTTGATATTTTGAGGCTTTTAGGTATTTTTCGGTATCAGTAATATTGAAGCTGGGTCTCTAGTCCTGAGTTTTTTTACCTGTTTAGGAATGACACAATTGAATTATATTCTGGAAAATATTTTGAATGCTATCTTCACATTTTAACGAGTCCATACTTATACTAACATCTTCAATAAGGCAAACAAAGAATATAAATTTCAAAATTTATTCTTATTAACATGCTTTCCCTACTAGATTGATTTTAACATTTTCTATTCAAATGCTTCTTTATGAGATGCTATTTGCAACATTGTATCTCTGTGTTTTTTTTCCTTCAGGTTCGGAGAAAAGCTTGGCCTAAACTTCTGAATGTCAATGTATTTGATGCCGTTATGAGGCCAGGTACTTTATCTTGGGTCTCATGTAGTTTTGTACCTAACGTACTTCTAGTGGGCGTAGCCTAACAATTTTTTCATGTGTCAATCCTAACCCCCACCTGACTACGCTATCCAAAAATTGCGTCATCACGACGTCACAGTGACGTAATAGAGTCCTCCAAACTATACAAACTGTCATCCAAGACGCACAGACGAGAACCCTAAAACGAACAGCTATTTCCCTCGTTTTCTCGTCGCAACGATCTCGATAGGAGAAAGATCTCTGACGTTAGTCAGTTCTTTATCGTCGGCGCCAATGTCATTTCAGGCAATCGTACATGTATTTGGCAAGCTCTATGACGTGATTGTGACATCGTAGTGACATAATTTTTGGAATAGCGTAGTCAGGTGGGGGTTAAGATTGACATGCCAAAAAAATTGTTATGCTACGCCCACTAGAAGTACGTCAGGTACGAAACTCATGAGAACCCTTTATCTTATCTTTGTATTGTAATAATGTATTAGTTTATATACCAAAACAAGAATGCCTTACACTGTACCAAAGTGGAGTTTCCAGATAATTATCATAGATTATATAGTAATAAAACTGTGATGTCTATGCTAAAACTAAATAAGGTAGCTTTGAGATCATCTTCATAATTTTAGATTGTTCAACTCCCCATAGAGTATACTAGTGGTTCACAACCGTTCATAGTCCGTGGCGCCCTCCCGGGATCTTACAGATTAGATCAACATGCTACAACAATGTGAAAACAAAACACATCCTGTGAAATACCCTCATCGAGTAATGAAACTAGGAAAAACGTTGCTTTTTTGTAAAGGGAAAAGTAAAATCAGTTTTGCATTTAACGTGGTGGCCCCCCTCCAACTGCTCTGTGGCACACTTGGTGGGCCACGGCCCCCGATTGGGAACCGCTGTAGTAGACCCTAGTTAGTTCACTTGAATTCATTAGACTTATAGGCAAAGATATCTTTTATTGTGTAGAATCTTGGCACAGTTAGCAGATCAGTTTCAGAACTTTCAACCTGATTTCTTTACTTTCATATGCCATTAATTTTCTTCTAATTTCAAAGGGGATCTACATTTGCATAAAGATTACCAGCAAGTTTTGTTGGATGTCAATCGGTCAGCTAGAAGATTTCCAAAATGTGAGTTTACCTCTTCAAACTTTAACCATGTTGCCATTACATGGAAAATTTTTCAGTGTCATTAATTTTAATCATTACGTTGTTCATTGAGTATATTGTCTGCATAGATTGTTATGTTCAAGTGCCCTATTTCACAGCATTGAGCTTGCCAAAGAAAACAAATAAAATGCCTTGTACGTGCGACGTTAGTTTGTCCCATCGGGCTGATACCTTGTGTAGGATCATAAGTTAGAATCCTGTGGGGAAACTGCTAGTTGGACGAATGGGCTCTTCTTTGCCATATGATTTAGCCAACATGTCAGAATTCCACACCTTGGAGATAAATATGAAAAGTTCAAATAATTCAGGGATGGCTAAAACTGAATAATTTAGTATTTTGAATACATTTTGAAATAATTATTTTGAATATGAAATATCAAATGTGTTCTTAAATGCGTCTGTGATAATTCCTCAAGACAATTGTAAATTTGTAGAAATCAAATTTGTTGAGGATAATTGAGATAAACATTGTTTTAATTAGTATACTCTTTTTCATTTTTTCAGAAGTTACTACTGTAATTTTTTGTTTATCATAAGATGATGAATGCTTGAAAAGACATTTATTGAGGTTTAGAGTTATGCTAATCTATGCCAGAATCAGAATGAGAGTTGAAATATTAATACTGTACGAACAAAATTTAGTATGCAATTCTTTTTCAGCAATGCCTGCCGATCAGAGAGAAATTTTACAAAACCAAATGTTGGATGTTATTGTGTGGGTTTTGACAGAACATTCTGAATTACATTACTATCAGGTAAGTAATTGTATTTTATTTGCAACAAGAAAGTTGCAAGCCTCATTTTTTGGTCTGGTGTTAAATATAAGTTAGACAAGTTTTTCTACAATTCTTTAAAAAACGGCAGAATTTTTTTTATTTCCTAATGCAAAGGAAATTTGCGACACTTGCTGCTTGTGTTTATATGGAGCAAATGTGTATACATCACATAAAAAATTGCTCTGATCGCCTTTTTACTGTGTAGTAGGCCTTTGCTGAATATAATGTTATTGTACTTTGCTACTTCAATAAGAAACATTTGTTGATAATTTCAGGGATACCATGACATCTGCATCACATTTCTATTAGTTTGCGGACAAAAGTTAACTTATAGGTTGATCAATAAATTGTCAACTCATCATTTAAGGTTTGTACTAAAAAAAGTGTTAACAATGTCAATTATGCAACTGTCACTTGATTATTTGTTTGGTATCTTTATAATGATGTTGGCAGATGTGTTCTAAAGTGTTCATAGGCATGTTTATCATATATTAGTATTAGCAAACTGTATTTAGTATTGTTACCTACATTTCAGTTCATCAGTCATACAAGGGCCGATTAAATCACTATTCCAAGTTCATTTGGCAGAAAAATATTTTCTAATATTGATTAAAGTCGTAATTGGGCCGTGTTCAACAAAGAGATTTGCACAAACATATGATATTGCAATGTAGAAAAATAAACATTGTCGTATTGTTTTTCCAAATTTTTTTAGGCTTCAAATGAAACCTATTTTTTTTGACTGTCAGTCGTCAAATTGAAGATAATTCAGTATTTTGGAAAACCAGTTTCCAATGTATTCAATTTCTATTGGACATCCCTATTTATGCATATATTATATATACATCATAGAAAAGCGCTTTAATTTCTAAACATTGGTAAATATTTGTATGCACACAACTAGCAAGTGAATTTTTTTATTGCTGTTACTACCTTAACATTGAATTGTTGTTAGTTGGATCGAAACAATTTGAAAAAACTTTCAAATCGATCTGTCTTGAAATCATTATTATATATCTTTGACTGTAAATTGTTATGTCATATCTTCACTCCTCAGCATGTATCTGATCAGTTTCAGCTCAAAAAATCTTATAATTTAAGAATATAACATTGCTAACTGTTCAACTTTTTCTTTTAATCCCACCAGAGATTTCATGGATCCTACCATGGACAAAACTCGACATATTTTAAATTATTTGATCCCAATCGTACGAAAGTCTAATGGTGAATTGGCAGACTATTTGGTTAGGTAAGTAGAGATGTATTATTTATAAATCTACCTACCCTGACCCTATATCTGAATCCATTTTTACATTAAAGAACTTGACACTTGAATTGCAACCATATTGATTTGCTATTCATAAAAAAAAATTTGCTTCTCATTGCACTTCTGATTACCCTGAGTGGGTTTGCTGGTACTAATACTGTGGGGATGATTGTGTGCGAGAGGATTGGCGGACTTGACCGTTGGACAGTTAAGGCTTCCTTCACCATCAAGTCTGTGCATTCGAAGCAAGTATATGGTAAATCATTCCCATACGATACCTAACACGGCTGGTAGGATGAGATTTGTTGATTCACCATTTGATTAAGACTCAATATTGGATTTTCTCTCTACTAAGATAAATATGATAATCCTACCCTACAAATTGGGTGCATAGAGACACTGTCAAGCGGAGTTATATTGTGATTAAGGTCATTTCACATATTCCAGTATTTGCAACTGAACCTGTTCCATAACCTGCTAACATAATATTTATTTATTTCCAGAAGCGGAGTTGGAACAATTTTTGCACTAAGTTGGTTAATAACATGGTATGGGCATGTACTTAGCAACTCGAAACACACATTACGATTGTATGATTTCTTTCTTGCCTCCCATCCACTGATGCCTATTTATTTAGCCGCGCAAGTAAGTTATTTACTCTGGTTGCTATTCATTAGTGATTTATATTAGCAGTAATGGTATTCGGTGGCTATTTACTATTTAAATGAGCCATGTTAAACAAGCTTGGCTTATAAACTTGTAGCTGCTTTTTAGTGCCAGGTTAAATACTTTTATGATTGGATTATGATGTAGAAGTGGATTAATGGAAATATATAATCGGTGTAATAATTGTCTTAAGTTTAATCTGATATTCTGGTTATGAAGCAGACAATATTGATGGTCAAGGAATTCAGTTTGATTGCTCTCAAAATTCATTGTGTTTCTTAATGTTGTTTTTTAATGTCAGATAAACATGGGTGCCTAAGTTTCTTTCAAATTTGCGGTTTATGGTTTGTGAAAAAGATTAAAGTTGGAACATATCGTCAATTTGCGTTGGAAAAGTTTTCTTCAATCGATTCAATATTAAAAATTAGCAGTGAAGCAGAATTCTAGTGTACCGGTATCCTAATATGAATTTCCTATTTGTACATCATCTCTAATTGACTTGCTTTTCCACATTGTTTGGTGACGGACAACGGTAATCCAGATAGGGAAATGTCTTAGGATTTTGTATTTTTTAATAGAAAAGGCTCAATGCAATGTCATGTGCACTCCCTCAAATGTGAAGGCGACTTATTTTTGAGCAAAGTCCTCACTAAAATGCCAAAGCCATCAAGTACACAAATTCAGGATGGTGTATCAAAAGACGATAAAGTGAGATTTAAAGCAGTTTATTACTTGGAAAGCACTTCTGTTGGTCAAATTAAATTATAAATTCATTTCAGATTGTATTGCATCGAAAGGAAGAGGTTTTGAAACAAGAATGTGATATGGCTCTCATGCATCATCTTCTATCAAACTTACCTCAGAATTTACCGTTTGAAGATATAATTGTGGCTGCCGTGGATTTATTTGCTCAATTTCCACCCGAATCTATCGCTAAGGATGCTGCACTGTATTATCATAAAAGGCTATTATCAGTTCATCTATGTTTATTACTTATATAGAACAATTTTGATAGAAATAAATTCTGTGTAATTTTTTTAACTAGTTTTTGTACCGTCTCTGCAACAGTATTTCTTTGTCTATTTACTAGGATATTCAAGATCGAATAATTTGATATTTCGGTTGTGAAAACATAAATTTGATTTTTTTGAATAAGGAATATGTTATGAATTGCATCATATACAACAAAGACCATGCTTCAATTATTGTGAATTTTTTGCTGTTGAATTTTCAATAAAATACTTCCATCGTGAATTGAACATATTTTATTTTCTGCAGCTTGGCAATTACAAAATTTCGTGACTTTGAATTGGCTGGTTATCAACAGAGACCAGACTTCATTTTAAAAGAGAGAAAACTGAGACAACAAAATGAGTTCAGAAAGCTTTTAGCAACTAAAAGCTCTAAAATTACTGAAGGAAATAGAGGCAATCGTGCCAGAAGGTGGACAATATGGGCCATCAGTGGAGCTTTGGGAGCAGCTGCAATTGCAATGACGAACGTTTCTTTAGAATGGGCAACTGAAGTTATCGGGTTTTTACCATAAGAATATTATTTTGGAAATGACCCAGCACACACGATTGGCTATCATTGATGCCATAATTTATGGACCCTAAGGCGCTTTTCAAATCCCTTTTCCTTTAAAAATCGATGCACCTGGTGTATGAATCAGGTATTGTTTCATTGCCTATGTTCAAAACCTGTACCGGTATTGCTTTGAAAACCATTGCATTTTATAGCCTGACGCTCAAAATTGCTACTCTTTAATATTTAATACCAAACTTATTGACATACTGGCCATATTGGGAAGAGCAGGGCTCTTGATTTTGAGATGTGGTATCTATGCATGTTTGAATGATATCAATTGCGGATTTCTACCATGGCATTACTCAAAATATACTTATTCGATTTTTGTTCTTTCAATTTTAGTTTTTAGTGATGTTCATTGAAATAATAATCATGACTTTCTTCAGTGTTTGTATAGCTTATATTTATTGGCGCTGCTTAGAAATCAATTATATTAAATTTTATTTATTTGTCCAGTTCAGTGCTGTTAGAAAAACTTTAAATCTTATCTGCACCTGCCCTTCTCTACCCTAGAAAACAGTTTTGATCGATGTATCAGCAATAAAAATTCTCTATATTTGTTCTAGAGCATTTACATGTACCGTGTACATACATATATGTTCCTTTCAGACAAATGCACACAGTAATTACTGTAAATGAATAAACTGTCATTTCTGCTATACAGAAACTGTTTCACTGTGATTTTGTGCAATTTAGTTTTGTCTGCTTGCAAATATCTTTCACTTTGAAATTTATCTTGTCCTCGTGATGTAACCACCACTCCGTCTATATATCCGGTTGAAATATTAGTCAGCTCTATCCACTTCATGTTTTAGTAGTAAGCAACTGTACCGCAAATTATTGGGTTGCTAAGCTAGAAGCTTGCCTAGCCCATGTTTGCAAAGGATAGTTCACTGCTCTAGTTACTTTTTTGTACATATGGCCGGAGTTTGGTTACATCTGTGATGGTTTAAAGATCAAATTTCAATGCTATTATTCAGCTGGTGATATATCGTTTTGATGTGTGATTTTCTTTGACGGATATTATATTGTGTTCTCAAATTGTTGGATGTACTGGTGCTTATTCCAAAAAATGGTCAGATCGGTTGTAATCTGTAATCGTGGTTAGATGTTTTTTTTCTCATGCGTAATATTAGTTTGATTTTTAGATGCATTACTGTTCAGGCGACTCGTTTTTATCAATGGCCGGATAGGATTTACAAATTTATCCCAGGGCAGAGGAAGGTCGGTAAGATGGCTTAATCATATCTCGAACGACGGCCTCTTTGTACCAGTTCATGTCGGTATGAAATTAGTTAACATTTTCAGATGCATGGACTTCATGGCGAAGGAAGCTGTAACTGGGGAGTCCGGCAATTGAATCGCTCATAATTATCCCCACGGGATGCGAACCCACGCGCGGTAATCAGAGGTGCGTAGCGAGCGTATTCCGAACACTTAGCACTATGCGCCACAACTTCGTGCTGATTTTCACGATATTGCAGGCAGATCAGCCTCCTTGGCAAGATTTTATCAATACAGTATCTTTAAACTCGATTGAAGATAGTCGCAGTTAGTATTGGCTGTATAAGTATTCATACTGTAACTTTAGAAATTTCGCAAGCGCTGCTTTCCAACATGAGGTGACATCTCCATAGCGCTTAATCGATCGAAAATGACCTCAAGCGCTCCAGTAGCGTGTAAGATTTCACAGGCAATGTTGGGTGACAACGTTCCGTAAGGAAATGGTGTTGTGGGAGGTTTTTATTAAAGGGAAAAAAGATCATGGAGCCATAAACTCAATTCCGCTAGTTGAGGGTTTCGACAAATAATTTGAATATATATATCTTATTTCCAGAAGTTTGCGAGAGCATTTATTTCCTGTGTTAGCATTTCCCGTTCATTGAAGTCGAGGTATACGTTAGTGTTAAATTATCTCATTTCTGTCTAACTGGCACAATCGATTTCTCCACAAGTTTCGAGTCTTATCAACTATATTCTTCCGCCCATTGCCGAAGTTTTGTTGCCAGTCATATCACCAATGTCGTCATTCCTGTGTGGGTCACCGAGATAAGGCGGAGAGGAGAGTGGAAGTAGTTAGAATGTCAGCAGCACAAGGGGAAAAGCCTTTCTGAGAACCAACCCCAAAAATATTTGAATAATTCAGTGATAATGATGTTGTAAAATATTAATGGTAGGAGATAGTAGCCTAATAATCTACATTTTTATATATGCTAGATATGGGATTATAAAATCAAAATTCGATTTATCTACGGGAAAACATTTGTTGACACCCTTTACCTAATTTTGGTATATATGGCTTGTTCCTGACATGCCTAGGATAGTCTTCTTCGAGTATCGATAAAATATTCCGGAATCTTACATGTTGACAGAATGTATGTTGTGTAACGGCATGGATTTCGGTCACTTGTTTTTGTTGCGAGTAACGCGCACTGCACGAGGTTTGTTGCTACTGATTTCCGATTGGGGAGCATATGGTAGATTTGCGTATTGCAAAATTAACAATGGTTAATTTAGGTACGGTACCACATCTTTATGGCTGTATTTTAAATAGAAGATTGCCCGCGGCAATCCTGATGTAGTTTTAATTGTAATGTAAGATTACTCACAAAATTGATATCGACTAAGGCAGCGGTCCCCAAACTTCTTGTTCGTGCGGCGCCAAAGTATCAGGGAAAGCTGCTATTCCTTCAAACTCAATTTTGGTAATGTGTACTAAATGCTTTTTGGAGTTTGTAAACATGTAGGCACAGGGAATTCAGGCAAAAGGTCAACTCTTCTTCCGCGCCCCTGCCTGATTTTTCTTTGAAATGCTATAAATGATAAATATCACACATGTTGGCTAAACTCGGTTCAGCAGATAAATATACTGCAGCTTGCGAAAATTGCAGCAAGTATTGCCTATCTATATTGTCAAACTAAACAACATAAGAAGATGAATTCATTGATTCATATGCATTGTAATGGGTAGCGAGTATCAAAAAGAGTATTTCTCCATGCTGAGAAGCCTATTCTTTCAGTAGAAAATGTTTCCATAAATCTATCGAAAGAAGTCTTGCCTCGGGTGGTCGTTCATCAGTATTAGTGCGTCCGTTTCGGTTGACTTGCTTGTCGTCGAGATCGAATTTTGACACAATTGATTTTTTTGGACATTGCGTTCAATAGGAGTCACATTGTGTACTTAGAAAAGAAGGCGAACCTATATGATAGGTCAGTTTATTCGGTAAATATCATAGCAATATCGTTTATATGACCTACTTCGTGACGCTGACAGCTGGTCTTACATAAGCAATATATTGCGAAGTTTGATACAGTATTTTACAGTACAGTGTTTTACTTTTCGATAAAAGCTTGTTGCAGTGTGTGTACATGCTCACCTGCACGGGGCAGCAGGAAGGCTTATTCATCGCTATCCTAAAACGCCATTTCGGCAATTCGGCTTTGTTGTTTTTATTTACGTACGTAAATCTTTCGAGTGTCAACCTATGTTAAGCCATTCATGAAGTAATCCGCAGATTTAGCATATCTGCAAATGAATTATATATAATATATATTCGGTCTTGTTGATCAAAGCGTAGAAATAGAAATTATGCATGTGACTTGAAAATATAAAAGTATTCAAGCAGCGTATTGGATTACCGAATAATGTGCTTACTGGTACACTTCAGATCTTTGTTGTTACTGTGTCTACAGTGGAAGAGTCATTAGTCGAAATAAAGCTTTCTCAGAAAATTGTGTGTCTAATAATGTGAACATACTAGTATATAGTAAGACGTTTGAGTTAATCATTATTAGGCACTCCGAAAGTATTCGAACCAAGATGACGCACAACCTGAACAACCCTTACTAGTACACATACTGTGTTCAGGTTGTGCGCCATCTTGGTACGGATACTTCTGGAGCAACCATTATTATACGTTCATTCCACATCTTTTGGAATTAGTACAGATTGTTTTTATTGCCACGAAGTGAAATTCGGTGCCACTTGGGAAGCCCTATAATATATCAGCGTCATAAAACCACTTTGGTACGCGATCTCCCTTGCTTAACATAATCTCACTTGCTTAACGTGATCTCAATCGCAAATGACTGCGCTACAGCGACAAAGTCATTAGATAAATTTTATCTTGATAGGAACATGTCTTGTAGCGTTACTGGTCTTCAATACCATATTTCACGGATTCTAGTGCGTACTGTAAGATTGTGTTTTAAGTCATACATAAGGCGCACCGGGGTATAAAACGTAATGATTTCTAAAGCATTACCGCTACTGGTTTTGAGTGTGGAAAGTAAAGCACTAACTGATCCATACGTTAGGCGGACGATCGATTTTTGATTAAAAAAGAATTCAAAGTGCGCTCTATGGTCAGTGAAATACAGTAATCAGTTGCTTCACTACTTACGTCATTTACGCCGATTTACTCATCACAATACAGATTTACCTAAAAGGTATAGCGCCATTCCGCTTTCCGATGATAACATTTGACGACGAGAGAAAGTCGTGAAATGTAGCTAACTAAACGTAATTCTTTTTGTTTTCAATGTAAATAGCATTGGCATTACTGTTAATATAGTCCTATAATTAATTACATATCATGTCCTTCGAGTAAGGGCACTTCAACGTTGTTTGTCTGTTCAAGGCCACAATTACGATGATCGATTTCGGAGTAATTCTCGACCATGTCGGAGACTTTGGACGATATCAGGTGGCATTGTGCTGCATGGTGTTCTATCTTACCGTATCTTGTGCAATGCACATCCTCTCACCTGTGTTTTACGCTGCACCTATGGATTTCAGGTAAGGCGTCTTATTATTCCTTCCTTATATATAGATATAGCTTGCAGTAGCCTACGGACTTGTAGGTTTTTTGTTCAAAAAGTGTGCAATAACGTTTTACTTGTTTCAAGTGTCGCGTCCTATCAATTGAAAATCTAATTGTTAGCAAAAATTTTAGTGATGAATTCATAACAAATGCAACGTCGTATTTTAATCACGAGACTTCGAAGTATGACGGTTGCCAAAGGTAAGACATAAACATTATGGAAATTGCAAAAATATTGTGGTTGCATGTATATGAGTGTACGTTCTATATACTACATTGGACGTATTAACTTTTAAACTTATGAAACAATGAAACATAGTTAGTATTTTATGTCTAGACTCTAGAATCAAGACATAATAATATATATAATATGTTTCCTAATAGTTGAATGCGTGATACTTCTAAACTTGCTGCAATTCTCCCGAGTTGTACACAGACTCGTGTCCTACATTGACCGTAATAATTCTTAAGCGTATGAACATAGTTTATAATTTTCTAAATGCATGTTAGTCATTTTATTTCTAGAAACAAATTGCATGGCATTTATTTTTTCTCTTCAGATTTGAGTCTGTACTTTTTTAAGTATTTGCAATTCTTACTCAATTCCTGGTTGTATTCAGGCTGCCGTTGAACCTCACATCATGCAATTTAACTATGGAATGTATTATGACAAATTCAACTCCAATTAGCTGTGTTGATGGCTACCATTATGATAGAACGGAGTTCATAGAGACTACTGTTTCGGAGGTAAGTTTGGTGGCCGCTTGAAATATATAGGTCATTGGTATTTAGTTTTGAAATACTTTTCAAGTTAACTGGTAAATTTTATTCGTTTCGCTATATTTTCCGAGTTTCTCACCTATTAGAAAATATTGGGTATTTTGTGATTGAAATATTTTCTGTCAACATCTTACGGTGGTACTATATGCGATCTCTGCTGCTGTGTTATCTCAGTGATTTTAGTTAGGTTTTGAACTGTGTTCTATGAAAATGTCTTCATTTTGAAGCGTTAAATGTCATATAGTATATGAGATTAAACACGCGAAAGTGGCACCATTTTATGGGATTGAGATCATGCTAAGCAAGTGAAATCGCACACCAAACGGGCACCGATCTATTCTTAACATGCTTAAATGACCGATCGTGAACCTGCAAAAGCTTACAAATTACAATTCATTTGGCGTACTATTAATATCGATGTAATGGCTTCATTCAAGTAAAACAATATTTCAAATAAAAATCATATATTTAACAGATGTGACTAAAACCAAGAACTTCTCAATCCAGATATTATTGTATAATTTTGCATAGATGTTGAATTGAATCAAGAAGAACCAGGCATTAATAAGAGAGTTTTGAATTTAGACAAAAATATTTATAAACTTTTTATGAGGTTGTTCCTCACAGATCATATTTACCTTGTTTAGTGGAATTTAGTTTGCGACAGACACTTCCTCAATACCGTAGAACACTCAATATTCTTCGTTGGTGCAATGGCAGGGGGATTTGTAGCAGGATATCTAGCAGATAGGTAAGCATCAGGTATGATTATTTAACCTTTCTGATCTAAATCTCCGCTGTTAGATCCCCACGTAGTGCCATATCACCGATGATTTTGACAAATTACGCTCTTTATAAAGCAAGCTTAAAGTAATGAACACGGAGGTACAATAACTAACGCAGTACCGCCGTACCGGGGTGCTCCCGTAGTATGTGCACCAAGATGGCGCACAACCTGAACATAGTATGTGTAACAGGTTAGGGTTCAGGCAGTGCGCCATCTTGGTGCACATATTACGGGAGCGTCAGTACCGGTAACCCATACGATTCACCCGAAAACATGTCTAAGCATTGAGTTTGCAAAATCAAAACCAAGTACAAATGTGACGTAGGTGACCATGGTTGACAGAATTAAAAAAGATCGTAAAATATTCTTCCGAACTTGTTAGTTTCACAAATTCAATATATATATGTATATATATACATATATATTGGTGTCAGGAAAAGGTTATTATTTTTATATTATTATTAGGAGAAATACAAAGCACTTTGCAGAATAGCAACAATAGAAAATATGTGACTCAAATGCGGTAAAAAAAAACTTCACACTATTCTATTGCAGTAAAATTGCACACACTAAACCACGTTATTTTACCAATTCGCTACAGCCATTTTTTGTGGTATGGTGTGAACCGGTTTGTCAACAACTGTATTGCTGTCATACAAACTAAATATCTATATGTGTCTTGTATGCATATGTGTGTCTGTATTTTCTACTTTAAAAGTCATCTTTGTTCCTTATTTGGTCTCGGGCACAGTATGCAAAATTGTACAACAAACGTTTTCATGATAAAAATCCAATTATTTCTAATTTGTTGACTGGCTAAAGTCGCGTTAATAACTCAAATGATATATATATATAATTAAATTTTGATTTACATTATTACATTATCCATACCTAATAGAATGTTGATTTGGCAATTCATTTTTAACGGCAATCATTTGTAATCCAGAATTGTATACATTAGTGAAATATATTTTACAGATTTGGAAGAAAACCAGCATTGATGTGTTGTTGCTTGGGAATTATAGTATTTGGTTCAATTGCATCTTTAGTCCCGTGGTTTCCTGCGTTTGTCGTTGCTCGCTTTTTTGTAGGAATGTGCGCCGTAGGACAGGATTTTTTAACGCAAGTTTATGGTGAGTTTGCGGTTTTTTAGTGTGACTCTAAAAAAATTGTCATTTACCGATATTTTGACATTTCCTCAACAAAGATTACGATCGTGTTTTTCGTTTTTGGGATTCGCAGGAATGTTGTATAGTATGGCATCAAAGCTATGATTAATAAATACAAATTTTTCTAGTTATTGAAATCACTGGAAGAAAACGTACCACTGCGTCCATACTTGGCCAGGTTGCGTTTGGAATCGGACTTTTTGTCAACTCCTTCATTTCTTACTTTGTTCGAAATTGGAGATATTTTTATTTGATGTTGTCGCTTTTCAACGTACCATACATCGTATTTCACTATCTTGTAAGTAACTTAGTTTAATAGAATTCATTTGATGAATATATTTGATATTATATATCAGTTTCTTACTAACTTCTGGCAATGGATATATGTTTTAAAATTCTAAGGTATTCAAATTACCGAATATATCATGCTACAAGATCGTACCGTAGTTTCTGCATGTGCAATTATTAGGTGAGATAATTCGAGTCGAACAGTAAATTATTCGAATCGGTTTAGACGAAAATTCCGAATCGCCGCCAGCTTGTTTTTTTTTCGCCAAAGGTCGAGGAAAATTCCCCAATTCTTTTTATTGAAGCCTTATTTTTACAATAAAATTTTCACATATATATGACTCTTTTTTGATAAAAAATGTTTTTTATTTTGTGTGAACTTTCAGCGAACTGTCTTGTTGGTGGATTCCATGAACCAAGTAATTCATGTGTTGAAAGAACCTATTACAATAAAAAATGCAATTACACATCTAGGTATTCGAGATTCGATTCGAAAAACACATTCGATTCTGAAATCATCAGGTATTCGAAAATGCCCAGCCCTATTCACCATCGCCTAGTAATTATACCTCGAAACTAATAATATGCGTTTTTCATGATGGAACAAGGATTAAATTTTCATGATCATGAATATTCACTGAGATTAATATACCTTAAACGGAAAAATATTTCATCCCATTCATGTGCAGTGATTTAAAAATATTTTTTAATATTACAGATTCCGGAGTCACCCAGGTGGTACTTCTCTAAATCAAAAAATGAACTCGGTAAAAAAGTTGCGCAACGATTTGGAAAATACAACAAAAAGAAAATTACGCCAGATATTTGGAGAGAAGCAGAAATATCACTTAAAGTGAGATGAATACAATTATAGAAGTCGAGTTTCATAGTTGTTTATATACCGAACATACTGTTTGACTGTTTGACTGCTAATTTAAAATAGTAATGCAAACACATGTTTCGTACTTCAAAATCTAATTCTAGAATTAAAAGAACTTATATTTAATTGAATGTTCGAATCGTTTTGCAAAATTATCAAAGCATTAACTGTATTTTGAAAGTACCGAGATATTCCGCGTTACGTATTAGCCCCCTAACTTATCATTAAATCCCAGGTGAAAAATGGCGGACATGGTACCGGAATATGATGAATATTGATAAATCATCTAGTTACTAGTTTAGCTGTTACCAACATAATCATATATCACTGAAAATGTCGAATGAACGGAATTTATTGTTTTTAATATTATAATGTTCATATTCCCACATGGATTGTTGATCGATGTATAATTTCCCATTACATTCTTCGACTTGTCGCCTTTTGAAGATGTCCAGATCTCGTACCGATGAATGAAGTTTTATGAAATTTTTCATAGTCATAGTTCAGGTCATACTTTGGCGATTCTGGAATGCAATTCTAGTGCGTCATATTTATAACTTTCTCTTCTCAGGATATTACAGATACGTCAAATGAAAAATACACATTCCTTGATTTATTCAAACCGAAGAAAATGAGAATGATAACCATATGTATAAATATATGTTGGTATGTTTTTTGTTCAACTTTTTACTATACTCCACAGATATATAACATAATATACCTTTTATAATATATAATAAATACACGATATAACTTGAACTATTAAAAGAATAATATAACTCTTGTTTTTAAATGATAAATCGACTACAATGTTTATTAAATATCTTAAAATCCTCATAAAATGATGTTCTACAATGTTAGGGTGAAATTAGTGACTTTCTATAATTTTACTTTCCAGCTCAGTTAATATAATTCGGTTATATTTTTGCATGAACTCTCAAGTTTTCTTTTTATTTTTTCATCCCCGTTGATATTTTCATTTCAGTCAACTAAAAAAACAAGATATAACTTCGAGAAATATTCAAATGAGCAGTATACTTTAATTGTAGTTTCCAACTCGCTGTAAAATGTTTTAAAGGTGTTGTAGACCCGATGACGGAGAAATCCGTTCTTCACAACTTCTGTCATTTATATATTATCTCATATACTTTATTGCTGACTGTATTTTGATCAAGTGACAAGTAAATTTACTCCGACTCTCTAGAAACCCATATTATTCGTATTTTTGAGTTTTTACGAGTTAGAAATATTCTTCCTTTTAGGTTCGTTTCTTTTATGACGTATATAGGTTTATCGTTGAATGTTGGAAGTCTAGCAGGAAATATATTTTTGAACAATGCATTCAATGGAGTCGTATCTGTCGTGTGTTCTATATTTCTTATTTTCACAATTAATAGGTAAGTTTTGAAGGCTATGAAGTAACTCAGCGACTATAATCAGAAAATTTAGTTTGCGTTACATCACTATTTGAAACGAATCGACATTTGATCGTACGATTTGAAGATCTCAGAATTTGTCTGTATAAGGTTTTGGATTAGGTTGTAAAGCAGATAAATTTTTAATCTCCTATGACTGTTCAGGCATTACTTGGTCAAGTTACTAATCTCTATAATATATATGCAGATCCAACTACTGACTGTTTAATTTTTACGAATTTTTATTAACCATAACCATAAAGATTACGTCATAAGTTAAGTCTATTCTGCAATTTAAAATTTGTTGTTCGTTATATGGTAACGTCATTTAGAAATTGTACATTATAATCAAGGTTTATTTTGTATTGAAAACCCTCTTTGAATAATTGTGACCCCATGAACTTATTTTATTATTCTGATTTCTGAAGAATATTTTGTTATTTGAACCGGGCAATGTTGTTATTATGCGTATCTGTCTGTCGAATCTTTTCCTCGCATTCACTATTTTAAATATTTATTATTCAGAATCAGTCGTCGTTTTCTTCTCAGTGGATCTATGTTTTTAACGGCAGTTGCATCATTTGGGTCTTTCTGTGCAATAATTTTCGGTGGCGATGCACCAGGTAAGAATCGATTTCCTTGTTTATTTTCGTAACAATAACTAATCAGTAATAAGTCGTAACGATGACGTAACAAATGTAATTTTTGCAGCAGGTCAGACACTTCTTTTGCTTAGCCAGATATTCAAGCGAGATTGAAACATTGCCTCGTTTTCGTGGTTTTGGGGATTAGCAAGTTTTTAGATGTTTTTCCAAAAATTAGTTCCAAGTCATATAACTCAATTGTCATTATGTCTCCCTGGGACCTTTAGTTTAGTTGCAATAATCAAACATTGAAACCCTGTCATAGACAAGCCGGAAATTATCTACCTGTAAGCGGTAGAAGTTTGATGCTTTTAATAAAAATGATAGTTTTGAACATGTAACCAGTTTGTAAACGCCAACTCTCCAAAACTCCAATATAAGCGTCAAAATGTTTGCAATGGTTAAGTATAGGAAATATTTTTCAGTGGTCAAGGGTCGGGGAAACATCCATAAACTTCTTAAAATGAAGTAATTGACTTGACCAAATTATGACACAGATGATTGAACAAATTTATTATTTCAGCTGCTGCAACAACTGGAAGAGTATTAACATTCATTGCCTATCTTGGAAGTTGGATAGTTATTGTTGTATCGTTTATATACACAGCAGAATTGTATCCAACTGTAATTAGGTAAGATCGATTTGAGAGTTGTAATAATAAGCCTGTGTTTTTTGAGCGTGATGCATCCTCAGTTTAAATGAGCGCTGAATTGTGAAAGGTTTACTATTTTCAAATGTTGAAAAGTTAACGTATAACCGACACCCAAAACGAGAACCAGTATTAGAGTATTTCATACATACCTCCGTCTTTAAGGTCTCAAAAACCGCTGCGTCTTATAGCCAGTTATGCCTAATTTTTAAATAATTAAAAATAAAAAATCGTTATGGTCCGTAAATGGATTCCGACTTCACAAATTATCACACCCTTTTCAGATTGCCAGTTGTTTGTCTTACCACAATCTATTACAAAATTTGACAGAATGGCAAACTTAAACCATTTGTTATGATTTTGCAGAAGCAACGCCGTGGGAGTTGCAACTGTTTCTGGTAGCCTGGGTGACATCGTGGCACCTATTGTGATATCATCGAAATATTTGTGGTTGCCGAGTATTGTATTTGGAATATTATCAACTGTAGCTGGAATTTTATTTTTACAACTCCCGGAAACTATTAATAAGCCTTTGCCAGAGACTTTCGAAGAGGCTGAATTATTCTATGCAAGCAGGTTCGTCGCTTCGATTAATTTCCCATAAGTCAATGAAATGTTAGAATACTCGTACACAAAATTTATTTTAGAAATTGTGCAAAATTTTGATGGCAGAACTGTAAGTCGTTGTACTTTGCTGGCCAATTTAAAATAGAGTGTACAAAGTATAAACCCATTGACATAATCATACTCGAAACACGGCAAGGAAGGACGAACACGAAGGATAAACAAGCCAATAAAATTAGAATATTTGACTATAGTCATTGGTCATTCTTTTAAACTTGCTTACACTTCTAGGAAACCACTGCGACCTTTTGTAAGTGATGTTCACACACAGCAATCTACCTTACTGCAGCAAAAAGAGGGCAATGACGATCAATTGGACAAAGATGTTATTGACCAACAGAGTTGCTAACCAGAGTCGAAATGTTTTTGTTTCGTTGTAACTCAAATTCCAGTTTCTTGACAGCATTCGTCATCAAATTCGCTCATTTTTGTCGTATCCTTTGTTTTTTTTTGTTTGCCAAATTTTCTTTTTTTGTTCAGCATTTTCTATAAATTATACAACGACTGTAACAATCTCGTATCAAAATAATGTTCGTATATTATAATTTATTTGGAATGCGGTAAAGATGAATGGAACAGCGCATTAGATCGTGTTATTTTTCATGGTATTCGTCGGGCGTGCACAAAAATAGACAGCGAACACAACTTGTATTCTGAAGAAAATTTATATATATATCTAAAATAAGTTGGTGGAATCTTCATGACTTAGTTGCAACGCAAATACGACTTAGTATAAGACCAGATTCTCCTGGAGTCTTTATTGATAATACGCGCCGGCCTGTTAGTTATACCTCTTGTGACTTACAGAAATGTGATCATTTCGCAGTGGCTAGACTGCTTCTACAGCCTGGTCACGCCGTCACTGCAATATCTCCCTTGGGTATATAATATATGAAAACGTGCCGATCTGATAGTTATACCCCTTGGTATTGCATTATCACTTGCTGAATTGCGATCAACTCGCATTGGCTTGACTTCTATTTCTTCTACCGGGTCATGTCAGCCACTGCGAAATAGGAGAAAACCTTGAGCGCCATTTACAACTTTGGATTCAATCAGTGAATCAGCATCATACTCGACTTTTATACTTTAACAGATGTACTTCGAGGTCGCGTGCCATTGCTGTCGACCGAATCCACTCTATTATCAGCACAAGCAGTGGAGATTGCGGTATGACGTCTGCTTATTGTTGAAAAACTCCTGAAACACAATGACATTGTGTAAATAAAATTCGTTAACGTGACATGTTTACACCGATCTCGGCCTCGCCCTCGACTCCAGTTTAATATATATCAGGGGTGGGCAAGGTTTTTGAACCAGGGACCACGAATTTTGTCCACCCAGACAGGCCATGTAAGTGTCACGTAAAAGGTTACATTAAATGATTAAAGGAACAATATTTACAGCGTTACAAAAGCAAAATTGGGAAACGATAATTCTTGTGCCAAAACTAAATTTAATCGCAATCTCAACAAATTCCTTGAGCTAATTTAGGTAAAACATCAAAATGTGGTTTTAGTTTGGTTATGTCATCAGGCGGACTAGATTGATTTACCCAACGGGCCGGATTTAGCCCGTGGGCCGGAGTTTGCCCATGTTAGATATATATATGTTCGATGCATCTCGCTAACTTCAGATCTATTTTACTAATGTACGGAAAGCGATTACCGTATTTTACGGACCATAAGACGCACCGGGTTTTTAGGTGCACTATAATAAATTGCTTAGATTGGGTGTTATTCATACGTAAGGCGCACCAGACTATTTGGTGCAACCGGTACTTTTGAGTATAGGCAATAAAGCGATACCTGATTCCGTACATTAGGCTCGCAAGCATTCAAGGCGCGCGGTCGATTTTTGATAAAACAAAGTATTTAAAGCGGACCTCATGGTGCGTAGAGTACGGTAATCCTTACATAGAGAGTGTGGCCTTAAATTATGGAAAAGTGCTTAACCACAGAATAAAACTTCTAGCGATTTCATCTAGTAATTCCAAAAGACAATAATATATTTAAGTACTGTATTCTATAAACGATGCATTTAACAATAGGTCAATCACCTTCTATGATACTGCTATTCGGAATATTAAATTAACTCAAACTAAAATTTTATCCAATTATTTTGTACTAGTTCAGATGTAAAATACGAAATTTTCTTGTGACACAGTTTTCAAAATCGGCCTGGGTATATCACATATACATTTTAAAAATATGTTATAGCTGTACAGTGTACACTATAAGATGTGTAAAGCCTGACGGAATAAAACTTACCCTGCTGGAGCCATAACTGATTCTGCGGTGTTTACTTCGGGATAAAAGATCATTGTATAACACCGCGGAACAAATAAACAAAATAATACAGTGATAGCACTGACACTTAGTGCGATGGAGATTGTTGTGAGCTGAAAAAGATTAAATAATCAAACAAAAGTAGGCAATGATGATAGAGTCTTTTTGGGGTACGAAGTGGCCATATGAAGAACTTTTTGCTAAATCGCTGTTGTTGTTGCGACTTTTTTCGCGCGGAAAATTGTTTTTCAGCGTAACTAATTGGCCACTCGATTTCAAAATTTTTATGGGCCTAGTTTTTCAGTTCAGTGCGTCCCAGGAAAAATAAGGTGATATAGCTTTCCGTAAGGAAATCGACAACGAATGATATTTTTAAAAATGCACAGTCTTTTCATAAATATAGGGCTGAGTATTTCGAATCGAATAGAACATTTTTCCAATCTTTATTTTTGTCCGCCAAAGGTCGAGGAAAATCACTCTATTTTTTCCATTGCACCCATATTTTTTTTTAAATGCAATTCTGATCTAGCTATGACTCTTTTCCTAGTGAGCTATTGGATAAACATGTTTTGTTTTGTACGTGAACACTCTGCAATCTGTATGGCTGATGAATTCTATGTTTTTGTGTCTGGAGGACCCATCACATGAAAACGTTGCATACATTTACTGTAGCAAAATTGAAAATAAAGTAATAGAATTGTCTTTGCGTCAATTTTCTTGGTATTACTTTGGTATGGGATCTCATCGGTTCTGCGATCTCAGTGAGTTTAGTTAGAGTTAGGAAGTGAACTCTATGAAAAAGTCTGTATGAGATTGAGATCACGTTATGTGGGATCGCATACCAAAGTGGCACCATTACTTTCTCTTACCTTTTTGGGAATATCTGTTGAATTAGTAAAAAATAAAGGAAGAAATGCGATCCACGTCACGCACGTTGTATACATTGTAAAACCTGTTAAATAATACTCAGATTCAGTATTTTTATTTATTTATATCGTTCAAGGTTTATGAGAAGTAAAGTCGACATAGTTACTAAATGATATTCCAAGTCAGGGCTCTCTCCCAATTACCAGTAGATGTAGAAAATGGGGATAGCTAGTGAGTTATTATAGCTCTACGAAGTGGCGCATTGTGCCATAATAACTCGCGACGCATCTCACACTGCGTGGGTTCGAATCACGTGGAGGGTCTTTTTATGCACGAAACGATTGCTGGACTCCTCGCCGTCGTCGGGTGGTTCACGTAACCGTTAGGGCTTCCTCCACCATCAAGTCCATGCATCTGAAACAAATAACTCGCTAATCCACCAATGGACTGATAACCGGACGATAGACTGCTGTATGCCATATGAATAAGTCGTCTTATCGGCTTTCCTCTCCATGGATAAACTATGTAAATTGTAAATCCTATATATATCCTATATTTGTTCTGATGTAACTAGTTCTGTCTTTTTCACTTTATTTATTGCTATATACTAGGACTAGGTGTATTTTGTATACATATTTGATTACGATACAATGGGTCGGTCAGAGTATTTCTCTGATATTGAATTCGTTTCTAATATATTCAAGTTTACTCACCTACAAATAAAGTCTCTCTAAATCCAGTAGGAACATTCCTATTTATGGTTGCCAGAATTGTGCATATAATAATAATAACAAACGGATAAGCAAGTCCAACAAATAACTGCACATCCAAAATATGCTTGCATGTTAAAAATCCATCGTTTTCGCAGTAATGTATATAACTTGACGGTGCGTGTATTATCAACCAACCAACAGCAATTATAACTTGAACGAGAACAACACACGTCGTCAGAAGTAAAAGAGGCATTGGTTCTAGGTAGGCCTTTGTCTGAAAATATGATTGTTATGTATATAAAAACACTTTTCAGTGTAATTAATGCTCTTTATATAATTGTTAAATCGAAGTTAGCTTAACACGGAGACTAAGCCTTTTTGAAACCGTATATGAAAGTTAACCGTAAAGATAAGTCACAACCAGTGACGTATCTACGCAAAATGGCGCCCACGGGAAAGTTCCAACAGGCGCCTGTATCCTTGACCGACAAACTTTAACGACAGCTACTAAGTTGATATGCCTGTACCTTATTTTTATTTTTAAAATAAAAATACGACCTAAATTATTTTCAATTTAAAAACCTGCCCATGTTTTCAATGGCATGTTTTTAAATTGGAAGAAATTTAGGTCGTATTTTTATTTTAAAAATAAAAATAAGGTACAGGCATATCAATTTAGTAGCTGTCGTTAAAGTTTGTCGGTCAAGGATACAGGCGCCTGTTGGAACATCTTACAAATAAAACTTTTGCGCCCGAATCCAAACACCGCCCGTGGTTGCCATACCATAGATACGCCACTGCCCATACCTAAAGTCCGTGCGTTTATTGTGTGTACTGGCTTGTACAAAAATCAAGACATAAGATCGTGTTTCAAACACGATTTCCGATTCTGATCGAAAGCCACTGACAATGGTACGCAGGCTGAACACGCTATAAATGTACTAATGCTACACGCCGTCAAAAAAAACAGAGATTTATTGAACACGAAGTAAAACTATGGATCGTTTTGTTAATATTATATTGTTGTGAAAACATCGCCTATATTCTACTCAACTACTGAAACAATTTCCATGGACAGTTATTTTCAGTGGTTAAAGCTGGTTGTTGTCGCTTGACGGATATTACTTTATCTTTGTGTGATGACGTCAACAAAATTAAAAATTGCGTGTCGTGGTTTTGTGATCACATCTCAGTGATTTGTTGGCCAGACTACCGTTACTGTGAAAAAATTGATACTACTTCGTTTTGGCTTTCGTGCCCATATATTTGAGCATTGCCCTTGTGTTTCTATTAGTGATGGTGCCTTCATAAGTAAATCTGCGGAATGGAACATGTAGAACGTAATCTCACTCACCCTGGTTGATAAAATCCCTTTCGATTGAAAAATAAAAACCACTCGGAATGTTTTCATTAGCAATCCCGCGTACATACAAGCTGGCCCGAGAGATAATGTCAACCGTGTGGCGGCGCAAGAGATCATAGAAGGAGTTGTAGTAACAGTAAAACAGCTCAGTAAAGTAATATATATTCCAAACAAAACAAAGAAACATAATTCCTGAAATGTAATATTACATAATTAGTAAGATTTACAAAATCCTGATTGCAATTTATTTGGATTTCTGCAAATGAGCAACGTTCTACTGTATTTTGTTGCAAATTGATTGACAAGGCAGCTTGTCCGCGCTGTTTTCGTCAGTTACACACCCTTTTTTCGTTTAATTGAAACAGCTAAATACTGTGTTGCAAAAATACAAATTTTATCTGTATAGTAGCCGTAGCTATACACGGTGATGTTTGCACAGAGTCTTATCCCGAAATTTATATAGTTTGATGTCAATGTTGATATTCATTTTATTTTGGAAAAATTTATAAAAAAAATTAAATTTATATTCGAGTCTCACCATTCCCGAAGCTCGAACTATAGCGGTTTGTCTGAATTTCAGATAAACAAAAGTTACAAACATGGTGCAGATTAAACCAAAAATACCGATTGAAATTGAAGCAATTGTGTAGTAATCTCTGAATTCCATTTTTCTGAAAAAAAAAACGTCATATTTGGAATGTGAAAAGTGGTGAACATCAAAAGTGGTTTTGCTATTGCATTCTACAGTCTACACTATTCTAATAACTATGAAAATAGCAAATGAATCAAAACATTATAATAACAGTGGCAAAATATATGGACATATTATCCCAAGTCGCTCTCAGGCGAAGGATATTGTGGCCATAGGCGAGGGCCATTTGTTTTGAAGCGAATATTGGTGACACACGAATTCCTACGTCTTGTTGTCAAAACCATTTTGCTCTATTCTTTAGCGATTCATAGATAATAACCTGATGTTTCCAGGCTCAATATTAATAATCCTCCATTAAAAAAAATCATTCGAGATAGATGACAGCCATGATAGATTGAGCGAGGAAAGTCTGTGGAGAGATTTATCAAGATATTCTTAGATATCAGTTGGTGCTTCGGAGCAAAAAGCGCAAACAAGCGTCGTATTACGTCTTATTGCAAAAAAATTGCGGGCAACGTTCTTGATTCTGACGCTCGTTTAGACATTTGATTTAGGACAGCTATACAAGTGGAGAAATACCAAGCAGGAGAAAATTGGTGCTATCATTGCGAACTTAGGTACGAGGTTTGGACTTGATACGTAAATGATTTTTACCCTTACGAAGGTAGTTCTTTTTCGAGTTCCCGTTAACATAATGTTAGTCCCATCATTCTCATATTACTTATGGCTTGCTTATATATGGTGAATTATATCAATCATATCGTGGCCGCCCATACTCATTACCTACCCTTTATTTGCACTTACCGTCCACGTACAACATAGCTTTAAAAATGAAAAATAAAACTTTCAACATGTAAACGTATCTTATCAGGAAATGTAAACAACTAATGGAAGCAAAACAAACTTTAGGATATTTTCTTGGACGACTTAGTTAATATCGAATATGCTGGATGTAGGCGTTAACCTATCACTTATCTGTTTATGTCAATACACATGAGGTAAACCCACAACAAAACTTACACCGCAATATATTGCGCACCATGTGGGATGCATCGTTTGACAAATAATATATGAATATGGGGACTGCTAATCAACTTATTTTGCCTTTATGCGTTTGGTCTGAATAGCTCATTACGGAAAGGGTATTAATTTACGTATTTCATGAGCAACCCTTAAATACCAAATACAAAATATACAATAAAATCAGCTAGAAAATAATATCAGCAACTACTAGGTTTTTGTAAAAAATAAACGATCCAAAATGATTTTCAGGCGACACAGTTTCGGCTCGCGAACCATAGGTACGGGGAATACTAGCCTGGGCGACTAGTCAAATTATTTGGGGAAAACAAGGCGATGCAGAAGTATGTGTACCAATATGAACTAATTTTGTTCGCCTAATTTACATCAAGTTGTGTAAAGGAACTGAATCCTATCGGCAGGGGTATATTCACCTGGCTAACGCAGATAGTTCCCGAACTCGTAATAGAACTACAATGAGGAGAATCGGAATAAAATTATGGCCTGACCCTAACCTGGTACACTTACTACGTACCGTTTTGGGTTGCGACCCATAGGTTGGGGAACACTGGTCTAGGCGACTAGTCAAATTATTCGGTTGAAACAAGAACTCGACTTACCGAATTGGTATAGGTTCACATCCATTTTTTGTCCTGTTTGGCATTTCATCTCGCGGACATTCAACGCATTGACTTCCGTTTGAAACAAATTCTCTTTGGTTGCAAGTTTGACAAAACCAACAGCAAATCTAGAAAACAAGAATGTGATGCTGAAATATATGGACACGAAAGCCAAAACGAAGTCGTACGGGTATGCAATATGTCACAGTTGACTAGCAGTTTCACGGTCTTCACGACTTTGCTTGAGCATCAGATCGCGAACGCGCAACCGCCAGAAGGTGCGCAATTTTCAATTTTGCTGACGTCATCATACACAAATTACAAATCTCTTTGAGCGCACGGAAAATAAATAAGTTAACAGCCTTCTGGAGAAATATACAATTTTTAACCACTGAAAATTTCAAGGCAATAGGCCCAGTGGGTAATGAGAATTTTTTCATAACAACAAGATGAGAAAAGAAATTCTAACAGCATAATGACATAACAATTCATATAATTTCTTTTTGATCGATCGCTCAAATATATATAATATCTACAGCAGCATACAAATTTTTTTTTCAAAGTCCGATCAACTCTCTTATATTGACAATAACATTGTGCAGTAAACAATTCTTTATTCAAGTAAATATCTTCTTTCACTAAATATGCAGCATAGGCCAAAATACGAACACGTTAAAATTTCATTATCGTCAGTCTTATCATTGAAAAATCGAACCAAATTTCCAACTGGTATGTAACTGGTGTATAATCCCGGTTTCAGAATAAATAATATATAAATATTACAATGGTTTGATATTTTAATCTTGAAAAATTAGTTGATTTCGTAAATTGATGGATTGAAATATAATTTGTAGAATTTAATGATGCGTTGAACGACTTGACAATTATTCAAACATATACATGTAAGCATTATCGCGTTCTTTACGATTTATGCTGATTGATTTCTCGGGTTGATATCATTGCATCGTTATTTATTGAACGAAACATAGAAACAGGATAATTCTTAGAGAGAATCGTCGTAAAATACAGCCTGAATACTTAATTAAAACAAAATTTTCTATATTTCATTCGCGGCATGTGTGGTCAGGCATCTCTAATTCGTAGCAGAGGTTAAAGAGCAGTATTTTTTCATACTTGAGCTCCCTGATAAATAGGGATAGAAGCGAGATAATAAGAGTGGTCTTATCATTGATTGAGATTTTTAAAACTCTTAAACATTATAGGACTGAAGGCGATCTCGTTCCAAATGACTTCACTATCGATCACAATTTACTGACAGAATAATCCAACGTGAAATTCCATCATTCTATTCTGAAACAAAATTTAAGAACATATGGGCGCGATGACCTAATAGGTGGTGAATGCATCGTCCGAGAGGAGGTTTTGCATTACAAGTTTGAGATAACACAAAAATACATATTTTCATCTACGAACTAACCTAACAAATTATTATAATAATTAGGCATTGGATTTTTTAACATTTAGACTTTAGGATTAACATTTCAAAGATCAAAAACACACAAATATAGAGTGCATAGGTATTGATGTCAGCAAACTCCTCCCGTTTAAATTCCGATGTTGATAAAAAGAAGTCTATGGCTTTATTACAAGTGTTTAAATTTTTATCGTTTATAACAGTTAGAAAAAATACATTTTTTGTGTTTTAAAATTCTAAACCAGCTGACCTTTTCTTCTGCTATTTTCGCTTGTCCTTGTTTACATGGTTGACTGCAAGTTGAGTGTGTGGAATTCAATATGGATTGTAAATTTATCGTCCAATCGATTCCTGTAAATCCCCAAAAAATCTTTGTAATTATGTGTGGCTGCAAAAGGGTATCAATCTCACAACATAGCACGATTTTAAACGTATAAAATGATATTGAAATACTACATATATATTTTAACCATTTCAAAAAATATAACAGTATCATATTAAACTACCAGTAGGTACTTCACCGGCTATTCGGATAATTTTAACTTATCTATATTTTCTATAACTGATCTATATGTAAATATTGAGAAATGTATGTATGTATATATAAATTGCTTTGCTGCTTAAAATCTTTTGGCGCTCCAGAAGCGTGTGTACCAATATGAAGGTAACAGGTGGTGTATTCACTTGTCTAACACAGACAGTGTCCAAACTCGTAATAGAACTAAAATAAGGAAAATCGAAATAAAATGATGGCCTAACCCTAACCTGGTACACACACAACGGGAGTACCAATCATTTTTATTTAGTTTTAACAAGTATCACAGTTTCAAATTCAAGAACAATTTACCAACCGTCTTCGTTGTATATTCCGACATTTCTCCATCTCTTGACCAGTGATGTCGAATCAACATTTTTATCAAAATATAAAATATCATAAATTGGTTTTGCATCCTGATTTTCATCAAACCTAAAGACTCTTCCTTCGTCAGCTGCAAAATATAATAATACATCGTAAAACTAGGTCAAATATGAAAAAGGCAAATTAAGCAATTCATATAGGCTTTAATCGATTACTTTCATTTTCTTGCGAGCATTTCATGGATAACAAACTTTGATTTGTAACTTAATTATATCGACAACACGACTGGACGCCAATAAGTAAACAATGCCACAAAATAGTCTACCGTATTAGATTATAAGCCGATGCACCTAATGTATAGATCAGGTAGTGCTTTATGATGTAATTGCTTACACTTGAAAGCAGCACCGTCACTGCTTCAACCCGTTGCGCCTTACAGTCCAATGCGCTTTATGTACGAACAAAAAAAATAATCTAAGCAATGTATTGATAGTGCGCTCTGTAAAAGGTGCATCTTATGGTCCGTAAAACACGGTAATTCAGAAGCAATGATATGCAAGAACAACTGTATACCGATATTATTAACCATCAAATGCGAAAAAGTAAAGATTTGGCTTTTTCAAAAAATATTGTAATATCTCTTCCATACTTAAAAATGAAATATTTCTCATGTAGCGATAAATATCAGATGCAACTTTATTTGTTCCTGCTTTTTGCTTTAATTCTTCACACATTCCTGGCTTGTTATTGCAGATATCTTTGTGATATTGGTCGAGTGAGTTTATAAATGCATATGTTGCGTCACCGATTGCCTGAAATCATATACAGGTTGTTCGTCATTTTATTAATAGAACTGAATAAAAAATGCTCATGTTCTAATAATGATTAGGACAGGATTCACATATTTATCCCGCGAAGAGGAATGTCGATAAGTCGGCTTAGTCGTAAGCAGAACTGGTAATGATTAGGATAGGACTGACATATTAATCCCGGGGGGAGAAGAAAGCCGATAAGACGACTTGATCATATGTCGAACGAAGGCCTCTCTTACGGATACCAGTACAGCTGTTACGTGAAACACCCCACAGCGGCGAAGAGTCCAGCAATCCTCTCGCACACATAATTATCCTCGCATGGGATTCGAACTTGCGAACCCATGTAGGGTAATCAGAGGTACGGTTCATAACACTTAGCACGATGCGCCATACCGCCGAGCTTAAAGTATGGGCAGTAAGGTATGAAAAAGCAAGTTATTTATTCAGATCGCAAAGTCCGTCATGGAATCACCCAGTTCGGGGTCAGAGTACAAAGTTGAAAGTTTACATAAATATCAGGTTTGAGTGCTTGCTAGCTCGCCACTCAAGGTTGTACTAAATTGGCAAAGCTATGCCAAGTCGGGATGAATCATGTTTATCAAACTTCATCAAACAATGGCCTTTCTTTTGTCGAAATGATTTTTAACGTGGTGTTAATGACTGATTGGTTTATTTCAAAACTTGATAGTTTGAATATATTTCATGTTTCATTGTTTAACGGCCTGTAGTAGTGAGATAATGTATAATAATGAATCAGTTTATCATACCACTTCAAAAATAGAAGAAACACGTCATATATTTTGCAATGTGGTAATTTTTGTAATCACTGCGGCACAAGAGATAGCCAGAAAGAACCTTACAACATGAAAATTTCGAGACTATTCTATGTGACGATGTCAATAGCCTCACTTTCCAAATCTTTAACCAATTTATGACTCCAATAAAGAGTTATTAACGTATTTTATTAGCTATAAAATATCAAATAAACATACCGTATTTATCGTAACGAAGTCAGGTATACCTTCATCTTTGTTACAAGGACGTTTACCGTGGGTTGTGCCTTGATGAAAACATGCAGTTTAAACTGGGTGTTGGTATTTACAACGCACATTTATTGCCTTTGGCTTGAAACTATTTTAAGGGATAAATATATCTTGATAAAAAAAATTGTCAGTTTGAATAGATCGCTTTCAGTTGGCTGGGCACGCATAATAAATCATCAACTTGTGACGCAATCACTATGACTATGTGATGCTAGTAAATTTTTACTGTTTTGTCAAAATACTGGCGTTAGGGAAATTTCCATCGTTGTTTGCGAGAAGGCATGTGTAAACCGAATGTTAACTGTAACAACAGAATATCTAATCTAAATGAAATTTAAGAGAATCCAAGACGATAGAAATTTCTACCAACAAGTTCAAATTAAAATCATAAACCGATATGAATATAAAATACATACCGCTTTCAAGAGAGCAGTTCTTCTGATGGCTAACGTATTCTGGCCACCAAGGGTTTAAATTCGATCTATTTCCTGTGTACGTTTCTAATGTCAGGCTTTGCATGTGTTCCTCAAGTCCTTTGGTGAATGAAAATTTCGGCTTGAATCCTGCCGCCCCTGGTAAAAAGTCATATCAATTTTTGTATAAAACAATTATACAAAGATATCTCACTCACACGAATGCATCACTCAAGTAATGTTACAATAATATTCAAATCATATTGTAAAAATGGGGCATTCTACTATGATATAAATATATCATATAGAATTAAACAAATACTAATTATTCACAATAAACACAAGTTTATAGGCTGGTATAGGTTTATTCCGACTCCGTAATCAGCAAAACAGACGATGAAATAATTGATAAAAATAAATGAATAAAAACTGATTATAGAATCAGGAGAGCAAACGAAACCTTAGTAAGGTTCATAGCGTTCAGAATTTAAGTTGGACGGTTTTGCCAAAATAAGTAATACGTGTTCATTTATCAAATGCACACATACACAACCACAGAGAAATTATAAAGAAAAACGCGGAAAACTTAAAATAAATTAGTAAATGGAAAATAAAGTGAAACAAAAATTTCTTCGCCACACCATATTAATAATTTTTTGACGTTTACCGTTATCACGATTAGTAGCAATACCTTCTAAGCTTTCTATATATGAGTCGTCCGTGTGATCAATGGGAAGCAATCCACTCCATCTATCTGATCCTATCCAAGAAAACTTTCCCAGAGCTCCAGGAACAACATACGCTGCTTGCATTATCATCTCAACGTAGGGCCGTGTCACAAAGAGAATTACAACTAAACAATTAGTTTAAAAAAAATTTATGTTCGAAATTTCTTGTGATCAAGTAATTGGGGCCATGCTCGGCGGCGAATAGTGCTAAGCGTTATGAATACGCTTGCCACTGCTCTGATTACACTGCTTGGGGACGCAAGTTCGAATGTATTGGGGATAATTATGTGCGAGAGGATTGCCGGGCTCTTCGTCACAGTTGAGGCTTCCTCCATTATCGAGTTCATGATTCCGAAACAAATAACTTGCTAACTAATCTCATACCCGACCTGGACTGGTAACCAGACGAGAGGCCGTGGTTTGCCATATGATTAAGCCGTCTTATCGACTTTTCTCTTCCCCGGGATAAATATGTAAATCCTGTTCTATCCAAAACCTTTCTATCTAAAAAGCCTTTATTATTAATCTTGCCACGATTTGTAGATCATTTTGTTTCGTCACTATTAAGTTTGCATACATATATATTTGAAGTTCATTCAATTCAGACAATTTAACTACTGCACATGTGTTCCTCGAGTCTCTGGAATCTTTCATCGGGAATTTGCTTTACCAAAATAGTTGAAAATCACTAGTCTAAACTATCTAATTCATTGTAACTAATTAGAATAAGATGTGAATATATAATAATCCACTTAAAATGGAAACTAACTTTATCAATATTCAAAATCAAAAAATCAAGAAAATTAATTTTAATAGGAATGGAATAGTAAACCAATCAGCAACTAACCTCTCGCATTGTCTTTTTCCATTAGTTCTTCAACAACAAAATTCAAATCTGAATATTCTCTGGTACGATCAAGAGGAATTGCAGTAGCGATGCAGACATTTACATTCTTCAAATGGCGAAGAAGTTCTAGAAAGATGTGAAGTAATTGATCAGTCTCTTGATCAAAGTAAAGGATCGACAGCAAAAGCGTAGCCAGCCTAAAATAGGGGGGGGGGCAATTATTTTTGTAAAAATGATGTAAAAAACGTACGATTTTGTGTATCTCTGCAAATGCCGTAAAATCGCTTTCCAAAAAAAATGTTGAAAAGTTTTTTGGGTGTCCATGGCCTATGGTTGACAGAAAAAATGAATTTGTTATTTAGTCATTAATTTCTACCTGAATATCCTCGAACTCCGTACTGATCATCGTCATAGACAATTGAAATATAATTCCATTTCATTTGTGTGATAAATTCTGTGATAGCGAGAGTCTGTAAAATATAACATTGTCACATGTATTGATTTTGAACTATCGCGACTATGTATTATTACATAGAGAAAGCAGTAAATTACAGGTGACTAAATAAATCACTCTTCATACTATAATATAAGAAACGCGGTTAAATTTGTGTGGCAGAATTTTCCTATAGAAACTAATAGTCAGAATGAGCGAAATTTAGAAAGAGGTAAAATCTAATGAGTGAAAGAGGAAATATTGGCTTGAGACAATAAACAATAATTCTATTTCGTCATGCAAGAAATCACGAATGATTCAAATTCAGACACAAAGTGTTATATATACATTAGAATACTGGATTTCATCGCAATAAACCAGGTCGCGATGGACCAGATTTAAAAAATTCTGTTTTTTTTAGTTGCAATGTTATCTGATCACAATTAGCTCTGATGAGATCATAATATCGACTTTTACGTCAATGCATGACATGATATTCTGATAATGTTAGCGAATATAAAGTACCGCAATAAACATGGAAACATTAGAATTGGATAGAAAACTGCTTTATTCTTAAAACGATCAGAATGGAATAAAACCTTTCTTCTATATTTACCTGATGTATATCAGGGGGAACAGTTCTGAAGAAATATTCAAATATTTTTTTGTCACTCAAATCAGGACTCGTAGACCAATAGCTAGCCTGAAATTTAAAATAGTAATTTAGAAACTAAAAGTGAAAGATCTTCAGGTGTGTTCATGTTCTAGTGCCCGAACTAGGATTTGGATCTATTGTGTTTAAAAAATACTCTATGGCTGTTTTGTTTTAAGCGCTATATATACATATCTTTAGATCTAATACGTCAGCAGCATTGGGCCATTTCTCTTCTAACATGTTGGTATTGTGCAAAAAAATTAATTATTCATTATAAACGATTTTTCCCGGAGACAAATTGTCGCTTCTGCATTTAATTATATGATTTTGTAGAACAAAGGAGCAATGATCAAATATATAAACACGAAGACCAAAACGAAGTTGTATGGGTATTAAATCTTTTACAGTACTGGTACCGTAGTGTAGTCTTCACGATTTCGATTGAGCACCACAACACGACAAACGCAGAACCGCCACAAGGTGCGTAATTTTTATGACGTCATTACACACAAAAACTAATACCGTAAAAGCCACAGAAATTTTTAAAATAAGTAAAAGCGATGAAGCTTTCTAGCGAAAAATACAATTTTTAACCATCGAATTTCAAAGCCATTGGTCAGATGGTTAACATCCGACGATTTTTTCACGAGTCGAGTCAAGTTTATTATTTCCAACAAGTAAAATCAACAACCATCGAACACAAATTACGAGTAAATGATAATTACACATTTTTATTGGAGAAGGGAAGTCGTGGGGAACCAAAGCTGGTTATTGAGCAGCGACACGGACACACGACAAGAAGAAGAAGAAAAGAAGGCTAACAAGAACAACAACATAATAGCAAAACGATTCATATGTACGTGTCCAATAACGTTACCTGGGGAATAGAGAAGACTTGTAAAATACGAGCTAATTGCATAGATACCGAGCTCCTTGCCCCTCCCACAACACCTGTAATGTGAAAAAGTATGATTAAGCGTTTATCGACTTTTTAACGAAGTGTTTTCTTTCATGCTACGTTAAAATTTCATGGTACATGTAATCTTTTTTTGGTAATTTCTGGGTAGAATTACTAATACTTGTTTTTGTGATGTTTATCAAGTGACTGATTATCTAACTATTTCTGATCTATGTAGTAAACATTCCAATGTTTCCATTACATTCAGTCAAATACACACAACTGCAGCACAAATTAGTTCATCTGCATGTTAATCAAACGAAATAGTTAAGGAATTCCTAGTACGCTTTGCTACTCGGCATGAGTTCTTTTTGAGCATTTGTAAATTATTTATCATGAGTATAGCCTACATGAGATAGTATTAACCAGGAAACGATTACCTGCTAAAATTCTGCTTTCGTACTCTTTTGAACAGTTGTAGGAACATGTTTCAGATATCAAATATTTTCTTAGAACGTCCAACACAATCTGGTGAATGACGGTAAATCATTATCTATACAAAGCGAATACCGAGTACTAAATTGTGCAATCGGATGGGAGCAATCAAAATAAACTTTACAAATTTTTTGTGAAGTGACCATTGCTAAATCCTTACGCATCATTCAGAATTGAAAACCATCATTAGAAGAATCATGAAATACTCAAACCTAATCTCAACATGATAGAAAGATTTCTGTATTGGGAATTTCGGTATGATCGATGGTAACGTGACGAGATCGGGAAGTATTTTTGAAAATTACATCACAAATATAAAGGTTTCTTCTCCGTCATATATAAAGACCTATTATTTATTAGTTATCCTACACTTACGTGTAAAATAAACCCTAGCTTCAAAGTTGAATTTAAATAAAAAAAAAATAACTTAGACTTCATACATAAAAGTTATCTTTGTAGTGACTCCAAATGTTAATAATTTTCTTGCCTAATGAATATCTTAAAAACATTACCACTTTAAGTGCATGAGAATCCGAGTTACATGAGTTAATCATAATTGTCCCAAGTTTTACTCCAGGTAGAATATCATCTTTGGAATTTACCTGAAAAAAAGGAAGCCAATGGGAATTTGATGAATATAATATATATATATATACCAAAGTCGTGTGCCCCGTTTGTAGAAAAATAAAAAAAATATTTTGTGCAATCAATGGTAAATTCAGTTGTGTAAACGTAAAGGGACGAAAGCCTATGGGCAGGGGGTATATTCACTTGGCTATCACAGACGGTCCCCGAACTCGTAATGAAACTAAAATGAGTAAAACAGATATAAAATTATGGCCTAACCCTAACCAGGTACACATACTACGGGAGTACCGAAAAGTTCAATACCAAATACCAAAGATTTAAAATATAACCAAATTGTTATTTGCCGAATTCTACACAAGGCGCTATCAGACTACAAAGTAGCCTTTTTCAAGTGAAAAAGTTACATATTTTTTTTTTATAAATTATTTATAAGAAAAACAATTGATTCATGAATTCAACATTCAATTTGATCATATTTTCCATTAAAATCAGAACTATACATTTTCAATGATTTAAAAAATAAGTAAGAACCTTTTCTATAATCATATTCACTTGCTCGACCAATTGTATCCCGATTTGATAAAGTGAATTAATACATCTTCCCTCTGCATTACTCTTGCTTACAGGAATTGCAACTGCAATCAGTATGTCACCGTCGCGATATTGAATCATTTCACCGTAGTTCACCTTACAAACAAGAGAGCGGTTCTCAAATATGTGGACATGGAGACCAAAATGAAGTAGTTCGGGTATTCAATCTGCCACGGTGGACTATACCGCGGTCTTAACGACTTCACCTGACTTCTAACGCGAACGCGGAAGCGTCATAAGGAGCGTAATTTTTAATTTTGATGACGTCACCACACACAAAAATGAATCCCATAGAGCGCACAGGAATTTTTGAATTAAATAAAAAATACACTTTTTAACCACTAAAAATTTCAAAGCAATTGGTCTAGTAATTAACGAGAAAGGTGATTTTTCTAATAAGGTAACAACAAGAACAAAAATGAAAATAATAATAATAAGTTTATTTCGATTCCATAATCAGAATAACTATAAAATGATTGATAAAAATAAATAAATAAAAACTGATTATGAAATCAGGACAGTAAACAAAACCTTAGATAAGGTTTAAAACGTACATACAAAATGACAATGGACAAAACAATCTATATGACCATTCTGTCTAAAAATGGAACAAATGTTGTGTTTGGTGACGTTGTTATTGGTTTATCGGTTTTCCAACTAATGCCACACTCCGATCACGTTACAAATGTAGGAGCGGTGGTCTGCCTCATGGTTAAAGCGTCAGACTTGGCAATGTCCGCATCGGAAGTCCTGCTCAAAAACTACACCTACCACATCACCCAGGTATGGTTGCTGAACTATAGGGAAGTTTTGGTCTTTTCAAAATATGTTTGCGATTCCTTCTGTAATGCTAGTGAAAAGCCTTCTATTGAGGGATGGGCGTGTAGAACCGTCGCATAAAATACATCAGACACATAGTTTCACGTGGTATTAGTTTTAATATCTATACATTTGAAATACAATAACATAAATTCATACGAAAAGTTCGATTTATATATTGAAAGTAGTCTGGATAAATTTGGACAAACTACCTTTGATAAAAGAAATACTAAAATAAGATAAATTGGTGCGGTGTCCAGTTTCCTAAAACATGAAAAGGTTGGGAGGTTGTGTTTACTTTAATGTCAAACATTCAATTGGAATTTGAAGTTTGCGGTAACTGTGGTTTATTTGCTGGCATTTGAAGACCTGAAATTCAAACTTCGTTCGTTGCCAAAATCATGAAAGAAATTATATCGAGTATTTTGTTTTTATAAATTATTCAAAATTCACCTGTCAGCCTTATGATCACCTGTACTGTATGAGGTCCGTATACACGGCCGGTGAAAATTAATGACCGATTCATTCACAATACGCACGCAAGTTCCTATCAGATCGTCATTAGGTGCACGATAATTCATTTAAAAACGTCAAAGTGTCTCGCTGTATATATATCACATATATCTCTATGTCACTGAAGTCGCAGGACCAAAAAACAAAACGGGTAAGGGAGATCCTATAGTGGTAAAGGGTTACATTCCCGTTAGGTCCTACCCTATTCAACGAAAACCCATTAGTGAGTATCCTTATTGCAATAGACACTACAAATTTACCCCAATTCGAATTAACGAATGTAAGGTTCAGCTATTGCTTTATGCTTTATTGCCTATACATCACTCAAAGTCAGTACCAGTATCGGTTGCGTCTTATAGGCCGGTGCGCCTCGTGTATAAATATAAAGCCAATCTAAGCAATTTTTAACAGTGTGGCTTTTAACACGCCTTCTGGCCTTTGAAAAACGGTAAACTATGAAAACAGAGTTATTGTTTCAAATTTTTAATAATGATCTTACAAATTGCACAATTTAAGCTTTTAGGAACACGTTTCGTCCTGTCATTATCAAAATAAAATTCATTTTCCGGATAATTAAATCTTCCTTCTGCCCGAAACAACTTATTTAAATACTTTATAATTACTGTTTATGACGAGAATCACGAAATCGCGTTTTCAATATTATTTCTTGGTTTGATAAATGTTTATATACACTGTTCAATATCTTTTCAATGGAGATATAGTCTTGTAGAAAATTTTAGAATTGTATTCTGTATATCGTCAAAAATTACAAACAAAATCGAGGCGAGATTCAACTTTCGTGGTAATCTACGACTGCATTGCTGTAGGGGTTGACGCCTCCCTAAATTTCGAATTTCAGCCTTCCCCCATGATTTTAAGAGGTTACACCACACTTTAAATCCTAACTCGATTATAATTGTTTTCAAATATCCAAAAACTGGCGAATATTTCAGTATAGATGGCGAGTCAAATACATACACATTTTTATCAAGTCACAAATAGTTTGATTGCTAATAGGACGATACCTCCCCCCTCCCCCCTAAATTTGGATTCCCAAAAAAAAAGAAGCTGGGAAGCAGCACTGCATCAAAACCAACCCTCCAGTCGTTATTGGTTAATTGCGTCTTTACGTCAAATATGAAACAGTAATTGAGAATTAATCAAACAACTTTTATTTTTCACCTTTTTATTTTCGGCATCCGTCAACTCTACAAGGTTCCAATAAACTGTAAAATACAAATAGAAACAAGTTCGGTCCATGGGTACACACGTTATTGTTAATCCATTACTTTACTGTAATCTTAGTCAGGATTTTATTAAATCGCATTTTTGCAGTTGGCATAGATTCGTATTCTAACAAACCTGTACAATACTAACCTGTCAGCATAAGAGACACCATAATCCAATCTAGTCGCTCGGGGAGCCGCATGATTTTTGCCGTTATGTACTGCAATAGTTTGCCGCCAAAAACTACATATCATCGGCGTCAGCAAGTAAGATGTCTCAAAGTGGGCGTACTTAAGAGCATATTGTTTACAGGTACAAAAGCTTCAATATTTACCTTGAATTGAACTAATTCTTACAATATCTCAAAATTCAAACAATAAAATGCAGTGAATATAGGTATATATATATTAGAAAACTATTTCAGTTAAGACACGTAAATTGTCTACTGTCTGCCAACAAACGGTTTGGATATTATATAATATATATTCGTAGCGTCTGGTGTTCAACCTAATCATCTGCAAACAAACTACTCAATTTTTCTAGATACTCAAGATACTCTAGATACTACCAATGAAATAAACTAAATTCTGAGATTGCATCACAAAGCGATGTACTAAAATGTTCGAGAAATAATAGAATTGGCCAGACGGTCACGTAAAACTTCACCCAGTAACGCATGATAAAATAAGTCCTCATCTCGCATTACTTTGAGAGAGCCTGAGTAAAGTTGGTTGTTTACGCCTTCTCGTTTATTCAGGAGCATTTGATCTTAACTACAACTTTTAGGAGAAACGTCCTAAAGCATTACGAAGAAGTTTTCGTAATCGTTTTGAGTTGACATGATAAAAAAGAAGTAAAAATAATGAAATCGAACACAAACTGCTCATTCACAAATCAAGTTTTGAGTTGCCACTTTAGGAAAACTCCAGCAGATAAATTTGCAACCAATTGTTGAGAATATACCTTTTGCAACAAAACAAACGGCACTCCCGTAGTGTGTGTACCAGGTTGGGGTTAGGCCATAATTTTATTCCGATTTTCCTCATTTTAGTTCTATTACGACTTCGGGGATTGTCTGTGTTAGCCAAATGAATCTATCCCCTGCCCCATATGTTTCAGTCCCTTTACACGACTTGATGTAAAATAGGCAAACAAAATTAGTTACCTCCATATTGGTACACATACTTCTGGAGCGCCCTTTTTTCTATATTACAACAAAACTGAACTTTTCACAAACGTCCACCAAAAATTGTCGACCTACTCGAACAGATCAACGACTACATTTTAAAGGTTGTCCACTGGTAATCAAACTTTTAAGGTATATGCTTTTTTCTGAGACTTGAGATTAAAAGAATTTTTTTAACCAAGTTTACTCCTCCGCATTACTTGACTTGCTTTATCGCTATTTTCTAATATTGTGTAATACAAATGTGTCTAATTGGGTTCTCATTGCGTATGGGCCTGCAATTCCTCTATTACAAACCATGTTTGCTTTTTGGAGAGCTCGTGTGCTCGTTATGTGCAAACGTACTGGAAATATGCGACGTCATCTTGAAGCATTACTTGTCGGAACTTGTTCAGATTTGTTTCATATCTTTTATTTATTCGCCATTCGACACAAAATTGATCACATCTGTTTAAATTCACAAACTACAAATTGCTATAAGTTGAACGTTCACCCGGTCGGTACTGATGTAAATAAGACATCAAGTTGCGCTTTTAGAATTAACTCCGAATACCCTTTTGTGCCCATCTCAGATGCTTCATGCTTCACCTTCATGCTTAGCCTCCCTTAGAATATTTTTGCTTCCAAATTGCTTCCAAGTTTTATATATATTCGGGTCTGAAAAGTCTATTGTTGTACGTTATATCTACTATTACTTTATTTTGACAAACATATGATGTTTAGTTGCGTTTATTTCAAAATTTTGTCGTATCAAGTCGTATTCACGGTGAATCGTCAAGAAAATATTTTCTACTCTCACACATCAAACAATATATACGCACGATTACGAACGACGAATACTCGATAAAAAGTAATTGACCATAAATTGAACATACAACTTGCAAATTGGTATAAAAGAATGCGTAATATACCAATAAAAATGAACTTTCACTTTTCGTTGCTGTTATCGAATTATAATGTTACATTAGCGTCAATTATTGGCTTGACGTGCGCATATATTCGTTTTCACTTTCTATATAGGGAGAGACATATGAATGCAACCTATCTGAACAGTCCAAATGTTCTTCTAGAAATATCTTTATTTATTACGTTTTTATTCAGTTTTATATTTATTATTGGATATACGAATCTAAAAATTCATCAGATCGAAAGTATTTTCATTATTCAGGTATCCGAAATTTATGTTATGTTTTTGTTATTTGATTTTATTCGTAGAATACTAGCAAAATTTGTTTCAACATTTTTGGAAGTGAAAACGTAAAATGCAAATCGTTTGTAGTTGTAGATCATTCTGATTCTTCCTGGGCCTAGGGCATATTTGGTCTACTGTTCTAAAGGCAGGACTAGTTAAAGATATTTTTAAATTGCTTTTCTGATTGCTAGTTTGAAAAATTCTGTGCTATGCAATAAAGACGTCATATTTGAGGACCATGAGATCGAAATGCCAATATTCTTGGCACAGTAATCAGATTTGTATTTTTCAAATTTCCCGCAAAACTCTCCAAAATTGATAATCAAAATTTAAGATGCCAAAATGAAATTGGCACATTGAAAGTATTTTTTTAGTCAAGTATCCCAAATTTTTTTTATATTTATGTTATTTTATTTTGTTTGTAAAATACAATAGCAGCAATGAACAATTCGTTACCAAACTTTTTGAAAACGTGAAATGCAAACCATTTGTAGTGCCGATCAGTCTGACTTCTTTTATGCAAGACTAGTTAAAGATAATTTTAAAGAGCGTTTATGATTGCTAGTTTGAAAAATTCTGTGCTATGAAATAAAGACGTCATATTTGAGGGCCATGAGATCGTAGTGGTCCATGAGATTTGTATGAGTTTTTGCAAAAAATTTCGGATCTTTCATAGAAATCCCCCGCAACTAATGCAAAATGTGAGATTTTAGAAGATCACCCATACCACGTTTTGAATACTGTAGATTGCTCTCGCCACGTTTTGAGTAATTGCGCAATCTAAGAACATGTGGAAATTGAAAAAATACACATTTTTAATCACATGTATTTTATAAATATATACAGACAGGATGGAACGGCTAATTTAAATTTCGTTGTAAACCAATAACGATGATATTGATATTTTATAGCATTTAACGGAGGGCGCTGTTATGAAAAAAAATCTAACTTGTATGAAAACTTTTAATCTATGGCTATTACAGAACAAGCTCGGACCCTTTGGAGATAATATTGAAATATTGGAAAATATCGCTCAGACCACTTGATAAGCCGGTTATACCCCACTTCAACTTAATTGCATGAAAAAATATTGTTGTTCCTGCTGTGTAGAATAGTTGGGGAAGTTTTGATGGTTACCCTAACTTACTGTTCGGCTATGTATTCCACAAACGTATCGTATTGAACTATACTGAGAGAAAATATGTCCTCGCAAAAATCGTATTGAACTTTAGTTATCGATTAAACTTTTCACACTTAGTAATAGATTACCTGCTAACTGGGGAAACAATACCTTATGGCAATTAATGATTAATTCCTTACACAAGTCAAGTTTGCAAGTGGGCCTACGCCTAGGCCTACCACCAATAACAGTAGTTTGTCATCTGCTTTCCATTGGAAATGAGAGAGCTTATGAATATTTAAAGAAATTGATAACGGCACATTATCACTCACCATCAACGAAGTGCTGTCGCAAAGAGTGAAACACAAGCGAGATGACTTCTGGACTAGACACCAAGCAGTCCTGCCAATACAGCAATAGATGATATTCATATTGCGCGACGTTCCAGATTTTTTGAAACAGTGGAATATAACTGAAGATTCATTTCGTTGTCTATACCCTACGTACAGCCAGCGGAACAATACGAAATAACCATTTTCCACAGCCAAACAAAACGGAAACGTATAATCCGACTTGCAACTGACAGGAGCCAGCTGGACGTTTCTGTTTTTTTTTTTGCCGTCCAGTAAACAAAGTCATGTGACCCGTGCAAGTCCTCTATAGCAGGGCTTCCCAAACTAGGGGCCGCGGCACAATGAACCATATCTGTTGTACTTTTTTTCAGACTCTTGATTCGAAATACAATTAATAAATAGTGTAAAACAAAATTTCACGAATCCGAGTGAATACATCTTCATACCGTGTTTCCCCGAAAATAAGACAGCGTCTTCAATTTTCTTTCGAAAACAAGAGAGCTGTGCTCAAATATATGGACACGTTAACCAGAGCGAAGCAGTATTTACCTTTGACGCCACCGGTACCCACAAAAAATTCCGAGTTTCGCGTAGAAATAATTTACAGAATCAAATCGGACAGCCAGTGTTCCCATGGATAAAATAATACAGCGAAATTTTAGACGAAATATCAGATTTCATGCGAAATGTAGTAATAAATAAAAGTAATAGCCTTCTGGCAAAAAAATCAATCTTTACTCACTGAAAATTTCAAAGCAATTGGTCCAGTAGTCAAAGAGAAAAGCGATTTTATAAAAAAAAATGATGGAGACAAATAACAATAACAACAAAATTTTGAAACGATCGTTATGTCCACTACGTGTCCAATAACAGTAGGACTTATTTTGGGGGTATGTAGAGATTAGCGATATTTTTTAATATACACAATATGAATACCGGTTTTCATTTACTTATAAACAGCACGTTTTGATTTAAAATAACTGCTACATATAGATTATTAACCATTTGAAAAGTAGAAAAGATTTCTTGCTATCGACTAGGTAAAAAAATTGGCTATCGACCAAGTCTTTTAAAAGGGGAGCTCATATATTAAAATCATTTTCAAAATTCAGGTTTGGTCTTATCATTGGGGAAACATGGTAGAAGCGTCGCGCTTGCATAACAATGCACATTCTGATTGTAAGACCCGATTTGCGCCGGTATTTGCATAACAATGCCGGCTTTAATTGCTATGTGCGCTTCAAAACATATCACATATTTTATTTATTCTAAAGGTTTTATTGTTTCTCTTTGCTGCAAATGACGACTATATGAATCAAATTCATTTTAGCGTTCTATGTTGTTTAATTTATGTTATGTCGGGTCTATTGTTACGTATCAGAAGAGGTAAATCCTACATGTAATTTTGTAGGCTGCAGTTAAATTCATTTGCTGAACCGAGTTTATCAAACTTGAGTGATTTTTTAACATTTCAAAGAAAAACCAGGCAGAGATGAGAAAGAAAAGTGGGTACTCCTGTAGTATGTGAACCAAGATGGCGGACACCGGAACGTAGTATGTGTATTGTGTACGAGGTTAGGGTTCGCCCATAATTTCAGATACAAACGTGAATCTCTTGGCTAGTCCCCGAACTCGTAATAGAACTAAAGTAAGTAAAATTGGAATAAAATTATGGCCTAACCCTAACCTGGTACACATACCACGTTCCGGTGTCCGCCATCTTAGTTCACATACTACGGGAGTGCCGAAGAGTTATCCTTGACCTTTGTTTACAAACCTCAAGACATAAAGTGCATATAATAACTATGACAAAATTGTGTTTTATTTCTTATCAGCATATTTTTCGTATAGGCGTGTTTTCCCTGATAATTCGGCGCCACGCAAACCGCTGCCTTATGGTAAGTTTGATCAATAAGGGTGAAAAATTCTGGATAAAGACAAGCCGTCGGCGACCAGACATCGTAATTCATCATTTAGGCCCGCATAAACAAACATTGAGCCACGGCTGGAGCAAAAAGCATCCGCACCCATTAAACTGAATAATTGAGTAACGTTAATCTTCATAAATATGTGCTTGTTTTTCTTATTGAGTAGGCTTACTAAAAGTTCAGATATAGCTGTGTCAATAAGATATCAAAAATGCATATTTCGAACTGTTTAGCATTTTCAACGTGAATAGGGGCCGCGAAAATTTTTAATATATTAAAAGGGGCCGCGAGCTCAAAAGTTTTTTTTTTCTTTTTTTTTTGGGAAGCCCTGATCTGTGGGAAGAAATTTCTGGGGGTCAAAGGTCGGGGAAAGGTCCATAGTTCCTGTTTTCCATCGTGCTAGGTTTTTTCGCATTGCAGCTTACAGCTTGGGAGTCTTTTCTACCAACAGGGGATAAATTGAAATATTGGTTTGATTTTGAAAATGGATTGTGTGTATTTTGTAATGAATTTGAAAAAACCTGCATGCATTTATTTTGTTAATATGAATGGGTTGCCGATTTTGGGGAATGGTGTAATTTGGATAAAATTTTTAATAATATACGGTACCGGTACCGGTAGCCTACAAAGTGAAGTTGAACTATTAATTATAAATTGTGCAAAGTCAGCTTTTTGGGAATTCAGAAATAGTGTTAAGTACGATGAGGTTTATCAGATGCAGTGCAACATGAGGGCTATTCTCAAATGCAAACTCATTGGCATCATTAAATTAATGCCAAGCTTTGATCAAGAAATTTATTTCTTGATGAAACTATAGATGATATCCTTCAAAAATCTATAATGGTTCGATTATATTTAATTAAGTGTGGTTTAATTAAAGTTTAATTAAGTATATTTAATTAAATTTGCATAGGTTTATGTGGTGGTCCTATGTATATTTGGGGTCAAGTGTCAACATAGTCGGGGAAATAGAAAAATCCTAGCAGCATGATGGGCTTTTCAAATTCCAGAATTCCCTGTCTCTGTGTCTAATTTTTCAATATATTTTGTTTTTCCATGCTAATCTAAAATATGTAACTATGTGTCTGCACTATCTGACTATGGTGGCGATATGGACAACTTTCAAATCAAATGGATTTTTGATGAACAATGGACTATCAAAACTGGCTGGATATATACTACTTCTGTACTTTTGGTATTGTATGGTATTACTAGATTATTCATATTGCAATTAACTGGAATACAAAACACGCGGTTGTTTTCCAAAACAAATCTTCGAAACCAAATTATTTATAATCAGTATCTTGATTTAAATTTAAAAACAAAAATTATAATCTAAAAATTTCCACATTGGCTATGGAATAATATTTGGCAAAAAAAAGAAGTTCTTTCTACTTATTTATCGAGAAGATATAAGACAAGCCAAAGAATGTACTGGTTTTGTAGAATAGGTAAACAACTTACCATGATGGTCGAGAAATTTGTTTTTGACGAGAAAAGCAAATTACAAATGTCAACTTTACGTAAACCGAAATCTATGGGAGGATACCGGTATGACAATATTAACATTCCTATATACTTAAGCTGCGTGTATATCATACAAATAAATGATTATTTTAGAATGCGAATTGGTGAAAATGCTCCTAATATTAATTTTCAATTTTTTGAATATAACCTAGGCCAACAGTTACCGGTAAGTAATTTTGGTATACACACAAATAACAATGCTCTTCATAGCTTCACACCACGAACGTATTATAAATTTATTATCGATTTTGTTAGATCGTATAATTTAACAATGCAGGATTTTGAACAAGGAAGTCACAGATATTTATACAACAAGATTGTTTCCTCCGTAAATGGAGAATGTTTAGTTTTTTTACGATATCAGAATATGTTAATTTAGAGAAAACTGTTGGCGCAGAGCCTTAATTAAATCTTAATTGTGGAGCGCAGACTCTGCCCACATAGGGTGTACGGATGGCCAATACCAATACTCTTGACGACCAGGTTGCACTCCCAAAAAGACGCGTACTATCACTGTATCAGCATAAGATGTTTTATTTTCTTGTGATGTGTTGCAAACAGCTGAACAGTGTAAAACAATACGAACAGATGCAGTACTGCAGTATGAACAGATACACAGTACGAACAACAATACAGCAATACTTCAGTACGAACAGATGCACAGTACAAAGAAGTACGGTTTTCTGAAATAACATAAATATAATAAATACACAAATAATAACAAGATCGGGGCAGTAACGTATCAGTAGGCCTATACTATTGTGAACAAACCCTAAATATCTTTGTTACGTCACACAATCACGTAATGACCAAATATGGCATCACTAACGGTTATAATAAATAAACACACAAATTACCTCTGCCGGCACTTTCAAGGCCTGACAGGAAAACAAATACAAACCATGTAAAACTTAGAATACAAAACTATATGTATAAACTTACTTGACGTTGTGTCCTCAAGGGTCGTCAAGCAGTAACTTGAACATTAAATCACAATAACTTGACTGAATTACTTAGCAATATTACAATGAAAACTGTGAGGAATATCAATAATACACTATTATTAGCAGTACAAATAAATACAGTACATTTTACTAACACTACAAGCCTAAGTCGTTCACTAATTAATCAATTATAAACCCTAAAATAACACTCTCAGACCGACGTCAAAAGAGCCATCAGCCAGAAACTTCCAGAATCCTGCAGCGCGCGCGGTCCCCTGACGTCACTTCCACAAAATCATTGTGGTGCAATAACCAAGCATTCGATAAGCTGGTCCATGGCGCCAACTTGCGGGAGAAATGATTTTACTTCAAGATATTGGCGGTAACACCCTGGCCCCTTGGAAATTGAAAATTTGTGTCCACATACACCAATTTACAGATTTCCACACACACATTCAAACAAATAACAAACACACAAAATATAACGAAATTGTGTCATGCAAAAGAAATTTCATGCAAGAGCTAACTTGTTAATTACAAGCATGCAATAAAATAAGCTTTGTAACAGGTCTTTGAAGAACAGAATATTGGGTCTGAACACTAACAGATCGAACAAGGCCCTCCTTGCCAGGAAAAGTCTTGATAACTCTACCCAACAGCCAGGTATTTCGTGGCAAGTTATGATCCACAATGAGAACGATATCGTTCACACACATATTACGTTGAGGTTTGTTCCACTTTTTTCTTTGTTGTAAAAGAGGTAGATATTCTTTTCTCCATCTTTGCCAGAAAATATCTGCCAAATACTGGACCTGTTTCCAGCGTTTCCTCGAATACACATCCTTTTGTTCAAACAAACCTGGTGGAAGAACAGGTTCTTGTTTTAATAACAATAATGAATTTGGAGACAGTGGTGTCAAGTCATTTACATCACTTGAAACTGTTGTAATTGGACGTCCATTTATAATAGATTCACATTCACACATTAAAGTGGATAGAGCCTCATCGCTTAAAGTTTGTTCCCGACAAATTGAATTAAATACCTTTCTGACAGTCCGAATTTGTCTTTCAAAAACACCACCATGATGTGAAGCGGAAGGTGTTTGAAATATCCATTTTATATTTTTCTGAAGCAGATAATCATGAACTTGCTTCTGATTCCAACATTTTATTGCTTGACGAAGTTCATGTTCAGCGGCCACAAAATTTGAACCATTGTCACTTCGAATTTCCAACACTTGACCTCTACGAGAAACAAATCTCCTTAAAGCCATTATAAATGAGTTCATGTCCAAATTTTGAGCTATTTCCACATGTACTGCACGGGTAGTTAGACATGTGAAAAGAACCCCATATCGCTTAACATCACTTCTTCCTTGACGAATGAAGAAAGGCCCAAAACAGTCCAAAGCCACATATGAAAATGGTGGTTTATCAGGAGTTACTCTATCAACAGGCAAATCCGACATTTCTTGATATTCGGGTTTACGCTGCTTTCTTCTGCACAAGACACAATTGTTGATAATTTTCCTCACTAATGAAGTCCCCTTTACAATCCATAGTTCTGCCTAATTTCTGCAAGAACATATTCTCTTCCATTGTGTCCAGTTGTCCTATGAATATAATCAACCATCAGGGATGCAATAAGACTGTCTTTTGGTATAACAATTGGATGCTTAGCATCATAACTAATTGGAGCATCTTTGATTCTGCCTCCAACACGAAGAATATCATTTTTCAAGAAAGGACGCAGCGAAATCAAAGTGCTTGATTTTGAAATTTCTTGATTATTTGACAGCAAACGTATTTCTTCGCAGAAATATTTTGATTGTTCATATTTGATTATCTCCAATTCCGCATTTCGTAGTTCAGTAACAGAAAGTGGTTGAATACGATTTTCTTTTGGCAGATTTAGAATCATTTGCATTAAGTTTTGAAAGCAACATATTTTTACCTCGTAATATCCAGGCAAAAGCTTTCTCAGACGAAACCAGTCTGAATATTTTGAAATTATACGATTTAGGACCAATTTTTCACTTGCTGTATTTGAAAAACATTGTATCGATTCTTTTTTCACCTCAAGATTATCCGTAGAGCAATTGTTCATAAAATCGGGCTGTAAAGGCCATTCCTCAGCAGCTTGCCACAAAAAATCAGGACCAGATTTCCAGTATTGGCAATTCAAAAACGCATCAATTGAAAGTCCCCTTGAGGCAACATCTGCTGGGTTCAGTTGTGAAGGCACAAAACGCCATTGTTCAATTTCAGAGGTTTCTTTTATCAAGTTTACTCTATTGGCCACAAAAGTTTTAAATACTTTATCTGTATTTGCCAGGTATCGAAGCACAGTTGTACTGTCGGTCCAAAAATATGAAGCCGAAATTGGAAGTTTGAGTTCCTTTTTTAGAAATGCATCATTTTTAGCAGAAATTGTTGCTGCACAAAGTTCGAGTCGCGGTATTGTTGAACCATTTAAAGGGACAAGTCTGGTTTTTCCACTTATAATAGCACAATGAACTTGTCCATACGTATTTGTAATTCTAATGTAGGATACGGCACCATATGACTTTTCAGACGCATCTGAAAAATGATGAAGTTGTATATCGATTATTTTACCAAAATCTTTTGGTGTATAGCATCTCGGTACATTGAAATTCTTTAATTTTGGTAAATCAGAAAGCCATTTTGACCATTCTTTCTTCAATTCTGGTGGAATAGGATCGTCCCAATCAAATTTCTTCCTACATAAATCTTGAATCAAAACTTTCATAGGTTGAAGAACTGGCTGACCGAAACCAAGAGGATCAAAAATAGAATTAATAGTTGACAACAATCCTCTTTTTGTAGCAGGTTTATCCTTATGTTTGACACGAAAGCACAAAGTATCTTGTTCTACATCCCAAATCATGCCAAGCGCCTTTTCCACTGGCAGGTCATCCACTGAGAGATCCAATCCTTTGACATCTTTCGCACGATGCTCTTCCGGAATTGACAGCAAAACAGCTCGATCATTACTGACCCATTTTGTTATTTCAAATCCACCTTTGGATACTAAATTTCTTACATTCTTGACGTGATCTATAGCTTCCTCAGCATTGGGTTTGGAGTCCAGAAAATCATCGACGTAGAAAGCATCATAAACAGCATTCACAGTGCTTTCACTAAAATCCTTTTGATTATCTTCGGCAGTCTTTTTCAAGGCAAAATTGGCACAACTGGGTGAGCAGATTGTACCAAAAAGAAATGAAGTCATTCTAAAGCAGACCACAGGTTGTGAGACATCACCATTTCGCCACCAAAGAAATCTCAAAAAATCTCTATGAGGTTCGGAAACTTTCACTTGGTGAAACATTGCTCGGATGTCTCCTTGAATTGCAACGGATTGTTTTCGAAAACGAGCCAGAACACCAACCAAATTATTTGCAAGATCTGGCCCCTGTAACAGAACGTCATTCAAACACAGTCCAGAAAATTTAGCTGAACAATCAAATACAACACGAAGGCTTTTCTTTTCTGGGTGGCGCACTCCGTGGTGACTAAGGTACCAAGTTTTACCATCATGTTCCCCTGAATTGTTGACCTTCTCTGCATAACCATTATCAATCATATCTTTTACAAAACTTTTGTATTCATTGTAGAAATCCGGTTCTTTTAAAAATCGTTTCCTGAGATATTCTAATCTTTGTTCTGCATGACTTTTGTTTTTTGGCAAAATCACATTAGGATTTTTAAATGGAAGATCAATTTCATAATGTCCATCCGTTGTCAAATGAATAGACTTGTTCACTCTTTCCATGAAAATTTCTTGATTAGGGGAAAATTCTGGTTTTTCGTTTTGTATCGAATCGACCACTTCAGTGCACATTTTACAAAGTGGGTGCACACTAGATTTGACAAAAAAATTAGAATTTGATCTTTCAACTTTCTTAGTTTTGGGCGGACAGCTAATCATCCATCCAGCAGGGCATCTCACAGCAAAATATTCATCTGGCCCGTGTACAATTTCCAATGGCTTATGTAGGGCAAAATTATCTTTTCCTATCAACAAGCCAACTTCTTGATTCAACCTTGGAATTACCACAGCCTCGAATTCCTGAAACTGATCCACATCCTTCTGTGTTGGAATATTTGAAACATCAATATCGATGCATTTATTGGAAAATAGTTGACCCAATGCAATAAAATCAGATTCATCAAAATGGGATAGCTCAATGTCGTTAATAACAGAGCTTTTCTTTTGTTCAGTCACATTTGAAATAGTACGAATATTTAAATTTGTTTCCTGACCAGTGGCATTCAATCTTTGCATGAGCGCTTCACTTATAAAAGAACATGTTGAGCCAGTGTCGAAAAAGGCATTTGTTAACACAACATCATTCTGTCCCTTCACACGTACCTTGACTGGAATTACGTTTAATAACACTCTTGCTTCACTGGCAGAATTCACAAACGCACTAAATTTATTTTCTTCTCTGTTTTCATTAGTATTTTTTGATACAGAAGCATCATCAGCAGGCTTATGATGTTCAGATTGATCATCCGCATTTACATTATCTGGGGGGTGCAAAAGCGTAGTATGCTTTCGCTTACAATTCGGAACTCTGCATGGGTTCTCGCGTCTGCACTGCCTTGACCAGTGCCCTTTTTGTAGACAAGAAAAACATAATTTCAAATCCCTCACAAATCTTTCTCTGTCCGCATGTTTCATGTTCCTAAACTCTTGACATTGATTCAGGAAATGAGTGCCACTGCATTTAAAACATTTAGGAATTGGTTTGTCAGCAGCGGAGACAGTTGTAGTAAAATATGACTTGTGTTGCTTCATTGGTTTATTTGCAATTTCTCTGGGTTTTTGAACATTATTTGTTTCAGGATTAGAAAGGTTTGACAATTCCCTCGTTTTCTTACGCACATATGACACAAGATGTGCTAAGCTCAAGTCTTTTTCTTTCACATGAAGAGTATCATCCACCAAAGTTCGCCAACCTGGCCTCCAAACTGATGGCATTCTCCACGATATTTTATCAATGATCATCAAAGACAGACCTTTATTTTTAATACCTTTTAATGTATTTTCACATGCAATTAATTCAGCAGCAAACATTGTTAAAGCTTCCAGGTCATTGGTTCTAAGTTGCGGGCCTTCTATAATAGAATTCAAACATGCCTGTTCAATTTGCAATTTATGGCCATAAGTTTCTGCGAGTAATTTCAACGCTTCATCATAGCATGCCGAACCTTTATGTTGGCATCCTTTTACTAGAGCACGAGCAGTGCCTCTTGTGTATTGTAACAGATAAACAAATCTTTGCTTTGCATTCTGCACCTTTGCAGCAATAACGGTATCAAAAATGTCAATAAAGTCGTGGTATTCACCAGGATCACCAGAAAAAACTGGAGGTTCTGTTGGAGGTAAATTTGCTTGCTGGGGCACATAAATCACTTGTGGTGTTAATTGTATTGGTACCTGGCTTGGCTGGGGTATATTAATTTGAGTAGCTTCTTCATTAATAATTGGCATTGTCAGTCTATTGATGTCACCAGTGAGTGCCTGTGACATGTTATAAATTGGAATTGTACCTGTATTCGAACTAAAATTGCTAGCAAAATCAGTGCAAGAATAAGTCATGCAATTACTGGTAGGTGCATTATTACTGGTAGTAGAAGCAGCAAAATAACTTGAGCTAGCAGTAAAAGTAGGGCATGCAGCATATGAACTCATACGAATAGGCTGTATTTGATTTGCAAGCACATTTACTGGATTCACAGCAGAATTTATTTGGTTAGGAATTGTTACTAAATTATTAGCATTATGAGACGCAGTACTAGCCACAACCATGCATTCATTCACACCAAGCACACTGGTAGTATGTGGACAACAAATTTCAAAACCAGGGGAGGATGAATAAACCGACATACCTTGATCCACACCAATAGCAGGCATGGAAAGCGAAACATCCCCCAACGTGTAACTTGGCTGATTTGCAGTTGTTAACATGGTCTGAGATGGCACAGTAGATTGAATATTATTTCCAATTGTAGCAGGAGAATCAGATCTTATTTCAGGTGGAGATACATTCTGTATCTTGTTACTATTTGACACATTTGTACAGGTGCCAAGTAACAGTTCGTTTACATTTGTATCGGAAAAAGCAGGAAGGTCATAAGGTAACCCCCTCTCTGCCATAGCTTCCGTAAAGTCAGCATCCAATTCTAGCTGGGTGCGCTGATCTCTACGTTTTAGTTCATTTAGTTCTCTGTCTTTGCGTTTTTGGAAACTTTCCTTTTCGATTTGACGCTTTCTTCTTAGCTCTTCTTCTTCCATTCGAATCTTTTCCTCTAGAATCTGTCGATCCCGTCTTAACTTTTCTTCTTCAATATGACGTTTTTGTCTTATTTCTTCATTTTCTCGTATTAACTTTTCTTCTTCAATTTGACGTTTTCGTCTTATTTCTTCATTTTCCATTCTCACTTTCTCGCTCCAATCTGCTTCTTCTTGAGAAATGGAGTCTTGTAGCTGAATCTTTTCCAGCTCAATCTTTTTTTGTAAATTTAATTTTCTTGCTTTGTAAATATCTTGGATTTGAGAGTCACTGTAAGTGGATACCCGTGACATTACTGATGACGCAGTTCGGATACTTCGAGATCGTAACGAACCCCCAACACTGAAAACTTTTGATTTTTGTGAAACACTGTCACGTGATTGAGCACTATATTTTGATTTCGCTCTTGTGGTCATTTTGTGAACATTCATTTGCTTATCTTCGGCATTGAAAGATGCTACGGACTTCCCTTGTTTATTTGTTTCATTTTCTATTTGGGAAATCGAATCCACATCAGACGATCTTCGGAAAAGGTCATGAATCGAGCCACTACCGGAACCAACAGGAGATAATATTTTTTCAGCAGCGACAACTTCAGGGTCAACTGCAGGCTCTTTCATTTGTGATGACAGTGTTATTGGAACTTGGGACGGTTCTAAATCATCAGATTCTTGTTCTAGCACCATTTCTTGTGCATTTTGAAAACTTTGTACAGCTTCTTCAGTGTATTGAACTGGATTTGACTCAGCCATAATTTTATGTCCACTAGTAAAGGCCTTTGAATTTCACAATTGTCAATACTTTGTAGAAACGTCAAAAAACTTTATGTTGGCGCAGAGCCTTGATTAAATCTTAATTGTGGAGCGCAGACTCTGCCCACATAGGGTGTACGGATGGCCAATACCAATACTCTTGACGACCAGGTTGCACTCCCAAAAAGACGCGTACTATCACTGTATCAGCATAAGATGTTTTATTTTCTTGTGATGTGTTGCAAACAGCTGAACAGTGTAAAACAATACGAACAGATGCAGTACTGCAGTACGAACAGATACACAGTACGAACAACAATACAGCAATACTTCAGTACGAACAGATGCACAGTACAAAGAAGTACGGTTTTCTGAAATAACATAAATATAATAAATACACAAATAATAACAAGATCGGGGCAGTAACGTATCAGTAGGCCTATACTATTGTGAACAAACCCTAAATATCTTTGTTACGTCACACAATCACGTAATGACCAAATATGGCATCACTAACGGTTATAATAAATAAACACACAAATTACCTCTGCCGGCACTTTCAAGGCCTGACAGGAAAACAAATACAAACCATGTAAAACTTAGAATACAAAACTATATGTATAAACTTACTTGACGTTGTGTCCTCAAGGGTCGTCAAGCAGTAACTTGAACATTAAATCACAATACCTTGACTGAATTACTTAGCAATATTACAATGAAAACTGTGAGGAATATCAATAATACACTATTATTAGCAGTACAAATAAATACAGTACATTTTACTAACACTACAAGCCTAAGTCGTTCACTAATTAATCAATTATAAACCCTAAAATAACACTCTCAGACCGACGTCAAAAGAGCCATCAGCCAGAAACTTCCAGAATCCTGCAGCGCGCGCGGTCCCCTGACGTCACTTCCACAAAATCATTGTGGTGCAATAACCAAGCATTCGATAAGCTGGTCCATGGCGCCAACTTGCGGGAGAAATGATTTTACTTCAAGATATTGGCGGTAACAAAAACATACATAATAATATAGTGCCAAATTATGTGAAGTCTTTTGATTATAAAATAATATAACCAAAGCTGGTATAAAGAGACTTGCTGGAAATTATTTATGTGTATTGTGTCATGATGCTGAACCAGAGTTTATTAGACATTTTTTTGCTCTTTTGTGCAAGAAATTTATAATTATGTTTTTATGTATATAGCTATGAGGCTTTTTCAAAATGTGTAATATTCAATTCATTGCCAAATATCGAACATGTACTTTAAGTGGACAAGAATACACTTTTGCAACCAGGGAACAAAATAGCAATTATTTTATTGCTATACATTGCCCCGGTATAAACTGTGTCTAGAACGAAATTCTGTCATTTTTTAAAGTAAAATACCTAATGTACACAATGTAAATTGTCAAATTAGGAAATATTATTATCCAGAAAGAATATTGAAAACTTGCATGAAAATAAGCGATGTACAAACAAAATGCAAATATTATGTGATAGTACAATAAATGTATGATTTTTTCCTTTCATAGGTTATCTAAATTTTATAAATGTATTGCACATTACTGTATATATACTTATATTTTTTTTCTTATTTATAATCAGGTGAACCATATAATTTACTAATTGTGTTTTTTTGTTTGGCATGATATGCCTAAAAAAAATGATGTTATATGTATGAAAACGAAATGAAATCATCTACATGAACGAATGAAATTGATTAACAATAAATGAACCGAAATATGAGAACAAAACTAAGGAATAAAACGCACTGGTTTGAATATTTATACCTTTATTTAATTTTACAATTCTTTTTCAATTTAATATTGTAATTATCTGGTTATATCCCACTCATATGGATTGGTGCAAAAAAAAAGAATATTCAATATTTTATCAAGCATTTGCGAGGATAATTCACGTAACTCTCATTCTACATAAATTCGCAATCTTCACCACTTTCAATCCACCAAAATTATATACGGCTGTAAAAGTAAGCTTCGCCCGTGAATATTACTTTCTCGTGTTCACGTATGCTGTTTATAAATTTATTTATTTCAGTTAGATAGTGTTTTTTCCACTTGTGTGAGTGTGTGTGAATGGGCACAAAAGCTGGTAACAGCGTTTGCTATAAACCTTTTTCTAGGTCTTGCCAATCTTCACGGTCTTTTAGTCGCCATTGTCTGCATATTTTTGTCTATTTTTTTTGTGTGCATTTGGGTTGTAGACTAAAGATCGAAATAATTGTATTGTATTGTATATCGGTAGAGCTCTTCGATCTATGTTTTTCTAGTTGATATAAAGATTTTCAAAAATTTGCCCCAAATCATTGGAACAAGCATATAAATACTTAATCACATTTCATTTTCACTCTCGTTCAATAATATCAAAAACAACTTCTGAACATGGGCTTTGCTTTTAATATACCACTGGAATTCAAACTTTCAATTCAAATGTAGCATTTCTTCTATCACACAATTCATAAAATATGTTCTGTTGTAATTAAGTTTTTTATATTTATTACAAGCATGTAAAATAAACATCAAGTAATAATAATTATGTCTGAATCCGAAAAACAACAAATCTCTCCCAGTGTGATCGATGCGCAAATATGCAAATCCGATCTTGATAACTCGGAAATAATTGAGGCGGATTCAGCTGTTCAACAAATAATCGAGTCTGATGTTCGTGATCACAATTCCAGCATTAATGTCAACAATACAGGAAACGTATCTCCACCCCAACCCCAATATGGACCTATAATTCAGGACTTAGGTTCTGAAGATGAGATTCACAGCCATCAAGGTTCAGGGCAAGAATATCAAGTAGAGGAGCCATGCGAAGGTATTGAACTTTTGCTAAACTGGACATTGCCCCAACGATTTCATCAATATTTGAGCATCAATACTTTCAATCAGGACTGTGGAGACCTGAAAAAGCTCACTATCGTAGTTAGAGCCCCCTCCCCCCCAAAAAATAAGAATAAATTCGAAGTGTAAGAAATTAATAATAATTGTTCGGAAAGTTGCTCGTTATCTGGTGGATATATCACGGTTATCTAAAATAAATCAAAATTGGAATCAACACCAGTGACGGCCAACCCGAGCTAACCACACAACGAAATTAATAATTAACGAATATCAGAATTAGTGCGAAGGGCCGGTTGAACCGGCCAGCCGGTTTTAAATAAAAGGAAAAAGAACTGAATAATAAGTTCAATCCACCTTTTCCCATCAATTGCGTGAAGTTCAAATACAATTATCAGAAGAATCTTATTTCTCGAAAACTAAGGGCATGGCATAGGAGTTGATAAATATGGCTCTCAAGCTTGATTATAAAAATCTATATTACTTCTTCACCTCAATGTTTGGCTGCTAGTATTCTATAAGATCATCACACTTAAGTTTTCACGTATGGGGAGTAGAAGCTTGCTGGAAAATGTAATCAGAAAATGAACAGCAAAATTCTGTCCTGCATGCCATAAACGATATCTAAAAGACGTGCGAGATATTGAATGTCATTGCTTTATCCTTCGCTGTTTTATAGATAAAATGAAGAAATTGTCAATATGAATCTGTTAATGAAATATATAAGGGAAAGTGGAGAAGTATGGGCCACCTTGGGGTGTGAGCCATTGCAAGTTCAACAGCTTTATAAAACCCCCATCACATGTATCTTGGTGTGATTATTGCATAAGTCCCACCAAACAACACATGTTCTTTGCAGGTTAGCAGCTTACAAGGTGTCTCAGCTATGAGGTACTAAGCTTTTTTTGAAAAATTAAAATAATTGGGATAGCACAATCAGTTGTGGTTTTTTGATAAAATCTGTCAAAGGCCTAGGAACCTGTGTCTTGGTCCTGTTAAAGAGAGTGTTGGATGAAACAGCTCATCTTTTTTTGTAATCAAATTTTGTCTGAAAATATAGCGGGCAGGGTATCTGAGGTATGGGCCATTTTGGATGCTGAGAGGCCCATACCATGTCGGTAGTCGTGCTAATCAATATAAACGGGGATAGTGACCTAGGGAAATGTATTGTATAATGAGAATGTCTATATTTTACGAATGGTCGTTTCCCCAGAAATTATACGGCATTACCCGAGGCCCCTGTCCAAAACTACAACTCTTGCAAAGGTAGATAGAAAATAATTCAATTAAGAAGAAGCAATCAAGAAAAAAAGTAAAGCAAGTTAAAAAAGCAGGAATAATATAATTCGTCAACAGTGATCTAACAGTAGCATTGTTAGACAGCTCAGAAAGTGACATCTTTGAAATAGATTTGGATAATGTTGTCTGCTGTTTAATAAAAAATCCAGCGCTCACTAGAGACAGAGCAGTGACATACAAATTTATGGGGACTGGGTTCTAGTTTTTTGATGGTGGCCCATACTTGACACTGCCTGGCCCATACCTCGCATGATGAATTTTTTTTTGGAGTAAATTACATTTTTGTGGAAAAATACATTTTTTTCCAAAACTACTTCTGAAAACTCCAAACCAAAGCTGGGAATAGTTACCGTAGCTGTTTTGTCAAACATTCAGTGGGTGGAAGAGTGAATATTTAGTTTAAAGGGCTAAAGCGTTGTGGCCCTCCAAAGTTTGGTGGCCCATACCTCTCCACTTTCCCCTACATATGGCGGAAAAAAGAATTTGATGGCTTTCATGAACAGTTGCTAACACTATTATTTTATTTGAGGACCCCAAGTTGTTCAGCAACCAGCTCAACAGCAGGCGGTTCAGCAACTACAAACCACACAAAACGGGCAAGAAAGCAATGTCATTATAAAACAGGTCCATTATCACCGCACCCTACATTATCATGTGGCGCCGGTTTATCAAGGCTCAGTAATTAAAGGAGACATCGTAGGGTGAGTGATAGAATTGGCCTATTTTTGGAATCAGGAATTAAAAAGATGCTAAATGGTAGACCGGAAAATGCTTTAGGGACTCTAGGTGGCTACATAGCAATATCTGGAGCATTCGCATACAAATTCTGACCGTTTCTCAAGACTTTGTTCAAATTATACATTTCATACAATAGTCAAAAATTACAGCTATAAGCCTGGCACAAATATAACGCAATATGTATTTCAAAGCCATTTTCGACCTTTTCTATCCTGTTGTAAGAATTAATTTGATTAAAGTTGGATATGTGCTGCGTCTGTTTAATTACATTGTGTTACTACTACTAGTGAAATTTATGTAAAAATATTCATTGAACCCCTGTTACGTCATGACGCGAAAGCATTGTAATATACGTTAATATATATGTACAACGATATATGGGCGTTATGAGATTAATACAAACAAAGGAACGACACTTACACATACCAAATTGATGATGCGTACTAATGCAAACATTGTTGCTTGTTGATTCAGGCTCATTGTCGTCTGCTGTTCCTAAATAAAATATCCGTTTTCACGCAGCCAAATCTTATACACATATTGAATATGTTCAAACCAGTGAGTTAGCAAACCGGTTGCTGATTGTTTTCTGGGCGTTTCTCTTGGAAACAATTTCTAGTTGTTATAAATAATGCGACATTCTGTTGAAATTGCTACATTGGCAAACTCAGACGGTGATTTAAAAGCCATGACACATTTTTAAGGTCGGCTCTGTCGAAGTAGATAGTCTGTAGTCATTGGAACAAGTGGGTCTCCAAGTGGGAAATATCGCCCTCTAGGACAGTGGTTCCCAACTGCCGGTCCGCGAAGCTTTTTTGCCGGTCCGCGGGAAAATTCATTTTGTTGTTTTTCTACCGTCCCAATCGCTTTACCGAAGCCGAAAAGACGAAGTTACGTTGGTTTATTACGCAATTTCTCTCCCACCGTCGTATTGCTGTTTGATACGAGCGGTATGGTCTGGCGACGTCTTGGCGCCGAGTAATCAAACTTCTCGCTTTTTTGGTTCCGATCCATCGCGAAAGCGCTCCGCCAAATCTCGCAAGATTCAAAAACTTGCAAATAAGCATGCGTGCCTTTCCCGTTCTGCATGCTTTTCTTGATTAATAAGTCGAAGTTACATTTGTTTATTAGGCAATTTCACTTCCGCCATCATATTGGTGTTTGATAAGTGCGTTATTATGGCCCGGCGAAGACTTGGCTCCGAGTAATCACATTTTTCGCTTTCTCGGTTCCGATTTATCGCGAAAGCGCACCATCAAATCTCGCAAGATTCAGAAACCTGAAAATCGGCATGCGTGCTTTTTTAGTTCTGCATGCTTTTCTTGATTGATATTACCATCCAAATAAAAGGTCATGATCATGAATGTTTCTTTGTTCAATCCAGAAAACTGCAAAGAACAATATAATATTCCAGAGCTTCAACATGACAGCCATCGAGATATGATCTTGTTGCGACCCTGCAGGTGGTCACGAGACGCGTAACAAAAGCGAGGGCCGCTGAGATATTTTCCGGGTGATGCACAGTAGGATTTTGAGCTTGGTGCCAAGTTAGCAACGACTTTATCATTGTAACATAAATTCATTTTATTTGGGGCGTCGATCAACTGCAGAGGGATTGATATAATGAACCCGATGAAACGTCTACCTTACAGTCCAGGATTATAAAAGAAAGAATCATTGTCACAATTCATTCGTGAGCTCTCTTGATAACGAATCAACCAGTTACTTCTAGCTTTGACTAAAACGAAGCAACTAAATTGACCGTGAGCCGCTGCAGAGCTACGTGCTGCAAAACCTTTCTTTGATACCTCGTTTGCAATCCTGTATTGAAAACGAAACAGTAGCAAAATTCACACTGAAGTTAATTGTGTTTGTACATGATTTGGCATGTACATAATTTTTATGTGTGATATGCAGTGCCGGCGCGTCAATAGGGCCAACCGGGGCAATGCCCCGGTTGTTTTTTCGGTATAATAAAAAATATTCGAAAAATACCTCAATATCCGTTGCACAGACTGTCTACACTAGCCATATTCTCCCGACATGGTTCATTTTTCGCTCGCAAAGCCTTCGCCGAACGTCGACGGGGAGACGCCGATATTGCCCCGGTTGCTCATTGTATATCGTATTCTCTCTTTTATCTCCCACTCGCCGCGCTTGTCTCATTTGTTTTCTGTTTCTTTTACTAGATCATCGGGGCCGATCGGGCCTAGCCCCGAAATTATGACGACACAATGACGTTTCTTACAACAACGTGTTGACATATTCACGCATTCCTTCTCGTTCGTTGGTTGCGTGAAGAGTTGATAGTTTCCTCGCCTTCGTTTTTGTCGCTTGTTTCGCTATTTGAATCAGTTAGAGCCCTTTAGTCCATTTGCTTTCGATTTTCCACATTCCTTTTGAGCTCCTCACTTCTTTCCGGCTTCGCATTTCTTAGCCTTAGACCTCATAATGAATAAGGTTGATGCACTACTTCGCACTCCGTTTTCGCAGCTGCCGCTGGAACAAAAATTAGAGGTACAACGTCTTGGGCCTTATCAACCAAAAAATTGTTCACTGGAACAATCCCATGACGGAGGAAAGCGTCGGCGTACATTCTGCGCAGAAACTTGGTATAAAAAACACGAATGGTTGTGTTACAGCGAGGACAAAAATGCACTTTTTTGTTTTATTGCCTACTTTTTGCTACCACCCGTGACTCACGTTGGTGTAAATTTGGTTTTAGAGATCTTAATAAACATCTTTCCGAGCGTGCCAGGGATCATCAATCTTCTATGGAGCATCTGGACAATGCAGTAAAATACCGAACATTCGGAAATGTTAATATTGCAGCACAGTTGGATGAAGGACGCGCGGTTTCTATTTGTCAGCACAACCAAAACGTCGAGAAACACCGCCATGTTCTCGGTCGATTGATAGATGTTTTGAAGTTCATTGGTTGTCACGAGCTGTCCCTCCGTGGGCACGATGAACGGGCTGGCTCTTCTAATAGAGGGGTATTTTTGGATATGGTGGAATACAGCGCATCCCTAGATACAGTATTGAGAGATCATCTTGATGCCGCAACTGTTTCGAAAGGGACATCTAAGGATATCCAAAATGATTTGCTCGACTCAATGTATAAAATTTATTTACAACATTTGGCTCTGGAAATTGAGAATTGCCAGTTCCTTGCGATTCAGTCTGACGAGACAACTGACGTCACGTGCGTTTCCCAACTGGCTGTGATTTTTCGATTTGTGAAAGATGGTAAACCTACCGAGAGATTTCACAGCTTTGTACCAATCGTTGATCGCACGGCTTGCGGGATATCGGCTGTACTGAAAGAAGTGTTACAGCCTTACAACGCGAAGTCAAAATTGATAGCTCAAACTTATGACGGCGCGGCAGTCATGAGTGGGTTGAAACATGGTGTTCAAGTTTATATAAAAGAAGATTTTCCTCATGCGCATTTTTTACAGTGTTATGCACACCAATTTAACCTCGTTATTAAAAATATGTGTCTTGATACCCCTCTCGTCCGTATATTTTTTGCAAATGTTTCGGGGTTTTCTTCATTTTTTTCCGTTTCGCCGAAGCGTTCTGACCTCCTTCGCCAGATATGTAGCCGCCGTCTCCCAGCTTGTGCACCAACACGTTGGAACTTCCAATCACGCGTGGTGCAGGGCGTGTTCGAAATTAGTTTCGAGCTCATTGAGTGTTTCAATGGCATTCAGAGCTCTCCGGTTTGGGCGAACGCTCTGTGAGGGAGGCAGCAGGTCTAAAGCGTCTGCTAGAAGATGGTGAGTTTTCATTTTTTCTCGCTTTTTTCTCCACAATATTCTATCACGTGGATGTATTATACGGCGCATTGCAGTCAAGGCTAATGGATGGAGCGTCTGTGCAGTCGTGTATTTCAGACTTCTGCGATGCTGTGTCTCGTATCCGGGAAACGATAAAATACGACGACACATGGAGTGCTTCTTTACGCCGCGGGCAAACAACGCAGCGTTTGATTTTGTCTGCAAAGGAATGCTGTGACATTCTGGTGAATCAAATAGGCGATCGTCTGCGCACTGAACACCTTGCCGCGTTCTCTTTGATGAACCCCAAAAATTTTTCAAAACGCTGCACGCTGAAGCGCATTAAAACGTATCTCAGAAACACAATGAAGCAAGATAGATTAAATTCCTTGGCTGTTTTATCCATTCACAGAGACGTTATTTCTGGGATGCATGACTTTAATCAGCGCGTTATTGAGCATTTTGCTTCCAAGAAACCGCGGCGTGTTGCATATATGTTCAAGCAGTAGAAGTCTAGCAGCATATATATCTATGAGTGAGCGACGCATGTCCTTATCTTTGCATTACCTTTCCTCTCTTCATAGTAACGTTTTAAACCTTATTTTAGGTTTTGTCTGCTTTCCCGAAGTTTCTGTTATTAATATGGCATTGTATTTATCTGGGTAAATATTGCCTTTTCTTTTGGAAGAGGTTTCAAAATAAACTATGTCTATATTTATTAATCCCTTGACTGCATAGTAATTGCCGGACATTAAGCAAATATATGTTATTATTTTCTGTTCCACTCATTTCAATTTTTGCCGGTCCGCGAGTACATTTTATTTAATTTTACCGGTCCGCCAGGGTAGAAAGGTTGGGAACCACTGCTCTAGGAGGTGAAGGGAATATAAAAGGGGGAAAAGAATACGGTAGAGGCAATAAATGGGATGGGGAGCAGTAGAGCATTCTCGAAAAAGTCGAAATGATCATGAAACTAAAATGCTTTATAAAAAAGATACGTATGATATATTTTGGTGCAAGTCATCTGACAAATACCCAAACAAGGAACATGGATTATTTCATTTCCAACATTTTGATTTTTTCAACCGAGAAGCTATTATTATCAAAACTAAAAATCGCCTTCCCATCGACAATGTAGACGTAGCTCTCTACACTTCATTTCATACTTTATCAGGTCGTGATTGAGTGAAATTTAGATACTCATGATCAAATCTTAGCAAAAACAAATAACTACAACTCTCATTATGTGTGATAGTTTAGTGAAAGGTCGTATTTTATTTCAATCCTTTTTTTTTTCAGATCAAAAGTCGAAGCAAGAGATACTAATATTGGTGCAATTGGCGGTAAGAGTTTTTCAATTCACATAAACAAATTTCACTCACAATCACACTATACACCTTAATCAATCAGCGGAGAATCCACATGGTGCAATTTTCTAGATACAAAAATTTGAGTCAAAACAAAGATCTTGCGCTTGCACTATCCAAAAATATTTGTGAAATGCTAGATAACAAGCATAGCAATATTGAAATTGTAATTACATCCAGTAATGAGCTGTAGCTGGAACAGCGTTCCGGTTGTTAGACATTTTATTGCATTTGCATTCCTGTTGTTGAAATAAAATTATGTCATTGAAAGTTTAGTTTCTCTGGTAAACTTAGTTATTAACTTATGTTTTGTTACGTAATAATTCTTTTCACATTGCGGCAAACAATTAGTTAGTACAGCAGTAACATGTAGTGGATTTTTGCCAACCTTTGACCCTGTGAAAATTTGTCCTGTTACATTCTAATAAAAACATTTGTATTGAATTGGTATGAATATTTTTGTAAAATTTCTGGCAGCGTCCGAGTCGTGTTGTAAATATATATTGCATGCAGGAATTAGGTGCGTTCCGGTTGTTACGTTTTTTCCAGCTCATCACTGATTAGCCTACATCTGATAAAAAAAATCTATTCGTTAGTTTTCAGATGTGTTTCGGAAATGTACGGTAAATATAAATCAAAGAATTCAATGACCACTTTGTCTTCTCAGGAGTTTCAGTTCAATTGCAGTAATCAAAAATTAGTGTAGAAACAGCTGTGATAGACTAGGCTAAAATTATTTACCTGTACTTTTAAAAAACAGATTGTTGAATGCTATGAATCAGAATGATGGTTTGAAAGAAGTAGGGGGCCTACCCCATTTTACAGATGCCAACTCGCGAAACCACTTAAATTGAGCATTGAAAATGTTGCAATGATAAAGTATAGGAAGAGGGTCAAAGGTCGGGGAAAGGTCCATTGGCAAAGCTCTGCACTGAGTTTGCTGAAAAGGTCGGCCAACAAACTTAATTCGGGAAATGAAAGAAATAACCTCCTAGCATTTTTTCAATCAAGTACTAACGATGATTGAAATAGATTGGCCCAATAGTGGCAGAGAAAAGATTTTTCAAAACAACAACTCCAACACGTTTAACACCAACATAGATTAGGCAAAGCAATTTATATGTAGAATTTATGCTCTTGCGATCTTCTGCTGTCACTTTGAAATTTACTTTATCCATTTCAGGCTCACAACAACCTCTAGCAATAGGTGGTTCAGAAGAACAAGCAGCTCTAGCTTGGCTTGGTGAAGGAGCATCTACAAGTTCTCAAGTACCTGCGTTATGTGGCTCAGAACAACCACCTGCTTTACCTTGGCATGAAGAAGAAAGAGAAGGTCTGTGTTAGATTTGTTGTGTCACATTCCATGGCTCATTTATATTACAGTAATATATAAATTCCTTTTAAAGTATTTTGAGTTATTTTTTACTATTTTGACTTTGTGAAAGTTCGATACTACTAAAATTAGAACGTTAAAATTGGTATTTACAACTAAACCGGAAGTTAACAATATTCACATTAAGAAATGGTTTTCTCGGAATAAGAATCAATTTGTTTCAATTTGAAGTCGAATTCAGATAGATATACAATAAATCAAAGTTAGAATAGAAAATTTAACTGCAATGCTCTGTAGAACCAATTGCATAGGATTTATACTTACAAAAATCTTACTTTGAAAATTTTGTTTTAATTTCCATCTCATATAACTAAATCTCTTCTTACAATTAGCGGGTCTATTTTGAAAACTACAGCTTCAAGCGCTAGGCTCACTGAGCTCTGGTTAGGATGTAATATGCATAATCGAAGAGTCCTAAACCTCCTAACATTCCATTACATCAGTGGCTGCTTGTTACAGAGTTTTGAGTTAAACACCACAATCAATATGAACTTTGAATTCGGCTTAGGTTAAAAATTTGCATCCCATTGCTATTGATTTTTCATCTAATTCAATGTTCGTTTTTGTTTTTCATAGTGCTCCATTCTGGTAACAGTTCCGTCAGCAATCAACCGCTTGCATTGCCTGCGCCAGAATTACAAATGTCTCCACCAAGCAACGGACAACTAGAAGAAAACATGGCGACAACACCAACCGGTGAACAAAAAACATTGGTTTCTATATAATAAGCATTGCTCTTCAATAATAACAACATTTTTTATCTAAAAAAAACTTACAAATAAAAATATTTTTGCCACCGCTATGATGGTAAACAGCATTGCAAATGTTAAGACAGTTCTTTTACGAATACAAAAAAAATTCCAAATTTTGACGGAATATCGGGCTTGTAGGCATCAGAAAACCTAAAAAATCAAAGCAATAGCCTTCCGGCAACATTTTACATCTTTGAGTACTCATAAAAATTTGAAATCGATGGACCTTGTAGTTGGGAGTGTTTTTTTGCAATAACAAAAAACCCAGAGTATCTGACCCACCAACAACAACAATTTAGCAAAGCAATGCTCCCTATCCGTGTCTCATTTCAAAGACCCAGCGACTAGGAATGGCTGAAGTTGTGTGGTATCTCCATTTTTGAGTAAAGCGAAGGCAGGACAATAATCAGGACCATTTGGTATGGCCATATCTGGGGCACTGCACATATTTCTTGCGTGCATTATAACACAACTTTTTTGAATATTGTTCTTATAGGATGACCCTAAAAAACGGAAGCCAGTCCAATTTTAACATATTATATGGGTTCTGTTGTTTTGGTCACCCTGTATTTATAATGACAGGTCAACTGGGAACACAGAGTCGACCAGCAGTTAGACAGATAGAGCCAAGTAATGAAGAGACTGAACAAACTGAAACTCAAGATTCCAGGGACAGCACACTAGGTATTTAATTGCCAAAGCATTGGTACGAAAATCTTTTTGTAAATTAAAATTGCATAACTGACAAAGTTCTTCAATATATAAAATTAAATAGTCCTCTCATGATAGATTATGCGTAACTATAAAAGCAATATAAGCAAATAATTGATACTAAATCGTTTTATAGTTTTGTGTTTTTATACGGCTTCTAAGGGGACAGAGATAAAACTTGCATAATGATAGAACAAACAAATGAAACGCCGAAACGGCGCTTATCAATGGTGTGTAAATCTGTGAAGTCTATGTGGCGGTCGGTAAACGCTCATACAATTTGCCATGGTCAACTCCACATGACAAACAAGCAATTAATAGTTTTATTAGCCGGGTTCTCTCGAAATAAAAACTGATATTTTACGTCAAACTGTTTAATCGAATGTCTTCTATGAAATATGACTTACAATGGGATATGAGGAAGAGAATTTTAAAATTAAATATTTCAAAATTCAAAACTTCTTTAAAATTGTTTCAAAATGTTGCAGATTGTATGCAAAAAATGAATTGCGTATGTTTATTTTACATATTCTTTCTTGTATAAATTTATATGCCTGACTTGTCTAGTATTATTTTTGCTTGTAGATTTTATATTCCATGCCACATCGGTCAACATAGTAAGCTTTTATACCAATACTAATGCCTAATAGCCTACAGTTAGTTAAATCAAACTATCATTTTATCAAAAAATTTACAAATAAAAGGTATTTTTATAACCAGATCGACCATCCGTGCAGTCACATGCAGTCGAGGAGAAAAGTTTTGTAGGAGAAGATACTGATATAACAACTCCCAAAGTTACTGGCGAGTATTTATGCCTAATAAATGTGTCTGTCCTGCACACGAGTATAATTTGCGTCTGTAGTTTTCACCTGTCTGTCCAAGTCTGCAATGTATTACTGACCTTTCTTGTTCAAATCATTTCAAATTTGGCTTATCCCAACACCAGCGCCATTTCCAATAAGTCAAGTTTATTTTATCCAACAAAAATATCACAATCATTAATTCAACGAAAGGATGAAGTCGCGGGGAACCAAGTTGGTTATCTAGCAGCGACACCCGAGGTTCTAATATTCAATTAAAAAAGAAAGAATTCTAGAGTTTTGAAACTACTATGCTTTATATTGACGGTGAGTACCATATGAAATATTTAACTAAGACCGTTTACCAGAGAATATATAGGAGAGCTTATACTGATTAACGGACCATAAAACAGTTGAATGGGAAATTCCTCATTTTGACGGAATCGCTATAAGCAAGTGCTGTTCCGAAAATTAGTCTGGGGAATTTTGAAGGTGACCGACTTATTGGGAGTCTTCTTCGTCGCCTACTTTGCGGCGGGCCGCTTCGCATTTCTCAACCTTCTTTACAGTGGCCTTTTTGGTTCCCGTAGCGGTTTTCTTGGGCTTCATTGCTGCTGCCTTCCTAACGGATGCAGTCTTCGGCTTCTTGGCTGCTGGTTTCTTCTGTGTCGATAATCACTAAGTGGAATCAATATCAATTAGAGAATGTAAGTCCCAAATTCCGGAATTATACACTGTGTTTAAGTAATATTTTATTAGATGAAAAGGGCTGAATGTCTCGTAAAGATTCCACAAATTTATTGCAAGTAAATTTTCATCAATCATTCAAGCAAAAATCAAGTTTCAAACACAAATTATTAAAAGTATCCCAATGTTTGCATCATAAGAAAAATTCAAAATGAAACGAATTAATTTTAAGGTGAAAATTGGATATAGTGGGTGGGTGTTATCTGACTAGATAGAGAACTATTCTATGAATGCAAACAGAACATTTCATTTACTTTATCTTTTTGTTACGCCATTTTCTAATGCTAAAATACCCATTTCAGGAACCCAACAGTCTCCGGTAATAAGAGGTCCCAAACAACAAGCTGCTTTGCCCTGGCTTGGTGAAGGAACATCGGGAATTTCAGCAGTAGATGACCCAGAACAAAGACCTGCTTTATCTTGGCATGAAGGAGAAGGAGGTTTGTGCAAAGTTGTTTTCAAATATCTCACACAATGCTCAAAAATGTTTTTAATGCTTAATTTTTGAAAGTTTTCTTTGACCAAAGTAATTAGAGATCTGATCTGATTTAATTTCTCAAATATAGAGAGTATAATTTTTAATTTCGGTCAATAGTCGATAGCATCCACTGGAACTTATACATACAGATATAGGTAAGATTTAGAAAAAAAAATTTTAAATCCGCAATGCGTTGCTGGTTGATGATGCGTAAGCACGATGGCGCTAACTTGGAATAGTTTCGACCTGAGAAGCAATTGCGGCGTACCGTGTAACTATATTAATACATATCTTTATTGAATATCATGTCTCTTATTAGGAATGTTCATTTTAATGTATCAAGGTAATTGTTATAGAGTCAGACACTTCATATTCAATAACTTCAAGTCCTCGTCAAACCACTTTTGCTATGTTTTAATTTCAGCTCATTATTCTGGTGGAAGTTTAGCCAGCAATGAAACACTTTTGCCGACTGCAACAGAAGCATGTGCATCACTTCCCATGAACGAAGAATCGCAAGATCAGATGCAAGCGCTGGTAGACAAGTCATTGCTTGTTTCAGCAAAATCAAGGAAACGTACAAACGGACAAAGTATAAGCATTGCTGATTATAAAGTTTTAGTGAAATTGCCATCACATTGACATACTGTTGTGGAGTACTAGCATAATGAATTCTTCAAGTTTTGAATAACATGTAAACATTTATGTCAAACATTTTCCACGATAACTCTATTTACTGTCCATGTAATTGCAATACCAGCTTTGCAATATGAAACGTTTATACGGTACCTAATGTTTTTATTTTGCTATTGAAATTTAACTAAGTTAAATACACCTCATTTTGGTGAAATTTTGATTTGAAATTTTTTCTGAAGTTAGGAAGCATCCGAAATATTCGGTAGGTCGTAAACTTTTGCTTTCTGCTTCACAAATTTGCGGAAGACTTGGTAACTATCCACTAAGTTCCTGCTGTAATTATAAGATTACACATGCCTCAATCGATTAAGATCGAACAGCATCTTTGCTGTGCTTACTTTGAATCCATTTTGTATCGGATGACATTGCCTTGTCTTATTACAACTTGATTTCATATGATTTGGAAAGGTCTTATATATTACATACCTTTTTTTATTTCCAACTAAAGCAAACTCAGATTACTTCCTAAATGTTAGCAGTGTACAATTACGTGATCATGACTTACTCAGAATTGAATGTAATTCCTCGTAATTCTCATGATAGTCTGAAAAGAAAAAAAATGAAAATTATATATCACATTCTATTGAAAAATTGCGAGATTAAAGTAATTTTGAAGCGTTGATATTGTAGGTAGCATAGAGTCCGGTATCATCAAAACAAACATTGAGATATATTCTCACATTATAGAACTAACCTTAACACTAATTACACAGGCGCTGATGTCAGACATTGTTCAGAAGAAGACGAAATAAGTGAAGATGAATACGACATAGAATCGTCCGAAAGTAAGTACTTGATACTGACTATCTTTTGCGGCAGTATACATATGAAAGTTTGGTGTTGGAGTGGATGAGATTCTCAGAATTAAGATGTTTAATTTCACGAGTATCACAGAACAACATACCATAGATTTGATTTGCACCATTGTTCTCAACATCAATTTTATATCTATCTCCTCAAACTTTTGAGTTGACGCATTTTATTGTCTGCACACTTTTCGTTGACAGTTATAAAATATAAGCGTTCATCATCAGTTATTCTAATATATCATATTCAGAGATGGCCAATACCGAATAGTTCACTATTTCGAATACATTCGAAAATGAAAGTAAAAGGAGCTTATCTATAGTATATGAATGAATTTGCATACAATAAACAATGGAATAACTGACTATATTGCCTGGCATTTCATGTTCGCAGATTACTGTGGTATATATTTTAAAATAGTAATGCTTTTATTTATTTTCAGTCGACGCAACCATGAGTTACGTTAACAGATTTAAATTAATACTGCAAGGCATTTTAAATAGTGGTAAATATATGTCATGGATTTGAATATTTTGCACAACAAAAAATGATCCTAGTAAAATGTTCACATTTTTAATACCAACCATTATCCAAATTATTTTCCAAAAAGCGCTTTAAAGTATAAATTACTTTTCCGACTTGGGATAATTTTTTCGTGAGTCCGAAAATACGAATCAGATCGCTGTTGTATTTTGGAGTAATAATACTTATTATTTTGAAAATACGAATAAAAAATTAATTATATTCGGTAGGGCTGTCCAAAATCGAATAATTTCTTGATTCGAATATTTTCACCGAATCCAACCGAATAATCGAATATTATTGTCTCTATTATACAATAAACGCCTGTCCTTCGATGTTGTGATAATGTATGTGCAGTAACATCTGACCTAATGATGGTATTTTGCAATACCATGTTTTCAGATTTATGAAGGAGATCACACGCTTGTATGAACTGGTCAATAAAATTTGAGGACCCCAAAATTAGGGTTTCGAAGCCTGTAGATGCTATTTTAAATATTACTACTATGTTTTTTTGTGTAATTTTCAGCAAAAATGTCAACAACCATTAATATAGATAAAACTGTTGCTCAAATTCAAAATTACATTCAACAAATTCAAAGCTATTTAGATGACTATAATATTGTTAGCGTATAACAGCCACCAAAATGCAAGAGTGCAATTATTTGTCTTGGTAAATAGATGGATAATACAGTATTACCATCTTAAGGATCTCTCAATACCTGTTTCAGCTTTGAGTTGCCTGTACCATGTTCTTGTGATAACTATCTCAATAGCTTCAAATAGATTCTATCTATAGAACAAACTATCGTTTTCTAAACTGCCTTTTTCTCCTTGTTCTCTCTCAAAAATTTCATTACCGATTATAACTTTTAACGTGTCACCGGGCATTAGAAATGACATGTTTATCGCAAAATTAAGGCGAGAGAAATATCGGGAAACCAATTAAGCCGGGAGCGAGAGTGGTCCAAGCTCGAAGCGCCACCGCTTGTCCATGAAAAACGTACGCAAAGGTGGTTTCAAGCCTTTTCCTCTTTATGTACTTACTTTTAGCTTTTAGCGATTCGAAAATTAACGAAAAACGATTTGAATAATTTGCGATTTAATTCGATTTCGAATATTCGGTTCGCTTGGACAGCCCTATTAATATTCGGGCACTTTACCACATATTTTAAGTCCGGTGATCGCCGCTTTATTTTGGAGTAATAATACTTATTAATGTTATTATTTTGTAAATACAAATTAAAAATTATCATATTCAGGCAGTTTACCACACATTTTAAGTCCGGAGATTGGCGTTGTATTTTGGAGTAATAATACTTTTATTATTTTGTAAATACGAATCAGAAATTAATTATATTCCGTCACTTTACCACACATTTCAAGTCCACAAATTCCGGTAGATTTTAGAGTATAAACACTTTTATTCTTTTGTAAATACGAGAATAGGAATCTAAAATTAATAATTTCGGGCAGTTTACTACACATTTCATGCCCACAGATTGTCGACGCAACCATAAGTTACGTTGAACAAAATTAAATTTATAGGGCATAATAATTGTATATGCTGGTGTTATTTTTCTTAATAAATCGACTTGTTTTTCCGACTTGCGACAATTTATTGGGTATCATAACAATTACGACATTAAATAATTTTCAATTTTTTGATGTAATGGAAATGAATGTGTGAATTAGAATCATTGTAGGGGAATGGCGGCAATGTCCACCACGCAATCGTGCAAAGGTAAAGGTGTTGTAATTGAAACAATATGCGACGTACGCTTTCACAGAATATAAACAAGCAAAGTGCCGATTCTATTTTATCGTCATTACAATACGTGACAAAGCGCAAAAATTCGTTTGAAGATTTCTGCGAAAACAAAACACTGTGTTCACGGCGAAAAGTCGCTATCATTCGGAATTATTTGAAAATCGGCCGAGTGGGTATTCGAATATTCGATTCGTTTTGGACAATCCTGATTATATTTTTAATGTAGATTTCAAAAGAAGAAGAATCTGTCAACCAACAACAGCATCGAATTCTAGACAAACGCATGCGCGTCATCAGAGAAACAAAAGTCAGTTGAGATAAATAATGTTTCCTTCCTGTATTTGTGTGCGGAATCTGAATCTTGTTGACCTATTCTTCATTTTGGTAAAAAGCTAAATAACATTTAGCTTAATGTTAGCAAGATGTGCATATACTAAGTTTTCGTTAGTGGTGGATGTGCACATATAAAGTAAACTCCAGAGAGACAACAACTGATATGTATTCCAACACCGTAGATCATCTTTAAGCAAATTTTAGAGCAATTGGTCCAGTAATGAAAAGGTAAAGAGACTTTTTAGGTTTAGGTAACAAGTGGGCATGGCGTCCCACACGTTTTCTCACCACTGAGGGGGCGGAGGCACTGCCCCCACCCCACCCCCAATGCCACTTGAAAAAATACCCATTACTTGGACAAACGCTCTCCCGCCCCGAGAACGGAGCTTAACGGCATCTAAATGACAAAATCATTCTAGCGTGACTTGATCGATGGCTTGATTGACAGGTGGCCTACTCCGGGCCACTAAAGGCCTGTTTTGGCCCACTTCCCTTTTGCCCGATCGTTCTGAATTTTTTTGTGTCAGTTTGGTAACGCTCCCAGGGTTCACACCAAATTTCGTCCTAATCGGCCCTCCAGTTCCCTAGGAAGGGGTCAATCACACAGGTTTGTGGCTTAGTCTTTAGCTATTTCACTTGCGACCTACGCGAAAAGATTTTTGATCTATAGATGTGCTAAAGTGGCGATTTATCACAGTAATATAACAGCAGATATCACATACTACAAATATATTGAAAGCAAGCGAAGCAGTACGGTGCGGTTTATCGTACCTTTATCATCGCCGGTAACCTCGCATATTTGGGTAATATAATGCAATGTCAGGCACTCACTATGCTTCTAGTTTTAAAAAACACACTTGAAAACATTTCACAGAAAAACTATCAAATAATGTGCCGGCTAAAAAATAAAATATTTGCTCAATAAAAATGCAGGGCACCCATTATGCGTATGAAAGGCACACAGAAAACATCTCCCATGAAAACATGTACTTGCCAAATCAGTTAACTCTAATGAGAATTTTGCAAATTTTTTTTTCTGATTTTGATTTAATTCTCCATCATTGGCAGATGAAAATTTGAGAATCGGGTTCACTCATCCCATTATGACGATGATCGCGTAATAACATCTTTGTTTTTCGGAATCCACAAATGGTGCCGTGGGCAATATAAAAATTAAAGTCCGTGGTAGCTGCCCTGCCAGCCGCCCAGCAACAATCTGCCATCCTATTGGCCCGTTTGTTTCCGCGGGTACATACAATATGTCTCACTCAGTTTTAGTTGCTAGCGAAATTCAGTGAGGAGACGATGATACAAACAAAAGAAAATGAAATAAAAAATAAAATAAAACTAGAAAAGCAAAACATAAAAATATAAAACGAAAAAAGCACAACCAAAAAAACAGAAAAGCAAAATAAAAATGAATAAATTATAATTTTGAATTTCATGTGCGTGTGCTCATCTTCGTACATTTCGTTCTCTCTCAGCTGTCAATATTAAACGCCTCACCTCATCACGAATTAATTTCGTTCCAGTACAATGTTCTGTAAGGTATACATGATAAGAAGAAAGAACAGAGAAATACTTAATGAAAGCTGTGAATATTTGGTATCCAGAGACTTTCGTAGGTAGAGTTTTTAGGTGCGGATAACGTCTCCACACAGTACTTGTATTTGGCCTTCCTGTAATGAAGATTGCACACCCCTGTAATATTGTATACCATAAATATATTTCATTTGAATATAATAATTAATTAATATTAATAATAATATAATATAAGTGTAACCTTGACATGCATAATATTTATCCATGCTTACAGAGGGTGGATTTTTGTTGAGGTTGAATGAAAAAAGTGACACAGATGACCGTAATGATTCGTCACAAATTACTGATTCTACAAAACGTAACTCAGAATATGTATAAGTGTCTGTTTTCAATCGTTTTTGAGTAACAATCGCTTTAACGAATTTCAAGCAGCTTGCCACACACTAAATTACCAGAAAAAAATTTGTGACATTGAGTACGCGTATGACCACTTTTTCGCTGTAGCAAATTTTAGGCATTAATTAAATCATGTATTCTTCTCACTGGGATTAAAAAACTGACTTTCAAAAAATGGACTATTCAAATTAATTTGAAGAATTAAAATGTTATTTAGTTCAACCGCATACCTGTTAATCTGTTTTCATGGGTCGCTAAGATTTTGAAATTTTGTTAATATTAGTCCAAAGCCCCAGCCCCGTTTACGCTCTCTGTAAGCACTGCGTATAGATATCATGCACCACTTGCTTAAACTAAGTTTATTTACTTGATTTTGATAGGTTAGCTAAATTTTATCAATAACTTATGATTTAAGTATTAAGCAGTGGTGCAGTTGTTACAGTACGCTTTTTGAAGAGCCGTAAACCTTATTTTATAATTACCTAGTTTATTTCAAAATCATTACATTCATCTTTTTATCATTTGAAAAATATTTAACACTGCAGCTGAAGGGATTTTAGTTCTCTCAATTAATGCCCTTTTTATTTTCAGTCTCCAAAGAAATCCTGTCCCTTTTATTTTATTTCTTATTTTTTTTTGCCGATGCGCCCTAGAACCCTATTTTGGAATTTATCTAAAGTTTCGGAGAAAAAATAATACCTCTTATAATACCATTGTAGTAAATAATTGTGTGGTTCTCAAGGCGAGCTATGAACCTGGAAGCTTAATATTTGTTTACTTATTTGTTTAAATTCATATGTTTAGCATGTGATACATGCCGATATCAGGTTATTCTTTACAGAAAACGACAGTGAAAGTGAATTGGCGAGCATTTTTCAATGCTTCATGATATATCAAAAATACAATAGATGTTTTGTGCCAATTCGCAAACGACAACTTAAGTGCTAGAAATAAGATTTTGAGTCTGAGATGTCAGCAGATTTCGAGAAGTAGAGGAATATTTAAATATCTTACCGGTTATGTTGCTTCTATGATCAAATGCGTGTTTAATATATATTACGCCTTCAAATATTATAAACTTATCCACCCTTCTATTATTTTGGCTATTGTACAATAATTTATGTTTTAAATATTTTTAAGATAATTGTGGAACTTCACATCATCAGTTGAATATGAGATCGCTAATTGCATATCATGACTTTTTACAAGTCAGAGGCATTCAAACAAAAGCAAAAAAAAACATCAAATAAGAGCTCGTTGAAATTGGTAACGGTGCAACTTTGTGTATGGTTAAAACTCACCTAAATTCATGTAGTTAAACTTAAAATAACGCACGTCATCTTTTTTCACAATCTCACAACAATCCGATTATTAATGGATAATGCATTTTCAGGCCGACCTACACCTAGCAATTTGACTGAATCGCAAGAAAAAGATGAAATGAACCCAACAGATTCAAAACAATCAAACGATGCAAATTTAGCTACGAACAAACGCGATATAAAAGTAAAACAATACGAAACATCAATCTTGAAAATGACTGAGATGTACAATAAGGAACGGGATATACAAACACTGATCAAGTTCAAATCCCTCTTAACGTTAATTGAAGTTTTTTGGACAAAGATACTATGCAAAATGACAATAACTAATTACGAGCGCCAATTCGTGGCCCCAGAAAAACTGTGGTCAAATCTCACGGATGAAATTTCTAGCGAGAAGAGCTCTGAAATAACAATGAAACCGTACATTTCAAAAATAAAAGAAGTTTTTAAACTTGGCGAAGAATTTTTTTCTAATGATAAATATATCCATGCTATAGTAGCATTCTACGCAACTGCTAAACTTCACCGACACAGCGGTAAAGCCAACGAAACTCTCAGGGGGGGTATATTGTCATGTTTTGAAAAAGCTGGACTTGTTGTTGAAAAAATTCAACGTTCTCAACAAACTGCAGATGTTGCCAAGAATCATGTGATACCACTCATGTACGAAATGATTGATTTTCTGAAACAAATCCAAAGTCCAAACCAACTCATGGAAAAACTTGAAACCAAATCAAAAGAATTTTTCATGGAGAAGAATTTTATTCCAGCCGCAGTTGCATTGCACATCAAAGCTCAACTGCATAAAGATATAAATGAAGGTGATGACTCACTCCATGGTGTTTTGTTATCCATTGAACAGATAAGCTCGATCATAGAAGACAAGATAGAACAGAAACAAACAAAAGCATTAGATCACTTGATGTCACTCAATAATGAAATGACTGATTTTCTTGGATTGATCCAAATATCAAACTATAGCCGGTTTATCGAAGAAATACAAATTAAAGCCACAGGATTCGATTTAGAACAGAAGTTTATTTCAGCTGTAGTTTTATTATACGTCACTGCTAAACTACATCAACTTAACAACAAGGGAAATCAAACGGTAATAGGAATTGAACAATCTGTTGAACGAATAAAAGATATCGTCACTAAAAAGATGTCAAAACAAGATTTAGTGAAAAAGATTGTCATGGATTATGTGATACCACTCGTGCATGAAATGATCACGTTTCTTCGATCGATCAAGGGTTCGAGTCACAAAGTCAAAGTGGAGAAGGAGGCTTGGTGTTTATATAACATCGGTTTTTGCTACGATTACTGTGATGATTATCAAGAATATGCGAACATGAACGAATCTGCGATCGTACTTATGAACGCAGAGTTAGAAAATGAAGGTCCGACATATAGACTATATGGAAGCTGCCTTTATTATGCAGGAGTAGCGTATAATAGAATGGGAAAAATGGAGAAAGCGGTTGAGTTGTATAAAAAGTCGTTGGAAGCAACAAAGAATGCAAATGATTATCCGAGTAGTAAGAATAAGAATGCCGAAATCAAACTCACAAAAAGGAGTTTGAAAATGGCAGAATCCAAGTTACGCAAATAGTTTTATCGAACAGACTGTAAATCATCTTTTTTCTTCAAAGTTTTTAGTCTTGAGGATACTTTTCATACTTCCACTACTTGAAAGTTTTATTGTAAAGGGTCAAAAGGAACTCAATTTGCTTTTCCCTGATTAATTTTGGAATCTTCGACGATCATTCTTGTCCGCTGCCATTCTAAGTAAAAGCCCCAGTTCTTGTATTAGTTATTATAATGTAGATGTGATTATGGAAAGTGAAAAAAACAAAACAGTGGAATTGACTACTGACACGTCACGATCTGCATAAGCTTGAGTGAAGCCGTTTGACAATGACGCAAACTCGATTCGACTTGATTCAAATATTGTAAAATGCCAATAAAGCGAATAAATATAATTGAAAGAACAACTGATATCTGCATTATCTGGAATAAGACACGATTGGTTACATTGGAGGGCGAATTGAAACGATTGAACGCAACTCATTCCGTTTAAAGTCCACAATATTGAGTCGATTCAAATATTTAAAGTCCACAATTTTGAGGCTATTCAAATAATGTTAATATCCTCACAATTGATGCCATTTTCCAATTACAAACTTCCTTTTAATGATCGGTATTTATAAATTTTATTGATAGAAACAAACTTGCAGCACCGTTGCATTTCACGCTGTCCAAACTTTCCCATATGATAATTTCTGATTTTATTCGTCTTCTCATAAAATTTAATTATTTTTTTTTCTCTGACAGTGACAGTTTTGCTGTTACTATATTTCAACTATTATAATTGTCTCCATTTTTTATTTGTTATTTACTTGTATTGATTTACTTTAGCATTCCCTTCCCCAATTTTTATTCTCCTATTTTGTGATTGTAACTTCTAGAATGTTCTACCTTAATATTTAGTCAATTAAAATTGTGAATCTTAAATATAATAGTGATTGGGGAGTTGACTTTAATGACCGCTTGGTCGTATCACTCCCTCCTGTCTATACCAAACTAATTCATTTTTGTCATTATTTTTTTTTATCATTATGATGACTGTTGTTTTATTTTGGTTGACGAAGCACTAAAAAAATTGTGGGTGTGAAACTATGGAATACGCTTCCTGATTCAATTCGTTCTAAAAATTATAATCTATTCAAACGAGCATTAAAAAATCTTTACCTTGATGCTTATATCTGTCAGTAATTTGGCCTCTGTTAGGGCTATCTGTTATCAGATTGTTGAAAAGATGAATACTGCAAAACACCTTTATTGTCTTTATTTTGATTTTATTTTTGCATCATTATCGTGACGCTAAGCGTGAGCATGACGTTAATAAGCTAAACTCACTTATCTAATCTCTAGACTCTCTCGATTTGATTTGTTTATGGTATAATTGTATTCTCAATTTTGTTGAAAAATAATTAGTTCCTTGTATTTGACGTTTGTTTGACGTCTGCTGCTGAACTCAGCAAACACGGTGTCGCTGACACGATGACTCTGGTAGTCTTTCGCGCCCCGCGTCACTCTTTGTTTCAATTGATCTTTTTGTTACCATTTTTTTTATTAATTGTGTGGTACAATATTCCATGCACGGCGGGAATAAAATATCTGAATCTGCTCGAGTTATTTCTTTGTGTGAGTGTGTAATTGAGCTTGCTTTTACTGCATTAACAAATAATTTTACATCTCCATGTTGGCTGCCAATATTGACAGTTGTTTGAATATTGTTTTGGTTAGTTCCAATTTTTTGCATTTCTTCCAGGCGCACTGTCCGAATCCCCCTTTTCCGTGTTCATTACTATGGGTATATTCCTATACCCTATCGTCCTACCTTAATTTAATTAAACTTACTTATACTATTACCGGTACTTCTAAATACAATCTGGAGTCCAGATCATGTACTATATTTTGGGAAATGAAGTGGTCTAGCCCAGTGGTCCCCAAACTGTGGGTCGTGGCCGGATGGGGTCGCGTGAATATTTTCCGGCGTCGCCTAATTTCTTTCAAACATGCACACACAGGTGACTAAGATTTGAAAGTTGGAGAGTGAAATTTGTGTTGGTCGGCAGTTACCGTAAAAATGCCTAACTTCGGATTTTTCAGCACTAACTCAATCATTTATTGTCCAAACGGCGACAAAATTGCTCGGTAAAACATTCATGTGGTACCTTACCAGCCGGTCAGGTATCGGTATTATTAAGTGTAATTGAGTGACAGTGGTACGAGCGCCAATAATCTTTTCTTTTTTGATCATGTTACAACCGAATGAGTAGTTGACCCGCTGGTACGAAAATCGGATTTTTTGCCAGGCTGCGTGGAATTATATTGGTTTATTTTTTTGTACCAGTGTAGCCGCTTAGTTATCGAATATACAAAGCCAAGTTGCTTTATTTAGCGATTAACCCTTAATTAAGTGTTTGACAAGTATGGTATTGATTGCCAGGCGGTGTCTTGGCCGAGCGATTATACTTTAGGTTTCGATCAGTTTCGAAAAAGCTTTGTTAATTCGCGCACGTGTTCAAAATCTACGAGTAGGCTACGTGTTTTGTCAACATCGCTTACACATAAAAAAGAACATTTTCGTATTGCAACATTACGTATTTAGACGTTTCATACATATAGTTTCGAAGCGTTCCGACCAGTCAAACACAAAACCACAACAAGTTCTAGCATAATGAAAGATATGATTCCGTACACGTTTTTTCCTATTTTACTTTCATGCTCTGTTTTACGTCCGAATTATTAATTGAGCAGCAAATGGATCTGTAATATATTTATTAATATTGAACTAAAAATAAAAAAGACACTGTTGGAATATACCAAATAAGATTTTGAATTTGTGTATATTTAAATGCAATCTTACTATTTCCGAAGTATCGTAAGCTTCCTTACAATCTACCACATTTTATCAAGTCTGTCTATGTTTTGCCAAAGAACCGTTATAATTTTGATCTAAGAGATTTTCATACGATGTCATGTGCAGGGCTGGGGAGTCGGAGCCATGGAGCCGAGACATTTTGGTGGAGCTGGAGCCAAGCTTATCAAAACAGATGGAGCTGCAACCAGAGCTGGTGCTACCAAAAATTTTGGTGGCTCCAAGCTCCAGCTTCTAACTATCTCATTTTTTCAAATTTATGATTTTCCGATACGTTACAAATGATAAAAACTATACTTTTCAGCTTATAATTCATTTTATAAATTTTAGTTCCCAATATTAAGGTAATTGAAAAGTTTCAGGTTATTCTGTATCATTATATTTTTGGAAGTTTAGTATCAAAAATTGAAACGGTCGCTCATCATATCAAAATTCTGCTTCTTATTTCCGCTAAGCTGCAATTTTTCATGATTGTGGTCGAGCTCAAAAACCCTAATGGCCAGGGGTGTATCCAGGATTTAAAAAAAGGGGTTTTGAAATTCCCATGCAACATATTATGATCTTTTCATGGCATAAAATATCCAATTCATTTCAAATGTGTTTAATTCTGTCCAAAATAACTTGCGACTGAGTCGTTTTAGAACAAACGGAAGGTTTTACTATTCCAAAATACACCATGGCAGTCTCTGGGCATAAGAATATGTGGCAAAGTGCCTGATTATATCTTTTTTGATTCATATTTTTTTCGTATTCCTAATCGCAATTCTACAAATATGAGTTGTTATGACCTCGCTCTATCGCAATGCTGCCACTCATATTATTTTCAAAATGTCACCGTTAGAAAAGAATTTATTGAATATATTTTCCATAAATTATGTCATATTATGTTCTGGATAAAAGTCTCATCTGTTCCGGTCGTTATTTTTAAAATAAATAAAAAGGTACGTCGCGAGCACGGTTCAATTGCATACAGATTTATTTCAGTGATGGTATGATTTCCAAATCCAACCAGTAAACAAAATAATGAGATTTGCAAGGCGTTTTTTAGCTGTTGTGGGTCTCCTGGAACAAAGTTTATAGTGTTTTCTGTTTCATTTTAGTATCTTATAATAATAACTCTCCAATGTGGGAAATTTGACTTGCAAATTGACTCCTCTATTTATCTTTAACATCTCATCGCCGATAATTAGTATTGCCTGACGAATAAGTCACCTCTGTGGACCCAAACGTTTGGCCTGATTTTAGGTGGAGGGGTGTCTTATTGGGCGACTATGATAATTTTCATTTTTTGTAATATATTTATCGAGAATGCCCACTAAAAAGCTTTTAAATGAATACTATATTCTAGTGGTTCCCAACCTTTTTATGGCGGCTTGTGGTCCCCTTTCCTGAGGCTTTCAGCACTCATGGTCCCACGGTTTATCATTTCAGTGGAATTTATAGACTTATTTTGATTGGTAGATTTCAAATCTCATTATGTTCAAACAATTCATTTTCGAGAAAGTGAAAATACTCTGTGAAATAACTTTATCAAGCAATGAAACTATGGTGAACAGTAGGTTTTCTCGTAAATGGAAAGTAAAATCAGTTTTGCACCCAGCATTGTAGCTCCTCTCCTACTGCCCTTTGTCGCATTAGAAATCTTTTATATAAACCAATCTACATTTTTGGCCACGAAGAAATCAAAATCTAAAATCTTAGTAAAGATCTGCTCCAACTCCATGATTTTTCAATTATGGCGAATCATATTCAGACCAGCGTTAATCACTATAGGCCATCGTGGTCCCAAATATTTGCCTTAATCATGTTAAATTTGGCGCTCTAGAAGTATATGTATCAATATGGAGGTAACTAGTTTTGTTCGCCTACTTTACATCAAGTTGTTTAATGGGACTGAAACCTATGGACAGGGGTTTTATTCACTTGGCTAACACAGACAGTCCCCTAAATAGAACTAAAACAAGGAAAATTGGAATAAAATTATGCCCTAACCCTAATCTGGTACACACACGGGAGTACCTAATATTTTAGTAAAGTTAAACTTGCTGAGCGTTTAACAACAAATAAAGCTGATTTACACCTTTCAAGACCATTATTCTAGGTGTGCCCATGTCATTTCAGAAATCAACACCTTACCTTGCATTTTCAGCAAACTATTTTTAACGTTTCGATCCCCGAAATATCATGTAAAGCGCTATAAAAAAAATACATTTTTCTTCAATGCAATTAAATTTATTTCGTTTATAAAGGCTATTTTCGAGTCCCATAAGGTTAATTTGCTTCCATCATTTGTTGCATAAGCTGCTCTAATCTTTTTTGTTCTCTTTGTATTTTTTTCGCCAACTCTTTAAACTTCAGAACAATTTGGTCATCAGGTATTGGTACCCCCGGTACCTCGGGGTCGAATTCTGGTAAATTGAATGAAAATGATGATTTTAAAGTTGATAGTTAAATTATTCGGTACTCCTGTAGTATGCGATGGGGACATCGTAACGTAGTATGTGTACCAGGTTAGGCCACAATTTCAGGTACAAATACTACGCGAGTCACTCGGCTAGTCCGCGAATTCGTGACAGAACTCAAATAAAGAAAAATAATATAAAATTATGGCTCTACCCTAACCTGGTACACATACTACGTTCCAAGTATAATCCAACCAATTATTCAGGCAAAAAAGAGTTTTGGAACATGACGAATTGCGCAATCTATGGCGAAAGCTATATTAAAAATACCCATAAACGTTAACTGCTTATATATATATATAGGCTTACCTTCGGATTTAACTAGCGTGCCCAACGTACCACAAAGAATTACAATAAGTATTGAAGTTTCAATTATTCTTCCCATGTTGTTGTCGGGCGATCTTATTGTTTATCTAAAACTGATTGTCTTTTCAAACAGCTGCTATTATATATAACATTGCTCAATGTTTTTTTTATATTGGTAAATAATATTAACAGACGCATTTCCGTTGGTAATAATTACGTTATGTTGATAAATAGGATTTGCGTGATTCCGCATTAATTAGTCAGAATATCTTAAAAACAACAATATACAAACAGATAATATCGAATGGGATTTGTGATGCGTTATGCAGAGGCATGCCGTAATCAAACAATGCAAATTTTTTTTTTTTGAAAAGTGTTCATTCACACTCACATTATTTTTATTTCTCTGTATCGGAGTGCAAAATCAGTCATAGTCATATATCCTTCTGCATTACCATTGATCCGAGTTCTACGCTCATTTTACTTTCGACTTGGTTGTCAAATTTTATAGCACTTAACTTGGACATGATGCTTCTAAACGCTTTCCTTATATCGACTTCAACTTGGATTGACAAATACAGAATTGAACTCTATCTAGTCTAGATTTTGGCTGTCATATATAAACCCTGCAGCATCAATACATCTCCGACTCAAATGAAAGAACAAAGAACACACTCTGGTCAAAATTTGTTCTCTGGCCACTACTAAATGATGGTAAGTTACCTAATTTTACATTTCAAATTACCTATGTAGCCGACTGCGGGACTCAATATATATGTTTCAAAGTTTTTCTAATTTTACGAATCTTATCTCCCAAATGTAACATTATGTCAGGCCATTGGATGCTACTCACCAGGAAGCTATGGCCTTAGCAGTACCGATGAAAGGAGGTAAGACTTGATTTGTACTTTCGATTTGAAGCTTTTAAATTTTCAGATGATTGATTTCAGTTTAAATTGAAAGATACCCGGTTTATATATTTGAGTATTTCTCTCTCCTTTTTGGACACGTAATGGACACATGGATCGTTTTGCTATTAATTTGTTGTTGTTCTTGTTGGTAGTTTTCTTCTTTTTTTACATGAAAAAAAATCGTTTTTTTTAATTTACTAATGGATCAATTGCTTTGAATTTTTCAGTCGTTAAATTCTTTTTATTTTCCGTCACAAAACTATTAATTTTATTTGTTCCTAAATTTTGTGTGAGATCTGATATTCCATTTAAAATGCGCTGTATAATTTTCAATTATGGGAACCCGTTTTATGAAATCGTAATTGCTGCCGTTCACGTTTTTATGAAATCGTGACAGCTGGTACTTACAGTCCACTGTGACAGTCAGTAGGGCGGTAGTGCGTACCCGTACTATGGCGTTTTGGTCTTCGTGTCAATATATTTGAGCGTCGCTCTATTGTCTTTGGATCAGATGTTGTATGTGCACGAATGTCCAGAATCAAAGCCCTGGTTGCGACTCATACACTTGCCCGTATATTTCGTCATTCTGACTATATACTCACGTCACCCTACTACAGGATTGTATTATTTCTACATGGTCTACCTGGCGTTAAGGTCGGTTTACGTTGCTCTCCATTTTTATTTCATCAACCCGTACCGCGTATCAATTTAGTTGTGATTCACAATTCTATTGTGGTAACGTTCCCACTGCATGATAAAAGATGTGTCAAAAGCAATGTTATGACATAAATTAAACTAAGCAGGCTAAAGTACATATTTTTACATATATATGTTGGTTGTTATTGCCAGAATTTAAATACGTGAATATTGCCAATTCAAATCAAAAAATAATCAATGATTTTTATATTTCTAACACGCCAAGATCGATAATTATCACTGCGGCTTCGAGTAGACATTCCCAAACCCTATCCAAAAAATTGTTGATCGAGTGAGGAAGCTTTTTTCTCCCCTGAATGAATGGTAAACGTTTTATTTTATTTTAAAGAAGTTGACCGTAAAGTTTGTAATCACTTAAGACAATTTGCCTGCAGGGAAATGATCCGAATGAGTAAAATAAAGCAGGTTCAGAAGTATTTTTGTTACCACGATTTTCAATATTTTCCCCCAGAAAGCATCGGTAGCAAAAGCTATATATACATTTTGTTAGTCGAGAAAGATTTAGAATTTCCATACTCGCCTGAACCAAGATGGAATTCTGACCGCATTGACCTACATTTTTGACTAAAAATGTAGTTTTTTTCAAATAAGGCTTTTTAAGTTTTGTCAGGTATAAAATATATGCAGTGAAATAGGTGTTACGTTCCAGCTAATTCCCAAAGAAGTACCCACTCTGCTAATTTTATTCAAATCTACTTCTCTCATTTTGTATTAAGTCGATATTTCATTATGTTTTCATATTGTGCTTTCACATCTTTACAGGCCAACATCCACAGTGCTGATTTATTTGTTAAACGATATTTGGGTTTATCGCAATTCTAATGGTGATTATGTATGCAGACCAGATGATATCAATTACTGTCCTTTCACGTTTTTTGCACTAAAACAGTGTCACAAACACACCCAAAATCAAATTGAACCATCTACCTAAAGTCAGAGGGGTTTAGTGGCCGTTCCCGCAAAAGAATTGTTTTCGAGCGGCAATTTTCCACAAATTCACAATAAGTGTAAAGCAGTTTTAGGTTTTTTCTGTTCATCGTCGGTGAGTTAAACGCCATTGAATGGCACTAACTATTATTGAGTAATCGAAAATTTGATTTGACGAGGCTATTCGAACTGAATATGCACAGAAAGACACAGCCCTGAGCAGATGACAACAACATAATATTGCGCACTCTATTTTTTCAATAAAAACAACAATATTAATCATTTTGCTATCAGCATATGTATTGCCTTTTCAAATGTCCATACCGTAGCTGGAAGCGGAACAGATCACAGCACGACAATTTTTACAGAAATCTGGAAAAATAGAAAGTTATTTACATTTATAAACAGTTCTGACGGATTAAATTAGTACATGCTGATATAAAGTGGAACTCTTATACTACATGACTTCGGGTGTTGTGAATGTTCAAACCGCCGCATGGTAGAATCACATAATAATATTAAAGATTCATAACAAATATAAGAAAATGAACTTTAGCTAAGCATATAATGATGCCAGAACTGTAAAGATTTGGTATATACGAATCATTTTTTATACCCAATCAATCGCGAGTGTTGTTGGCTTGCAAGAAAGGCTGTTGAATGGTTTTAATTTAGTGATCATACAACTAAAATTATTAAATATATACAACTTTCTTCAAGCAGAAAAGATTGAGAAAAACTATATTTTTCTGATTGACAGCAGATAATCAACAATAAGAGCTTTGTTTCAACAATTTAGTCAAGCAAATTTTATTTTCTATGAACAAGAATAAATGAAGAAAACTGAGAATATTGTAAATTTATCTGAATAAACTATATATATTAATAATTAAACTTTTCAAATGTCAATTGAGTATAAATACCTCTTTTTCCTGGTCGTTTAATCTTGGAGCAAGGTTTGCTTGCATAGCTTCCATTTCGAAGCTTGCAAAATTGTTTGCACTGTTTGCTTCTCCCGTCAAACATCAGTTCATCAAATTCACGAACATAATCGTCAATATCTGGAATATTGTAGTTTATTAATTTAATCGAATTAGTTAAAGCCAATTATCGCAGTCTACTGTGAGTTACCGTCAATGGTATATCTAGGGTGTGGCAGCAATGGCTCGTGCCATGGCCACCGTATGGACAGGGGCGCAAAAACGGCGAAATATTCCAATTGCACAATGTTCAAATAAAATAATTTCAAATTGAAAATAATTGAAACTCGTATTTTTACGTAAATAATAACGTACAAGTATCTCAATTCAACAACAGTCATTGAAAATTGTCAGTCAATGATGCCACTGGTTACCATACCGATTATGCAGGGTAGGGTATAAAGATACGCGATATGTAGCGGTGGTTAGGGGCTTAAAGTTTGATCTTGTTTTTTATTGCTTTTCCCCAATGGTAATAACTTAAGTAAAGTTAAATAAATCAAATAACTTGACCTTGTGAATTGACGACCGCAATGAAAACGACTAACAGTGCAAGAGCAGCTAGTATTGCTTTCCGTCCCATTCTTTTCTTCTTGCCCAAGATCTACTGTCGAATGGCGAATGAAGTCGGCTTTTTATGCCTTTGTACTGCAAATAAATTACAGCGATATTACTCGCGTTTCACTGTAAAAATGCTTGAATTGACTAAATGGCTTGCTTGCATTATTCAAATGATATTTGTAGTTGGTTCATAGCTTGCAAGAAAGTCACGACCGTTTCAAACAATTAACGAGTCGAAAAAATACATACGCTTGTAAATCTCTGCCTAGTTTTTAACAAAATTCCCCATGGTTTTAGAAAGCTCTTAACATATTCAATATAACATGCATATAGAAAACGTGGCAACGTTTCAAGAATTGATACCTCTTTCTAATGGTTCGACACGTCAACCCGAAATCATTAATTGGTGGCAATTTTGCATCTTATTAGTCGAGTCTAGACTCTAGTCTAGAGCAACGTTTTTTCCGTCAAGTACCCCCCGAGTCACGAAACAATCAACGCGAACCCCCGGTAATCACACCGAACAAAGTTGTGATATATATCAAATATTAAATCGTCTTGTTGATATTATTGCCCTTGTCGTCTGCCTAACTAATGAATTCCTAAAATCTCTCCCAATTTTCAATTAGCATGATCACTTCTCCAATGCTCGCAGCATGCTGTCTTTAGAAATTTCACAGTTTGAACGCAAAGACTTGAATTTCACATTGTTGCGTCACAATCACAACAGTGCAAGATCAGGGAAAATCTACGTTTCAATTGGCTTCTAGTTTCAAGGGGCACGCGTTTTCCCATTATAGTAATAAAGGATATGAAAAAACAGCAACATACAAAAACTCGACTGTCATCCAAGTACCCCTGGAAATCTTCTCGTGAACCCCTGGGGGTTCGCGAACCCCAGGTTGAGAACCCCTTTCTCTAGAGTGTGCCAGCTGTCAACTATCGCTGAAAAGCCACGCCTCGACAATTATAGTCTCTTAACGAGATCCTGGGTACATCACAACTACGTCGCAATCAACATACAGAACTTTATTTA